GTGGCTTCTTTGCCAATACTTGCGGGTTGCAATCGGACGGAACTCCTGTTTGCTTACATAGGAGAGCTATCCCTACGATGTGTTTACATGTTACATTTTTCATAAAGAAAGGACAAGAACATGTAGAACGTTTCCAATCAACAAGTAAAACAACTTTATACACACGTTGGTGTACTTGATCGATATAAATGTCAAAATCGGTGATGCTCTCTACATTTTCATGGATGAAAATTGCTTGTTCGACTGCACTTATTCGATCTTCTTTGCTTCCTTGGCACGAAATCACATAGAAGACACCGTTGTCGCTTTTGAAGATTCTTCTCTTCGTTCCAGGATCTGTTGCAAATTCAACACCTTTTTGCCAATCCAACTTGGACAATTGTACTGATGTGTAGAAACATCTAACGGTGTGTACTCTTTTGATAGCTGAATTAAATCCTTCGTTGGGATTATTTGTGTCTTTGAATATAGACGATTTTGTCAATTTCCACAACGATTTTGTCATAAAAAAAATTGTCAGAATTATAGATGATTTTGTCACTTTTTTAGACGGTTTTGTAAAAAAAAGTAACAATTTTTCATTAGACGAAATTGTTTTTATTTTAGACGGTTTTGTCATTTTTTATAGACGAAATTGTATTTAACCATTTATTATTATATCAATTTACGTTTGCGCGGTAATTTCGAAAAGTCGAAGAAAAAACATGTATGAAAAACAAGCTGAAAAGTTGCCATGCGTGTTATGGGCGTTTTATATGAAATTGAAAGGGAATCGCGGGAAAGTAATTATTTTAGATCATGCCAGATGTAACACTTGACAAAAAAAAGCAAATTTATCAAATTATTTTTGAATGTATTGAATAAAACCAATCGTGCCCATTTAATGATGTGAAATGCTACGCAAATTCAGATAAATTATGACGATTGTGAATTGAGTGCGGCAATCTCAATTCAGTTAATTGTTATAATTGCGTGTGATATGTGAGTTATGATTGAGACTCCATTGACTCCAATTCATCCATTTGGTTAGAAAAAAAAATGTACACAACGTGGAGAAAAAAAATTGTTTATCAGTAAGTTTAAATGAGTATAAACGTCATCTCATCATATTGAAAACATCATCCCATCAACACCAGTATATTAGACCTAATGCAGGTAGAAAGAACCTAGCAGCTACGTTCAATAATTTACGATTCAATTCAATTTGGAACATTCCATCAGTCAGCATTATAGCTCATATTCCATCTGAATAAATTTTCACGAACAGACCTTTCATCGGATATTCATTAAATCTGTGTGTATCACTTTGAAGTTTCATTGTAGTACGTTATTCGATCAGACTTCTCTTTCAATACAAATTCACAAACTCCATTTACGTTTACAATAAAAAACTTCACAATGGCTTTTTGAATATTCAGTTTGGTTGTGATTCATCCCATTTTATCACAAAATATAAGACGTTGAATTTGAAATGAAAAACAACACACACCACTCTTGGTTCACATTTAAAAGTCGGAAAAACTTTGCTTCCCCTTTGACATATCGGAAATGATTCCTCCTCATATAATAGATGCAATCGTAAATTATACAAGTTCTCACGGTGGCTTTTATCTTGACAAATAATTTCCGTAAAGTTCTTCTTATCGCACTTCACCATAAAAAGTTGTGATTTTGTTTCAATGTAAGAGTGCGTGGGGGAGTGTATTGATTGTATTAACTTTATTTTATTTTAATGAACATGTGACTTGTTTGCTTTTAATGCGTTTTAACGGCTCATTGTGATTTTTTCTTGAAAAAAAAAAAAAAAAACGTTTTCCCTTGTTGACTCGGTAACGTTTTGTGACGTATGCTTTGAAAAATACCATGTACAATTAAGGGGATGGAAGTGTTAGACTAAATTGCATTAACTAACTAATAGAAAAAGAACTCATTGTACCTAACCGCTTTGGTAAAAAAACAAATAATAATCGATGAACTTTGCATCAATCGGTTCAAAATATCCAGATGTTCCATTCAATATAAATCCCGTTTTCAGTTTTTATTGGATGAATAATAATTTTTTATCTATTCTTCCCAAAGTGCCGAATATGTTTAGCCACTTGTTTGTCACTGAATATCCAAGTTTTTCATTGTGAATCACATATCATTATTTTTCGCCTCTTGGAAACATGATAAAAAAGACCTAAATAATGAAAAGTGAATTTTTTTCTTTCCACAAAAAATAGCCGTATTAAAATCTCATTCTCTATAGCCTGTGGACATGGCCAACGTCTGTTTTATACTTTACTAGTTTCATAATCGATCATTTCGGGGTGGTTCTACACGTACCTTTTAAATCAGATTAACCATAAACGTTTTCATACGTTCTTTTTCATAACGAGTAGTGAGAAACAGTGACCTAAACGTGGTATAATTGCGCTCCTTCCACGCACATTCGAAATACACCTACTAAACTTTATTTATGACTGGGTGCATTCGGCTCATGTACAATATGTACGTACTTTCGAAGGAAATCGCCGATAAGATTGAGGGAGAACATGGAGCCAATAATGTACACTTTTCTCGGCATTTATAGCCTTTGCGTGATGCATACTTAATTGCTCGCATGCGAGACATACACAAGTAGTATTTATGACTGAAATGAACAATTTTTCATATTGAGTTAGGAGTGTTTGGCGCGAAATTTCTCTTTGTTACGTAGAATGATTTCAGTTTATTTTGAATAAGGCGTTGACCTTAAACCTTATGTGGTTTGTGTTTTGAATTTTCTTCTATATATACTTGGCAAAACATTTGAGCCATCGAACCAAGAAACGCTTATCAAGCTCTTAATTTTACTAGAGAGTACAAATTGTACTCAGTACATTCAATTGAGTAAACTATTTTTTAATGCAAATTCTACTAAGTTTAATCTAACGCTCATGCAATTCCTTTCCAAACGAAATACTCGCAAAAATTGGTCGAGAACGAATCCTAGAAGAGGGCAAATTAAAAATACATTCATTCGTTGACGCATGTGCACTGTGCAGCGAGTTATTCTAAATTTTGTCCCACACAAAATCATCCAATTTAAAATGACCAACATTTGAGTTGATTACGGTTTTCGAATAAGCCATGTCATTTGTTAAATTATGTTTGCGATTGCAATGGTGGATGTTAAAAAATCTTAATGGTCTTAACCTAGATTCTAACATGTTGCACAGTCAAATGCAGTTAAATATTCCGTACCTAATTAAAATTATGAAACGTAAATCGATCGAATTTCCAAATGGAAAGGTTTTATTTTCTTATTTCCACTCTTTTTTGCCAAATGTTCCAATCAAAATGAAGTAGTTTCAAGATCAAATGCATGTGGTTTCTATGTGATGGTAATAAAGTCATACCCGACCAGATGTCATAAAACAGATGTTTCGAATTCCAAAGAAATAGTAAAAATTGTAAACGGTAAACTAATCATTCTATTTTGTTTCGTAACATTTCTCTTGATGCAGTCAACACGAAATAAAATATCAGTTTGGAATTGGTGTGCTACTCTTACAAATGTGAGGAAAACAAAACCGCAGAGCTTCGCTTTGCTCCGCTCTGCGTCCTTGAGTTTTTAGTTACTTATTCTATTTTGTTGTTTCACAACAAACTATTTTTTGGCGCACTACATGAAATGTATTTCATCAAAGTAACTTTGAAGTAATATTATTTATTGCAAAATGAATTACAAGATCTTGATTTTATTTCTTTTTTGAAATATACTGCCTTTGGTTTAAATTAAATAAATAATATTTGCATAGAATCTAAAATCACTTCAATTCTGTTCAAGATTCAGAAAATATTATACGAAAAATTAATGTAATTTTTAAACAACATTTGATAATAAAAATTTGTTTGGCGCTTTGAGATGTCATGCACTTATTTGTCGTTACTGCCACTGTTTTAAATTAACTAAATAATATGAGCATAAGATTCAAATTCACTATAATTCGTTTCATCACTCAAAAAGTATCTAAAAAAAAAAGAAGCAGATTACTTAAAAAACGAAATGTTTTCAAACCGGTTTCATTCAGTCACATTTACAACTCAACTACAGTCGACAAAATAAGACAACATTTGATGATGCACCATTCATACGTTCAAGTTTCTATCATACCGTTTGATCTTAGACATCATATTGAGCATTTCAAAACGCATACCGTTTTCGAAATTATTCACAAAATTTCTAAAACAAGTTTTAATTAATCTAGGTCATTCCGAAAGCCACACATTTATATCAAATATTTCAAATAGATCAGCAACAAAGAATTGTTATGATCATTCTGCAATATAGCTGAACTCATCGAATAATGCGAAAATGCTTGTGGCAATAATCAATTCGCTGCACACATTATTAACGATAAATAAACTTGTTTGAACTTAAATTGTAGAAATTGGATATTCGGACGAAATTGCTGACTTCAATTCTGAGGAAATTGATTGCGCGCCAAATAAAATGCCGAAAATGATTCAATAAATTTGGCGATGGATCTTGTTCGATTCGTTTAAATGATACAGCAAATAAAAATTCGACAAATAAATCGCAAAAACATGATTTCAATTTAATTGCAAAATATATTTCTCATGAATGAAAACAATTTCTTATTCTTGTAATGCTTCTGATTTGTTGGAAACATTATTGACGATCGGAAATTTTTCAAATTATTTTCATTATATTTTGAATATGAAATTTTCCCCAACGAAGACAGTTACGGTCAATTTATTTTCATTGGGATAGTATTATCCTGTGGATAAAAATGTTTTTGGTCAAAAAACCGAAATTTTTAGCAAAATTCTCACATATTGAGTTGTAAATCGATGTGAAATTTCATTTCCCTTCATATTGGTACCAAAAGTATGAAAAACGTGTAGTCACATCGAAAATAATTGTAATTCATTTTTATCCGATGGGTAAAAATTCAAGGAATTTTTACACGATGTCATCTGATTGTTGTTCTTCTTATTTATTTTTCTAGAATGGAACGCGAAGTGAGTGTTTGATATAATTGCCATGTCGGAGCGCCGTTCAATATTCATACTATTCATTGGGCTCATGCTGTGCATATCATTATGGAGGATATCGCTGCAGGAATTGCACACCGAATATACGTCATATGATACGATGGAATTGCTGAACAACCAGAAAAATGACACAAAAAGCAATACAACGTCATCGAATGTCGTGCAAATGTCTACCGCACCATTTGAACAACCCTCGAAAAATGATGCGAATGCATTGATCGACCTGACAAACTTCGAGTATTTAATCAACCAAGCAGCCTGTGATGATTTTAGTTGGCATAATAATGTGAATGGAATTGATAAACCATCAATCGTATTGATACTAGTACACTCGGCACCAAAAAATTGGCACAAACGGAATGTGATTCGGGAAACATGGGGCCAAAAAGACTCCAGGGCGCGAATATTTTTCCTGTTGGGCGCTGTGAAGTCATCATCAATGCAAACACGACTGAAGCAAGAAAATAATATGTTTCAAGATATAATTCAGGGTAACTTTTACGATGCCTATCGCAACATGACCTATAAACATACAATGGCCTTAAAGTGGTTTGTTTATAACTGTCCAAAGCTGAAATACCTTATAAAAACCGATGACGATGTGTTCGTCAATACGCCGGCCGTATACGACTTACTAGAGGCGGGCTTCAACGATGATCGAAACCTTATATTTTGTTATAGAATCGAAGAGGCTCGTATTAAACGCACCTATCGATCAAAATGGCGGGTGAGCACCAAAGAGTTTCCCGGTTGGTATTATCCTCCATATTGTCCAGGATTTTCCATCATTTATTCGAGGGATGTAGTCTTGCGACTGTATCGAGTGGCGCAGCAAACGCCATACTTTTGGATTGATGATGTTCATATAACGGGTACATTGACGCAACATCTGAATCTCACCATCACCACATTCGGTAAATACTACATGAATGGAACGGAGCTCAACGATCTAATCCATGGCAAACTGAATTTACTCGATATTGAGCCAACATTTCTATTTGCCGAACCAAATCTACATGAAGAGCAAATTCGAGACCTGTGGACTATAATAGGCAACTCGTACAGATAGTTTTGTTCCGAAAAGATCAGACTGGACAATTTCGACATAATTTAAGAATAATTTTAAGCCAAAAATTTAAAAGAAAAATGTAAAAAAATAAACAAACAATCTCGAACCACACACTAATTATAGCCCATTTTTAATGAGGCTGATTTTGGATGATATTTGAATGCCTCGGGATATTCTATATTTCGTTATAAGCAGATGCCATAGCAGTAATATTTACTGCTGCCGCTTAGATCTAGAACAGCTTAACGAAACAAAATCATACTTTATCCTGGACATTCATCACATCATGAATTATTCACACCAAGAAAATAAACACACACGGCTCAAGTCAAATGTGGTAGACCATTAAAAAGACAAAATAGATATAGTCGGAAAAAAATGTCACATCAGCAATATGGATAACTTACAAAGAGATTGCAAAACAATGGAGAGATTTGAATAGACGAGCCGAAGTCAAGAGAATCAAATAAAAGATAGAAGAAGAAAAAAAAAATGCGTTGAGAGTACTAACTATTACTATTTTTAATTGACGATTACCGATTTACAAACATTATACCAGCTTCGCCTTTATAAATGCGCCTCGTAACCTAGTTACAATACAAATAATTCATAAGAATGAAAATTGAACATATTTAATATTTTTTATATGTAATATAGAGCTCGGATGAACATGAGCATTTTTCAACAGTATTCCTTCTATCTAAATGATATAGCGGTGCAAAAATAAAAACAAAACAATGTGTTTCTATGTGTTTCGAGTTTTTATTTACTTACGGTGTGGCTTCTCTTTTGTTTGTTGGCCCGTAATATATTTTAAAAGATGTGATTTTGTATCCATTGTGCCACCCAAATTCAGAATCATGGGGGCAAGTTTGGTGTCAACTGTACTCACATCCAAATTATTGAATTATCTCAATTGTTTATTTGCTCAAGCCAAATAGAAAAGAAAATATTCCAAATGATAATATTGACTAACCAAATTCAACCAAAGTTATAGATCGCTTTCTGCAGCAAGTCAGTTTCTCTTAAGATATCCCCTCAAATAATACTTATTAGACAAATGATAGCCATAGACACCATTTTTGCAGTATTTTGAATTATGGATGCGACATTGCCGTTTAAAATCTCATTATTTTCAATTGAATCAAATTACAATTACACAGCGAATAAATGACTTTGTACTGGTAAACACGGTAAATCTCAGTAAAATGTTCAGTAATTTCAAAACCATCTGACATTAGAACATTTGATTTTCAAAATTTGAATGCATTAACCAGAATGTGAATGTTATTATTAAATTTGCCGATGTAATGGTGATACGTTGTCAATTATGCAAATCTAAGTTAATATGATTTACACTTGAGAGCTCCATGAATCGTACGTCATATGACATGTTTTTAGTTAATTTTAAAGTGAAAACCATATATTGAATTAAAATGTTCGATTTCGAATTTATTCCGAGTCCATAAAACCCTGTTAGTCCTATGATTTTTTTTTTTGGAAACCATGAATATGTGCGCGAAAATGAAGTGGAAAATTTCGGTGATACATAAATTTAATAAGTTGCTTAAACATTAAAATTGATTTAAGATGAGTGTAACAAATGAATTTTCTCCGAAAGTGGTTTTCTGGGTATTTTGAGTGTCAACAGTTGATCCTCCCTATTGCAAAAAAGAGAAATACATGCTACAAAATCGAAATGAACTATATTGATAATATTAATGAAGTGCTTAGTGCAATAGATAGCAAAATAGAAATATCCGTATATAATTAACTATCGAAACTCTTCTGAGTAAATATACAATACAATTTTCCATTTTAATTTCATCTTTTTAGAACAATTTTTTTTCCTTGAATCTGCTAATAAATGTTTTCATTAAATTATAATTCAATACATAGATTCTAGGGCTTTAGAATCGCACAGAGTGAACCCTGTGAGTAGTTCAATGCATCACAATATCGTGTGCGCTACACGCACACGAACGGACGACGAACAGTTCACAAATTCTCAAATACAAATGAGTTTACCACTGTCCGTTCAATGTGCGCTCAAATACTCACAGCAGACACGCAGAGTAAAAAAAAAACATGTTTGTGCCTGTATTTCGGCTATGTTGAACATACTACTACTACTACTTCTTCTTTTTTTTCTTCGACCGACGAAGATCCGCACAAAGCAGAGGGAAAGTAAGTGCGCGGTGTGCGCACACAACTCAGTTTTGTGAGAAGAGCATCGCACACGAGCGCTGTAGCTCTCACTGAAATGAGTTGTACTGTGAACTGAGTGTGCGATTCTTAAGCCCTGATGGATTCTGACATAGTCTGATTTCGTTGATCTTGTTGTCGACTTTGTTTTCAACAGTGGGCACCTTTTTTTTGCTCCTCACAATATTTCACACTAGATACAATCAATTTATTTGACCCATCATTTGACATTGAATTTTGAAGAATGATTTCATGATTTTACACTAGATAGAATTGATTTTCAAAATTGATGACCTTTTTTTAGGTTTTCACTTCTTTCTGAAAGCTATTTTACACTAGATAAAATTGATTTTTTTGATCCCCTAATGAATTTTTGGTTTGACCCTCCCTGAAATTGTTGGTGTCAGAAACTATGATTCAATAGCAAAAAAAAATGAAAAATACGGTACTGCTGGTTGCGAGCAAAAACAACAACAACAACAGAAAAATATTTCTTTGAGTGTTAACGATGTTATTACATTGTGTTTGTTTAATATCACATGTCTGTGTGCCTCTAATTCAAATTTAATTACACTTAAAAATTCAAGTAAATGTTCAAAATAAGCTCCGAATCAATTTCGTTATTCGTGGGAGTTTATCGCATACGCGATGTATGCCGTAGTAATTGACCCGACTATTTTTTTTCTTTCCAAACGTAAACGTATGATTTGAATGACGTTTTAATTAAAAGATCACCATAGTAATTTCAAAGAGAACCAAAGTCATTTTACAAGCTTAAACTTGTATAAACTATTCCGTTGCCCCAATTCAATTTGCAAGGAATTTCAAATGAGACATTGAAATTGTGGCGATTTATGCCCCACATTCAACACAAACATATAACTGTCATTGTCATGGGCTGAAAACTGGACTATATGATGAATAAAAATAGTTTTACGATTTTTAATTAAAAAAAATAATGAATAATTGAACAATTTCAGCGATTTATTGAAGATTATGAAAGAATGTCCATTTTTGGCATTTAAATTGAATCAAACACTTCATTCCGCCAAAACAATGCAGGGGAAAATTCATAAAATAATCGTTGAAACAGTAAAGCAAAGAATGACAACGATTTTCTGGGTTATTTTGCCTTATTTCAACTTGACACGATTGTGACTTTTTTCAATAGATGGCGCTGTATGTGTCACATGTAAATACCATAGATAATCTATGAAAAACTTTGGACTTTCATTGATTTTGGGTTTTTTCAATAGATGGACTTATAAATTTCACGTACAAATATCATGAAAAGTTCAAATAGGGCAAAGCTGGTAGTCATTCTTTAGATGACTTATTTTTCCAACGGAAAAAAGCAAATGAATGAAATGATAAAATTTAAGAAAAAAAAAAATAATTCAAAAAATGCCAACGAAAACTATCCACCATCGCACACATTCTTCTATGGACTGGAAATTGTTCTTTTTCCAATTGTTTTTTTTTTTTTTTTGTTATATTTACCAGAACAATAAATATTACAGAAAAAGAAATATTCATATGATTGGAAATTTACGTGTGAAATCCACTGTGCCAATTTTTAGTGCATTTAAGGGAATTTCGACACGAAAATAAAATTAACGACGAATTATGAATCTGTGCAGGTGATTTCATATTTATGTTTTAGCCAATAAGACAAAAGATGTATCGAAGAAACCGAATAGAATGTGAGTGAGTGAATATGAAGGGAAATAAAAACAAATTCAATAAAAGAAAATATTTATGTACGACATTTGTTTATTTGATATATAGCATGCACTAAAGAAGATACGATTTACTCATCGTAAGTCGTTAATAGCACACTTTGCTGTCACCAAATTGCTAGAATATTTAATATGGGAAAATTTAAGTAGAAATAAGCAATAAACATTGATCGGGTGACGTATGAAGGTGAGTTCCTAAATTTCATCGTAGCTGTCATGGGTGAGTTAGGTGGTGAACCAAGTGCGTGCAATATGAACTTGTTTGTTGTAAAATATTTACACATTACTTCTCTTGCTGGTTCAAATTAAGTTTCTTGGAAATATTTGAACGATTCTATTGATTGAGACTCGAATCGAATCAAACTAAATTGTTTAATGAATTCATGGCAACGAGTAGGTCACAGATTTATTTTATAATTAAATACACGCATCTGGATATGGCATGCGTCAACCATTGTCATTCAAGTTTCCAATTGAATCGATAGACCCGCTTGAAAAGGGCGATACAAGTCCACGTCAGCTGTGAAATATGACCACTGCGTCTAATCGCCATTTTTTGCAACACCGCTCGCAACACGATACGATGAAGTGCGTGTTTGGTTAAAAATGAAATGTTTGATCCTGATTGAAATTTTTTTCAACATAATTATTTTGTTAGAACCATTTCAAGAGGTTAGCATTGAACAAATTCAATTATCTATGGTTCAAATGAAATCAAAAGGAATACAAATAATGAAAAAAGAGTTTTTCAAGTCTACGCTCATTGTTCAATATATAATAGTTGCCAGAAAACACTGTTCGATTTGCGATACATAAAGAAAGTGCTAGATAACATTTGACACAATGAAGCGCACAGAGAGTCGGTTTCAGTGCCGACAGTTCATCATTTAGCACGAATTAAACATTAGAGCAATCTTATAAAATATACATACATTTTAAGTAGGTAATGATGAAAAATGTCGAATAAACAGAATTGGGTTATGAGAGTGCTGAAGAGGTACGTGTTTATTTGTTGAGTAAATGTGTGATATCGCGTATATCGTCACCCCGCTATAGTCTTTTTTCCATTCGGCGTATCCATCGGATCTAATTGCGAACGCAAACATTTAACAAAATAAACGTATGTACCTCCACCAATCTGCCTCATTGTAAGAAACTAGACAACACCATGACACAGCAAATATCGGATATAATAGATTGGAAAGGCGCTTGGGAAAAATCGGTGAAAACGAATGTTCTTTTTCCCGTGTGGGATTGTTGTATTGATTCCGAATGGTAGTCACAACACAACCAACCGTCCACCAACCATCACAGAAATTATTCAGTTACATTCTTTTCGCCCGCTAGAATATTTCTCCAAAGCTGCCGCTCATAAACGGAATTTAGTTGTTCGGTAGTGGCCAACGGATGTAAACCATTTTATTAGTTGTTTTCTATTGTCAGCAAGTGGAAATGATACATTGATACATTTGTAGGATATCCTGACGTTACTTTTTTTTTTAAGTTGATTTCAAGACAAATCAAATTATAATTTTATCGAAGACAATCATAAATAATCCCAATATTTTGTGTCCCCATTAAGTGAGTCAGTCAGGAAAATCTATTGTGAAAATTATCAAATGAATGAAGCCGGTTGAATTCAAAACCTTTTGTAGTTAATTTAATGGAAAAAAAATTGAATTTGAATTTTATTTTCCTCCGTTCCACTAATTCGACTGTGTGAAAACATTTAAAAAGCATTGAAAAGAAAATTGTCTGTGATTTTGGTTTAACAAATAAACCAATTAACGTTCGAATCAAGTTGGATTTCAATCAGTTTCGTTGGATTCACATTTATTTTTCTCCGTCAAAAGTAGAAAGTTTCTACTATAAACATACAAACGCAGAAATAAAAAAAAAATGATGGCAATGGAGTCAGTAAGTTCTCAAAATCAACCCAATAATGGGATTCATAGAGATGATGATTATCGAAAGCGGATTCTGCAGAGTACGTGTGCATTTTATGGTGTTTTTTTTTTGTTGTCGTCATCGTTTTTTTTTTTTTTAAATAGTCAATAATTCACATTAAATACAAAATTCATATTTTCCATTTATTTTCTATTTATATTTACCCGAATGCCCCATTGCCAACGGGAATGTACACGACCATTTATCCATTAACTCACACTACAATCAACCTGCTGTGTTGGCACACTCGAATATTGGCGTTGCTGATAACGGTCATATATTATTGCACTCAATGCAGTGAGAATATCGGGTATGTATAGATTTCACCACTTCAATCATTTTATGAGTGTTGGTGACTGGACACACTTTTGAAAATCAAACACACAACTCCATAAAAAAACAGCCATAGAATTAATTTTTTTTTCTGATTGGTTCGTTTTTCTTTTGTTAAATATTGAATGAATAAAAACGAGTCAAGGATTCTCGATTGAACTAGTTGCGTACGGGTCATTTTTTTGTTGAGAACATTTCGACTCAACAAAATGTTGCCAAATTGCTATTTAGTCGTTTGCCAATTTAATTAACCATAGTTTTCAACTGAAGATTAAAATAGTTCTCCATCTGTACATAGGTAATGTTTTGATATCTCATGTTTATATGTCATGACTTGTTGCTATAATAATTATCTTATATTTTGACCTTCGTTAAAGTATGCGAACAGCAGAGCATACACACTCAAATGATCTGTGGTGTTTTTTCCCGCACTTTTGTAGCAGACTCTTTTCTACACAAAAATTGGGTTTTAGTGTAGCAAAGAATGACAATCATTTTCTGAGTTATTTTGCCTTATTTCAACTTGACACGATTGTGACTTTTTTCAATAGATGGCGCTGTATGTGTCACATGTAAATACCATAGATAATCTATGAAAAACTTTGAACTTTCATTGATTTTGGTTTTTTTTTCAATAGATGGACTTATAAATTTCACGTACAAATATCATGAAAAGTTCAAATAGGGCAAAGCTGGTAGTCATTCTTTATTTTCATTTCAGAATATTTCTTAGAAATCTAATAATATTCGTTTTGATGTTGAATCAAACAATGCAAACTAACATAATTTTGGCATTTACTTTTACACTCTAATCATATTTTGGATAAGTTCGTTGATCAAGCGCATTGACAGCAAATAAACGTTCTTCCAAAATATGGATTTACTGTAAAAGTAAATGCCTGAATTATGTTAGTTTGCATTGTTTGATTCACCATCAAAACGAATACGATAAATAAACGACTAAATAGCAAGTTGGCAACATTTTGTTGAGTCGAAATGTTCTCAAAAAAAATGATCCGTACGCAACTAGTTCAATCGAGAATCTTTGACTCGTGTGTTTTTTCAACTTCTTCTCTGGGCTTTAGCTGCAGTAACTTCGGAGTCAGACAGCGTTATTTAATTTTAAGGATTAAATTTCTATCTCTTTATATATATCTATATATAAGTATATGTATATATGTGTGTAGATTTCACAAACTCAATCATTTAAAGAACAAAGGATAACAAATATTTATGTGAATTATCTGAATACAACAACTGTAGTATATTATGTATAATATATGCTTCATGCTATTGACCCTTTGTCAAGGGGAAGAATAGCAAAAAAATTGGAGTGTTCATCTCTAACGTGTACAGTTTGGCTCTGACATATACAAGTACTAGTTCAACTTTGTGATGACATTTCTAAACAAATCTGGGAAAAATGAATAACATCCATCGAAGTGAAGTGCTGAAAGATTTTTTGTGTGACTCTCTCTCTATCCGATTAAAAATGAAATAGGACAATAAATTGATAATCGATCCGATAAATTAGATACATTGTTTTCCAGTAACGCCTAACTTTTCCGATATGAAAAAAATTCTAGAAAATAATTTCATTTTAAATTTATATGTAGGCTATATTTCATGCATTATTTACACGCACTTCTGTCAAATCAACAAATTATCAGAGGTCTCATTTTGTATACGCTTATATCTTGAGATATTAGAAGCTCCTATTTTTAGGCGATGGCTAGTGAGCTTAATTTTTGATTGCCTAGCAATATCGACTCATCGCTTTTGATCCATAGCCATACGAATACCAAATCTAATATCGCATCAATTTTCAATCACTTCAAACTGTCCGTTACAATCTGATTTACAATATTAGTTCTTTGTACGCAATGTTCACATGACGAATACTGAATAAATGAACGACACAGGATGCACCAGTTCTCATGCTACAATTTGGTCAATATATTGACATTCATGCTACAATTTGGCCTATATACATATATATATTGGGTGTGGGAATTAGTTTTTTCGATTTTTTAAAAATTTTCAATTATTTATTTGAACACCAAAATGAAATTACATTTCAATCAAAATATTGTCCACTGGAAGCGATGACCTTCTGCCACAATTTGGGCAATTCACGGATGCCTCCCTTAAAAAATTCCTCGTCTTTTGAGGCTATGAATGCATCGAGCCAAATTTTGAATTCTTCAACTGAAGAGAACCGCTCTCCGCTCAGATGGTTTTGCATCGATCGAAACAAATGGTAGTCGGAAGGAGCCAGGTCTGGACTATACGGGGCGTGAGCCAAAACTTCCCATCCGCTATTTTCCAAGTAGTTTTTAACCGATTTCTTAATATGTGGCCGAGCATTGTCATGTAGGAAAATCAATGTCTCTTTTCTGGTCTCCCATTTCTTTCGTTTTTCTTTGATAGCTTGTTTCAAACGTATTAATTGTTGTCGGTAGAGAGGCCCATCGATGGTTTGACCACTTCTCAGCAGCTCATAATACACCACTCCCTCCTCATACCACCAAATACACAGCATTACCTTGTCGCCGTGGATATCTTGTTTTGGCTGTGATGTTGCTGGCTGGCCGGGCTTAACATACGATGCTTTGCGCTTGGGGTTATCGTAATGAATCCATTTTTCGTCACCAGTGACAATTCGATACAGAAAACCTCTTTTTTTGTACCTAGCGAGCAGCATTTCGCAACTCACCAAACGCCTTTCAGCTTGCGCCGGCGTCAATTCATGTGGTACCCAATTTGACAACTTGCGAATGAAACCAAGGGACTTTAAACGATATCCAACTGTGCTTCGGTCAACATTCAATGCACTGGTAAGCTCATCTTGAGTTTGACTTGAATCTTCATCGAGTAATGCCTCCAATTCCGCATCTTCAAACTTTTTTGGCTGGCCGGAACGTTCCCGTGCTAAAATCACCACTTTTGAACCGTGCAAACCACTGTTCACATGTACGTACCGATGGAGCATGCTCACCATAGGCTTCCACCAACATTCGATGCGCTTCAGCCGCAGTTTTCTTCAAATGAAAGCAAAAAATTAATGCTTCCCGGAAATGTTGCTTTTTCGGTACAAAACTTGACATATTTAAGGCGCAAAAAAATTGGTCATTTCCACTTCGATGAAATGATAGATGGTGATTTTTGTAGTTTAACACTAGACCTCTCATGCGAAAAAGAAAAAAGTATTGCCTGATACAACCATGCAAAGTTACGCCATCTTTTGAAAAATCGAAAAAACTAATTCCCAGACCAAATATATTAAGTGAAGGTAATTAGTATTCAATCTCTATGCTTGTTTGAATATATTTTTGCTGTTGGGCGTTGTTCGCCAAAATATCAAAATTAACAACAAATGACATTGAAATTGAGTGTACTTTTGTTATTTCTCTATAGAATTTTTCTTTTCGAAAATGTCAAACGCACACCAGATGTATGGACGCTTGAAAGCTGTGCGGTCATTAAGTGTTGATGTCTCTTCCTGCGACAATGCTAGCCTTTCTACTGCATGGTTCCGGCGCAATACTCAACAAAATTAATGCCTTCATTACGGTAGCATTTCTTTCAGAAATATCCCTTGATTTGATCATTTACTTCACTCTTTTCCGGAAATATATCACGGTGTATAGCGTAGTTGAGTGGAACTTTAGAACGATTGTTCAATTGAATTGCTTGAACCATGCCACACCCCAAGATGACGAAAATATTGAGAATTCGATCGATTTAAATCTTTTTATCGATTCATTTTTTAATTGCATTCGTAGCGATCGAATGCTTGCGTGTGTACGATGAATCGCCGTGATGAAATTTCATTCCATCCCACCTAGTCATTTACTGAGTGAGAAACGCACCACCTGCATCGCATTTGTCTTTTTTAAGATTCCATTCATTCCATAACGCTTTTTTTTCGTAGTTTCGTTGATTGTGGCCATAGTGTTCCGGTATAGGGATACGTGGCAATCATATAAGATCTCTCAATTTTAGTTGAGTTAAGGCAGACACTTTTGCTTGCTTTGATTTCTTCATCATCGTCTATGTTGATGTCCACACAGCACAACGCACTCAACGCACACTTCTGTGGATGCTCGATCCGCTACGTAGTCGCCGTTTTCTTAAGCGTTCCCTCACTGGCAAAGTTTTACTACAAAGCGTGCCGATAGTATGCGTACGCCATAAGCTTTTCGATTATATGGTTAGTGCTATGTTTCAAGAACGACGTCATTAACAGTACAGCGGAGTAGTGTTGTTTCTCAAACAAAGTATTTACGTTTTAGTTCGTTCCTTTGATTCTCTTTCACTCATCAAAGTATGTGGTACGCGTAAGCTTCATTCTTTTCGTTTATTTACTCTGCTGCCTGTAAACATTATCCGTTTCATTGCTGAAAAGTACATTTGTCTATTGTTATGCTACCGCACGGTTTCCTCCGAACGCGCGGCGTTTTAGGTTCTTTATTGTTGTTGCCGTTTGGTTCGCCGCTTAGTCGTGCTTCCATCCTTTTTTTTCCATTTCCACTGTTTTCGCATTAATATTATAGACTATGCGCAGAATATACAGAAATTTCACATCAGACAAAACGCAACACACCTACTAACTTCACAAAGCACACACACGAGCTATATCGCATGGCAAACATTGGCCAAATAGACGTATATAGCATTAATTTCCACATTATTTTGTTTAATAATTGATAAGCTTTTGAGGCAACATCAACACATTTTGCTTATCCTCCACTGAATTTGCCAGCTACAAAACGTTAAATAGCACGAAACATTTCAAAAATTTTGCAAAGTGCAAAAACGGAAGAGAATGAATTTTTGGCCACAAATAGAGTTATTTGGGCTGTTTTATCGTCAGAATCAATAGCGGAGCGTCCGCCACAAGAACGCTAGCCTAATGATCGATACATGTATACCCGTTACCATAATTAAAGGCATCGAATGCTAATTTTAGCTCACGTCATTTATACATTAAAAAAGTATTGTGATTCAACATTTGATATTACCAGTGGTGAGTCCATCGGACTACATGCTAGACTAGTGAGAGAAAAAAAAACAAATAAACGCAAGTGATTAACGCGAACTAAAATAATTGTCTGAATTTTTCAGTGTGTTTTCAAATGTTATCTTTTTAAAAATCAATTTTAGACGGTTACTTGTGTAAGTGTTTCTTTCATTGGTACAACGAACAGGTGTGTGTGTGCGTGTATAAGTATAGAAAAAAACCATATGCACCATCCACCAAAAAAACAACGAGATTTGACAATGTCACCGACAATGCAAGGACCGCATTCTTCCGTTAAAATGCCACAATTGCAGCCGCAACGGGCAAGTCTTCCAGGCAACATGCAACCACATACCTCGATATCAATGTACTCTCATGGTAATTATGCACAAAAACCAGTGTTTGCCCATTTTACCTACAAAATCGTTTCAATGTTTTGCAATCCCAATTTTATTTGCGATTTATAGATATTGGCTTCGTTCTTTTTTGCATGCATCAATAATTTTATCCCGAATTTCACAAACCAGACCAGAAAGCATATTAGTTTTAAAAGTGAATTTTGCCAATATGTGTTGTACATTTAGCCAGTATTGATATTAACTACGCTGGCTATGCATCATTTATCCTACGTTCCAATGCGATACTACGCAGTAAGTATGCGACATTGTAAGCAAGAGCGTACAAAATACGCAGAAAAAAAATATATCGGCTCGATTTGAGCATGGAGGCATGCCAACGAACTCATTATTCTTGATGAAAATCCGTCTTTGTAAACATTCTTGATGGTTTTCTACCTACTTAGTATCTCCAAGATTTCAGCTGTTGTCACGCCGCACTCCATCCGTTCGTCGAGAGTTTAGCACACAGTGCCTATATATATAATGTACATATGTACACATATATTCCAAGCTTTCACCACTGTATCCACTTTCTGAGAAAGAAAATTAACTTCATTGTTGAAGTATAAAAGCAATTTCAAGCTTAACCACATCTATCTCATAGGGTTACAAAAATGTATATATGTTTATTCCGTTTTGCCGTTTGATGTCATACATTATGATCAAATAAAGTATTGAAGTTTGTAGCACATTCAATGTTCATGTTCGAAAATGGAAGATTCTTTGAACAATCAATTCCGTAGCTCGAAATTCACTAACACTACACGGTAATACTTCTCGTCACTCACTCTGCTATTGAATCAGTCAGGTTTTCGGTACAAATATAAATAAATTTATTTTAATGGAGTACATTAATAGAACCGAAAACGCCTGAATATTTTAATTAAATAATAAAATTACAGTAGCTCAAAATTCAAACATTTCATTAGCATTCGTAGATAAAATACTGAATGTGAACAAATTACCACCTTTCCTCATCTTTTTCGCTATGTTTTATTGTAGCCTCGTTCTATCTTCGTCATTAAACACTTCATGCATGTAGACTGTAGAACATGTTTTTTTCCTCGTTCCAATTTTTCATTGATGATACGTACACTTTTGGACAAAATTGAGAGGACAACCTCGAAAAAAATTTACCAATGATTTTTTCGTGAACAAAATTAGTTTATATTATTCAAACATTTGTTCTATTTATTGCAAAATAATGTGAACTAAAAGAATCTAGAGGAATTTTAGTGAATTTTTTTGAATTTCGTGATTTTTTCTCAAAAATGTAAACCGATGTCAAATTAGCATTGGACAAAATTGAGAGGACAGTTCGTTACATATTTATATAAATGGACCAACTACCATGACAATTGAAAACTAGAGACACAGCTTCATGCACAGGCTCGCGAAGATTCGAAATACTGTATATGGTTTGCTCCACCGAACCGTTGTTTCAGAAATGGAGGCGGTCAAACTTTTTTTATCATATTTCACTTCTGTCATCTTCAACACATACGAATATTTCTTGAACCAAGAAAGATATTGAAGCATAGTAAGCGGCATTTGAAAGATTAAAATTAGACCAACAAAATGCAATAATAACCGACCAAATATTCCAAGTACTTCAAGAGATACAGCCGTGAAAGTATGACAGCTGCTATCGAAATGACACCAAATATTTGACATTTGAGGTTAGAACTCAGAAATTGTAAATTATTTTTACTTCATGTCTTGGTCAAATTTACTCTACTTATCAAGAGCTCAAAATTGTAGTTCAAAAAGTTTGACCGCTACCATGTCTGAAACAACGGTTCGGTGGACAAGCCATATACAGTATTTCGAATCTTCGTGAGCCTGTGCATGAAGCTGTGTATCTAGTTTTCAATTATCATGGAAGTTGGTCCATTTATATAAATATGTAACGAACTGTCCTCTCAATTTTGTCCAATGCTAATTTGACATCGGTTTACATTTTTGAGAAAAAATCACGAAATTCAAAAATATTCACTAAAATTCCTCTAGATTCTTTTAGTTCACATTATTTTGCAAAAAATAGAACAAATGTTTGAATAATATAAACTAATTTTGTTCATGAAATAATCATTGGTAAATTTTTTTCGAGGTTGTCCTCTCAATTTTGTTCAAGAGTGTACATGATGGTTAGCAACATAAAAGCATTTTCAAATCATATGAAACCCTGTTATATATTTGTTTGTTTTTTTTTTTTTAATATCAAATGACCGTTTCGGTTTCGCTTGCCTTTTTTTCAACTCATACATTTGTTTTCTTAATGCAAGACACACAGTTGATTGAGTCGAGCTCCAAAATTGGGTGAAACAATTTCTTTTTGATTATTTGAAATGCTGATTTTTATATACATACTGACTGGATGTCCTGAATGACGGTGATTTTAGTTTATCTTTAGTGACATTGGACAAATAGATTGGACAAATAGGTTGTTTAGTTCCACAATTCTTCAAAATCTGTAATGATTACAATTACATAATTAAAAGGAAGCACTCCTTTATGTCAACTGCGATTATAGTGTATCCAGATACACTATCAAATTCATTGTTGGTAAATGGAAAATAACCGTAACAATTGCTTTTGACACATACATATATGAAAATTACATATAATGTGGTACATGCATGAAAAACTGGCTTTCCCGCACATTGGAGGAAAAAAAACAGCATGGATTTCTTGTAAGAATAAAGACCAATGGAATGAAAAGCAAATGTCGTAATTCATTCTGTTCTTGATAACTAAAAAAATGTTTTGAGTCAATTTATTTTTGCGAATTCATATGAGAATTTCGAGAAAACAACTTTTTGGCGGTCCTCTTTCTTCTTATCACACATTGGTAGTTAGTACGATAACACCGGATAGTCGCCGAAGTTGCATTGAGGAATCAATGATGATATAGGAGTCATATCATACAGCAACCGAATCTATACATCCCAAATTGGTAATCAAAACCACCATTTGACCAGTTCCAAATGACCTATGACACTGAATCCAAAAATACTATGCCATTACATATACTCATCATTTGTGATTTACGGTCATCAATGATGGTTTATTTTCATAGATCATAATCATACCCAAACGGATCTGCATGAATAAACACGAAATTTATATGGTGGAAAATTCGCATTCAAACACAATTTTTTCAATTGTTTTGGCTCCATAAGGTCATACAATACATTCAGACTACGATCGTGGTGAAGTAAATAAGGAAACTATATACAGTAAATATTATCTAGAATATTATTTCATCATTTCGATTGACTAAATCGAGAGGAGAGTAAGTTCATCTGACTTTGTTATGAAAGAGAAGAGTAAGTTTCTTTCGACTCAGAAATGGTTAAAGGCTATAGTATGTTCATTTTTGGCGGGTCCTCGCGGTTTTCCACGGTTTCCGCGGAACTAATAAGAGATAACAACTTGGTGTCTTCGGCAAAGCTGTAGCACGACCCAAGCGCGACTCCACACTTCGCTTCTAAATGTGACACCGTAGTAAGTGTGGGCATACGTTTTTCGAATAAGCGACAAAGAGAATGGAAACAAGTGCGCGTATATTAGTCGCTACATTGAGAAGCATCGCATCAGGCTACTCACTACCACACGCGCACTTGTTTCCATTCTCTTTGTCGCTTATTCGCAAAACGTATGCCCACACTTTCTACGGTGTCACATTTAGAAGCTAAGTGTGGAGTTGCGCTTGGGGCGGTCTTCTATAACATTGCTGAAGTCAGTTATCTCTTATCTCTTATCAGTTCCGCAAAAAGCGCGAAAAATGATAAGAAAAAAAAAAGTTCTATATAAAATTTGCTTTTTAATGTGCGCGATTTGCGCGCAACTGATAGAGATAAGAGATAGATATCTTCAGCAATTATAGAAGACTTCGAGTACTACAACTTTGCCGAAGACACCATCTTGTTATCTCCTATCAGTTGCGCGTGAAGACCGCAGAGGCTAGACGGTACTACAACATACTCTACTTTAACGCCAACAGAATCATCAGAAAACATACTCTCCTCTTTCGAAATATATTAGAATTTTTTCACATACTCTCCTCTCGATCTAGTCAATAGATTTGTGATTTACATTTTGTATCCTTCTGTTAGTCTACCGCTAGAATGTCTGAAAATAATCCAAAGTAATTCACGTGTGCATTTATAAATACGCCATGCAAACACAAATGGGTATTTTATTAAAATAAAAATCAGTCGCATATACGCCATGATATCATCATATTAATAAATTAATTTTTTACTGGCATGCAAAATATTGATGAGAAACATACAATGTATCCATCCATACACACACACACACATGTACATATGATTTTGTATTTTTAGACTTTAGTTTCTGTCGTGTTATTTTCAATGCTCAATTAAATCGTGGCGGAGAACTAACAAACAATATACCGAATGAACTGTTCCCTGGTCGGCTATTGGAGATTCTTCAATCCATTTGTCATTGTGGTCAGACTAAACGTTGCCCTTTGTCACCGCTTTTTTATTTGAAGTTTTCATTTAATCGATTCTCACCAAAAAAAAAAAAAAAAATCCACATGTGGGATTATATAAAATAATGACACAACACAGGCAAATGGGTAATCCATAATTGTTGCCTAATTATGCGCACACATAGCTATATCAAGACAACACATTCACGTGTTTCGAATGTCAATTGGCCATGTATATGTTATCATTTTGATTTTGTCATTTGTGAACCGTGTTTAAAAACCCAATTTGTTTATTGATTATTTTTGTTCTGCATATGAACAACCTGTCCAATATAGTCTGGTCTCGGCCTAAATTTGCTTCATATTCATGCTTTCATTTACATACATCAAACAAATGAAGAAATAGTATAGCCAGAACCACGACACATTAAACGGAAAAATATGAATAAACTGTCAAATACAAACCGCGATATGAATAGTGAAATGTCAATTTTTAGGTTCGTCCTTTTTACTCACCATCAACCTCGTGTTGTTCTATTGCTATCACGATTTCCACGTTTCCCCCTTTTCGGATATACATATAAATCGACATCCTTTTGTATGTGAACAGACCAGCACACATGGAGAGGGAGTTCGATCGTATGTATCGGTGCGAACATAGCCATGATTTACACACAATATAGTTTTTTTTTTCCTATAAATCTTTGTATTCGTTTGATACAAAAGACAAATTTGAATTAAGCCACTCACAATGCCCCACATTCCATAATAACTATGACGCTTGATACACACACTCTTTACTACCAATAAGTATGTTTTCATTCTTTGTCCATTGCCCAAACATGAGCTGCGACAAAAGATGAATAGAGGACATTTCAGTCGGAAAGCAACTTTAATCGATGTACAACATAAAACTCGACGATTATATTCCGATAATAATGGGACTGTGAAAAACTGTTTAAAATTATCTCAACCATCATTTCCTATATGGAAAATTGAGCCTAGCCATTGTGGGAAAGAAAAAAGAGACGTCTGAAAAGAAAAGTTCCAATATATACATTTATACATGTATATAAAACGTTTTTTTTTTTTTCAAAGCTCTATATTATACCTCTGTGATATTTTCGCTGGAACATAAAATCTTCTGACTCTCCTTTTAAAGCAAAGGTTATCGTATTTTGCATTGACTATTGTTGAGATTTCAAACAGTAATTGCTTTGAAACGAATTTTCCCCAATCGAATTTATGGCATTCGGTGGTGAATTAAACCGCGACATAATTACATTTCTAACATATTTCGTTAAATAAAACGAGTACAAACAGGAGAATCAAATTAAATTCATTCTCTTGATAATTGCGCATTAAAAAGGAGTGTACTTTGCTGTTGTCCAGCTTGTCTCCATCATTCATTTCCATTATGTATTTTTTTCAGTGAATAAACGAACAGCACTTTGAGTGTAATGAATTTGCGAATTTCAATTAAAGAAATTAGGTGCTTTTAAAAAAAATACGTGGACATAAAGAATATGCAGAAAATCGCATTTATATTCTTGAACATACGAACTTAATCAAGTAAATTATCATAAATTCACATGGAAAATATGCCAGATGATCGAAGCATTATCGTTGAGGGTAAATATTATACATACATTTTCTACGCACTTTGCATAATTGGTAAGAATCCGATACATTATGGTATTAGAATTGAACTCGACTTCGTTTAATGCCACCCATTTCGAAATAGAATACCACGTCGTTTTGCGTGACTCGTCTTACATTAAAAATTTAAATATGCAATGAAATGGAATTTCAAGTGTTTGGAAATCGTAGGAGAAGAAGATGATGATGAGCGGAGCAAGCAAACAACAATTTTCTGCAGAAAAAAAAATTGGCAAATGCTGGAGAGTTTTCTATATTTTTTCTACAAACAAAGGAATGCCCATGCCTCTCAATGCCGAGTACCAATCAACCTTTCGGAGAAATGAATTCGTCTATGTCATATCCATAAAACACCTGGAATTTTGCGAATGACGCGCGGTATTCTTTTGTTTGCATGAAACAATGAGACCTGTACATACATTATATATTACATAACATGAGTTATGTTTTTTTGGAACGTATAAATACCTAAAATGCGTTCCAATGGTCTCCAAACGAAAGTGTGTTCATATATTTTTTCGGCTTTTAAAACAATTGTGAATTGTTGATATTATTTGTGTTGTTGAGAATAAAAATGAGATTAGCCGAAACCGCATATTTTTATGTGAATCATTTTTGTGTTTCTGGTACGAGATACGAGGCAAGTGTAGATGAGGATCTTGAAATGTTCTAAAACATTGCAGAAAACATCGGTCTTCTATCTCTTACCAGGAACACAAAAATGATTCACATGTCTATGGGTGAGATTGAGCTTAGTGTATTTTCCATTGACTTTGTTACGAAAGAGAAGAGTAAGTTTCTTTCGACTTAAAAATAGTTAAAGTAAAGTATGTATTTTGACTGTTTGTGGCTATGATAAAGGCGAGTATGTTTCATAAACCTTAATTGAGGGGTTTGGAGCAAAAATGTCACACAGAAAAGTTAAGAGGAAAAATGTCAAATGAAAAGGGATAGCTTTATAGTTCACTATAGTTTACTATATAGCTATCCCTTTTCCGCTCATTCATCATCGACATTTTTCCGCTCAACTTTTCTGTATTCCATTTTCGCTCTAAACCCCTCAATTTGCGTTAAACAAGAGTATGTATTTTGTTAGTTTGGAATACCGATAAACAGGAGTATGTTTTTCTGACTTTGGTTGTTTTAAAAGGCGAGTATGTTTGTCCAAATTGGTGAATATTATTAACCCTCTAATGCATTAATTTTTCCCAGGGCTGGGAGTACTGGTACTTGTTTGATTTTTGGCCATAGATAATTAAAAAAATATTCATAATCCTGGATTGCTCATGGTTTAGTCAGAAAATGCGATTGACATAAATCAGAGAACAATCAAATCCATTGTTTAAGAGTGTCAAAAATTTGTCTAATTTGGAGTTCGAATAATTTATTTTTTCAAATTTATGTTTTTGCACACATTTTTGTTTATAATAACTTTACAATCACACTACATAGACAAATATTGCCAAAAACAAAAATAAAGAGAAAACATTGAAGAATAAAAATTCTGTTCGAAGCAATGTGATCCGATGTACGGTTTACGTTCTACAGGCGTTCAAATGTTGCCCGTCTAGAGGCGGTTGTATGCATTAGAGGGTTAATTTATTTGAATTTAAGTATTAGGCAAACATAATCAATAGAACTAATCATTTGTACATCTGGCGGCTCTCAATACTTCAATTTAACACATTGGTTTTCGAAAAAGTAGAGTATGTTTGCATAAATGGTTAAAAATATTAAGTTCTTTCGACGAAGAGTATCACTCTGATATTTTTACTATAACTCTACTATTTTTAAGTCGAAAGAAACTTGCTCTCTTTTTCTTAAAACAGAATCACTGAAAAACATACTCGACTTTTTAAAAATATAAATCCGAAAAAAAAAAACATACACTACTCTCAATCTCACCCATAGATGTAAACGAGCGGTCAATTCGGCTAATCCCATTTTTATTTTCAACGACACATTTGTATTATTCATTCTTAACATTTTTAAATGGATTTTTAATTTGAAAAAACCTATTTGTCGAACCCTAGGGGATTCACGCGATTTCCCAGAACGAAAATAATTTTGAAAGATAAAAATAACAGTGAATCAAACCCTCAACCGAAAATTTGAACGACTTTTGAATGATTTTGGTGGATTACGGTGAATATTATAACTATTTTTGACTGTACAAATCTGTACAAATTAACTGGTATGCACGTCAATCTCAAATATCTATGTATATTCAATAATATTCATTTGTCGTTCATGATAAATATTTTTGAATATACATGGATATTTCGGGCTGAAATGCATACCAATGAATTTCTGAGTTGATACTTGTTGCGTGCGGACGTGAAAGATAAAAAAATGATTTTCTCCTCTAGGTCGAACCAATCTCATTAAAAGTGTTATCCAAATTCGTTCACAGTTCTAACAATAATCAAGTGAATTCTTTCCGATGTTTTTACAGCCGAAGATGAGCAAAAAGCGGATTCAGAATCTTGTGGAAAGGCATTAATAGTGCTGTCTTGGGTGCTTGTCTGCATTACGATGCCATTTAGTCTTTTCGTATGCTTTAAGGTGAGTTCAGCTTGAAAAGCCAATATCAAGCAATAAGGAGGTTTAACCAAATTTTAGCCAAATTTGGTATCAGAGCAACAAAAATGCAAATATTTTCTGCTGATATTTCTAATAAACACGGTCATTGGTAGCCATTGAATTGATAAGACAACGCTTAAGCAAAACTCAATGGGACTAACAACAAACTAGTCCATTAGCGTTTACATTGTCAATGCAATTAATTATGAATGAAAGAAAAAAATCTACTACTAGAAATATTCGCATAATGTCTCCCTTGATCTCGTATAATATCTCACTTGTTGGTATGCATGGAGGAAATTCTAATGATGATTAACCAATTTTTGGTATTTTGACCTAAATCAAAAACATTACTGTAGACCTTTGTGCTGTCATTTGTTAAAATTGTGGATTTTTATAGGTTGTACAAGAATATGAACGAGCTGTAATATTCCGTTTGGGTCGGCTGATGCAAGGTGGTGCCAAGGTAGTTTAATATCTTTTTATAATACTTTTAAACCTAAAATTAAAATTAGGAAAATTCAATGAAATAATTGATAATTGAATTGATATCGCTTTTTTTCAATTTGCAGGGACCAGGTTAGTAATTTCGGTCGGATTTCAAGATGTTGTCGAGAAATCTTATCAACAGCCACAACTAATGTTGCGTGGACAAACGAGCATATTTAATTAAAAGAACACAAACAATATCCTTGAGCTTCAGTTAAATAGCTTTGTATAACGAAATAGATTGCAAATAAATGAACAAAACAAAACAGTACTATATATTACAGTATATTGGAACATGTGAAAATTGGTTAATCAACTAAAGTAGCAATATTTGCGAACTAACTTATTATACGAAAGCTAATTAACCATATTTCATTGATGCTCGTATTGATGAATGCAATTTATTTGAACGATAAATATAATCTCGATATTTGACTAAAGTTTGACCATAAAATTATACTTATTTCCATCCATACATTCGCCCCTCGTTCTCACTCGTCTCTATGTTCTTGCCATTTTAACACTCATAAAAAAATCCACATCAAAAATGTGCTCAAAGTGTTCTCCAATCTCCATATTAGTATGGCTCACATCAACTTCACATGAAATTTGTGCTTATTTTTGGTGTAAGTCAGACTTTCATACCAAAAACTCCATACAAAACGAGCATATTTTCTATGTGACTGACAATACAATGATAGACAAGTTGTCAATATAAATGACCGTTACAACGACAAAACAGGAACATCATTTATTGTCAGTCACATCAAAAATGTGCTCGTTTTGTACGTGAGTTTTGAGCATTATTGATGCCTTGAAAGTAGCGACACATAACAGCGGTTTTTTCATAGCAGTCAATCAAATATCGCGAGCTGTCAAAATTTCAGTATTCTACGTTGTTTAAAAGTCAAAACTAAAACCGCTGTAAGAGGGCGATACGAATTTACATTGTTATTGTTTTTAATAGAAAAACACTGACATTCAAGGAGCACGGTTTTGTATGGAGTTTTTGGTGTGAAAATCTGACTCACACCAAAAATTAGCACAAATTTGATGTAAAGTTGGTGTGAGCCATACTAATATGGAGAACATTTTTAATGTGGATTTTTCCATGGGCAGTAATTTATTCTTTGTAATATGTTTTAAGGTATATTTTTCATACTGCCATGTGTTGATGCATACGCCCGAGTTGATCTTCGTACTAGAACTTATGATGTTCCACCGCAGGAAGTGAGTTGTGATATTAGTATACAAGTTTTAATCAACATACATATATTAACCATTTGCTTGTAATAAGGCGAAAGCTCTGAATATAACGATAAATGGTGATATGCACCAAAAGTCATTTAAAATTAAATTCACTGTAGTACAGACTATTAATTTGGATATCTTGGGATATCCCTAGGAAAAAAAAAATAGTCAGATGCCAGTCAAATTCTGTGTTAAATGTTTTTCAATACATAATGCATTTTCTGTAATATTTGAACTTATAAGCTTTATTAGCACCGTATTTTATTAAAATAGTTATATGTAGAAAGACGGTGGTCTGAATTTACATCATTAAAAACTTAGTTGAATCAATTGGATTGAAGATGTCGAAAAGACACAATGTTACGAAAATTGAAAAATTAGCAATTGAATCCGAATTACAGGCAAACGGTGAATTACGGTTGTTTAAGAATGTTGTTGCAAATATGCTTAAAGATAATGACCGATTCTTTAAAAATTCCAATTGAATAATTATAATTCCATTTTTTAAGGTATTGACCAAAGACAGTGTTACTGTCAGTGTTGATGCTGTAGTTTATTATCGCGTATCAAATGCCACAGTTTCGATTGCGAACGTTGAGAATGCACATCATTCAACCCGTTTGTTGGCTCAAACTACGCTGCGAAATACAATGGGTACGCGTCATCTACACGAAATTTTGAGTGAGCGTCAAACAATTTCTGGCACAATGCAGGTAAAATGGTTAAAATCATGTATAACAAAGTAGGAAAGGTGAACATATAAAATTTGGAAAATTATTTTCAGGTACAATTGGACGAAGTAACCGAAGCCTGGGGCATTAAGGTGGAGAGAGTCGAAATTAAAGATGTTCGTTTGCCCATTCAGTTACAACGGTAGGTTACGTTAAAAAAACACATATTCATTGTCCTTTGCTATTTGATTTTCTATTTTATTGCAACTTTCATTTTATTCTATGTTTCTCCATGTCATTTCAGTGCAATGGCAGCCGAGGCCGAGGCATCACGTGAGGCTCGTGCTAAAGTCATTGCGGCTGAAGGTGAACAGAAGGCATCACGAGCATTGCGCGAAGCCAGTGAAGTGATTGGTGACTCACCAGCTGCCCTTCAACTCAGATATCTTCAGGTATACACAAACCATTTTCAAGAACCCAGCTTCGCATAGTAACAATGTGAAAATTCTTTCTTTATAGACTTTGAATACCATTTCGGCTGAGAAGAATTCAACGATTGTATTCCCATTGCCGATTGATTTAATAACATACTTTTTGAAATCACATCAAAATGATGTCTAAATGATATTTGCTTAACCATTTTGGGGTGCCAGTTTCAATCTGTCCCGTTTGATTCGAGTACTTTTTTATATGCACCAAATCACGTGAAGAATCTGGCTTAAATAATATGTATAGCCATACTGTGCAATCAATTTTCAGAAGAAAAACACTTTACCGAACCAATTTCGCTAAACACTGAGAGACTTTTTGTTTAGTTAAATGCCCGGAATTGCTTTCGACCAAAAATTCGCATTTTCATAATGTATTGCTTAAAATAACGTAACGACTAGTAAAATTGATATTGATAAAAACGTTATTAATATACCAGAAAACAATGTCGCACTCGCCTTTTCTCAATAAATCATCATAAACGACACTTTGATAGGTTTCATGACATTGTCACTTCGTTACTTTTCAATGAAGTGAATACAACATGACCGATTCGTCATGATAGTTCGCCTTAAAATCGAAGGACCTACGGCAAATGATTACACTGAATCAGTAACACTTGTGCAATTTGAAATGCTCATGAAAAACAACTGTCAACAAATCGAATCGAATGAACTATGAGTATTACGAGTTTCTTGTATTGAAGAAATACTTTTGAAACAATGTTAAACACATAGATATAGTGCCGTAATACATTTTAAATGTAAGACTTCTGCCACATTGTAGTCAATGCCATCTCTAAACCAACCCATTGAATCATTGAATATTTCGTGCAACTTTTATCAATCGTGTGTGGCTTTACTAGAATATATTCAACTTAATGGCGAGACTAACAGCTTCTCTGTGAAGTATAACTGCACACTAAGCAATGTACATTGCACACTGATATTTTGCAATGGTTACTTGATGCATTTGTCAAAATACTGTGATTTTCATAATGATGTGTGCACAGAGAAGCTGTAAGTGTCGCCGTAAAGTTGGTTGCAATCTGGTCAAGCTCGAAATATTCAATGAATCAATACGTTGGTTTAGAAATGTCATTGGCTGTCTTCATGTTGTTCTGGCAATATCGTTATGGTTAATAATATTTGCCAATAATTTATACATTCTAAGTCTTTAATCGAAGCGTTTGACTAATTTGAAATTATTATATGTAAACATGACAAAGATTTTCTGGCACTTTCAAATACATGTCATCAGGAAAATGGACGAACTTAATGAATGGCGTTGAAGAAAATAACATTTTTATTACCCATATGAATTCTACTTAGACAAACTTCATAAACATTTTGATAGGTGTTTAACATGATGCAAACATTGATTTAACAAGCAATGCACATTTTCTAAAATATTTTCCATGTTACTAGTAAAATTTTAACAATTTTACACAATAATTTATTTGCCAAAATTTGGAGAAAAAGAAATGACAATTTTAACACGATTTTAACACGATTTTAACACGGTTCATTCAATCGGAAATTTTGTATTCTCATTTACAACAGATATAATGTGAGCAAAGCACATACACAATATTACAAAAATGATGAAGCCAAACGATTTGTTAGGGATAATTCAGAATTTTCGTTCTTTTCTTCTTTGTGGACAGTGACATGAACTGCTCAGAATATTCGTTGGGCATATTTGGATGCGTTGTTGAATGTCAATCTTGAAATTTTTTTTTTAATAAAAAACAAAGAAAAAATTGAATTTCAAAAAATCAAATTTGCAAAAATAATATTTCCTTTCGTAGGAATATGAGCAACATTGTGTGAAAGAATGACTACCAGCTTTGCCCTATTTGAACTTTTCATGATATTTGTACGTGAAATTTATAAGTCCATCTATTGAAAAAACACAAAATCAATGAAAGTTTAAAGTTTTTCATATAGATTATTTATGGTATTTACATGTGACACATACAGCGCCATTGAAAAAATTCACAATCGTGTCAAGTTGAAATAAGGCAAAATAACCCAGAAAATGGTTGTCATTCTTTTATCTACTATTAACCAGTCGCTTAATTTCGGACATTTTGGCAATGATTATCTCGAACGAAATAGACGACAGTAGTTAATTTTAGTTACAGTCGCCTGATACTTATTCTTCAGTCAATATGTCCAAAATTAAACGCCTTTTTGAGAAATGACTGAAGACGACTATTTTCATACAAGATTCCGAAAACAAATTTGACTATATGTGTATTAAATCAATTTTAATTGATTTAAGCATTCTGGAAACCGAAGTGAAAGAATACATTTGTAAATTGTTGTCTAGTTTAGTACGATTTTCGTATGTTTTAGCACGATTTTAGTTTTATCCTCAAAAATTATCACTTCGAATATTCCCAGAAAGTCTCCCTTGTATTTTATTAATTCTTCTGAAAAACTGAACCCCCCTCCCAAAATTCTAGTTACGCCACTGGCCTAGGAAAACGATCCTTAAGTTCTACATTGATAAAACACGTTCAACGAATATTCTCAGCAGTTCACATCTAATATTTGTCAGTTCATGTACTTAAACTTATTAGTAATTTGTGGCGCTAAAGCGAACAATTGAAGACGATTCAGTGGAATCACAAAACGAAATTGATATATAAATTATTTGCCTACCAAAGCACTTATTTTATGTTTTAGTATCTCAACAGGCTGTTACTTTTTTAGAAAATTTATTTCTACTGAACAAAGAAGAAAGAATATACATACTGAATGTTGTACTTATTTTGCTATATTAAAAAGATGTTCTAGAAAAAAAAAATGTTGCACTCGATATAAAATTACATCTATTTATGCTTGACACGAGCCTTTTCAAATATTTTTCCAATATCGATCGGTTGATATATGTACCATGTATATCATAATTGTGTGCAAATCTCTATACAACAGATTCCTTGGCTCATGAGGAGTAAAAAGGTGTATGGGCAAATTTTCACCAGGGGCCACGTTGCCCTGATTCCACGGCTATGGTCATTGTGAGTGCATTTTTAGACACAAACTCATTGTTAACTTTTTGAAAAGATAAAAAATCTATTATAAAGAGATTGACACACAATTATGAACCACTGTATATATATGATTATATATGTTGTATTAAATGAAGAACATTTGTCGAGACTTACTGTAATTTTATAGGATATTGTTAACCTGATAAAGAAGCGATAAGATCTTCTATGTAACTTTTTCCAAAAATGATGTTGTAGTTGAAATACAGTTGGCGCCACAAACAACTGTCAGTTAACAACAATAACTTTGTGGTGAATTCAAAAACAGTGTTTGATTTCTTAAAAAGAATGAAAAGATTTGTTTTAATGTCATATGAATTTCATAGAAGCACAACAAATACTATATAAAATACAATTAAACTGAATTATTTGGCTGAGAAAGAGTTGAAAATAATTATAACAATTATTATCTGTTATACGATTTCAAAATATATATTCACTGCTTACGCTATTCCACACAAACACATTGATGAATTCATATGCATTGAATTTTTATCGTTGATCTCGAATAATTTCTTGTTACCATCAGCGCGAATTGAAATGAAAATATAAATGCGTTCGTTGTACATTTTTCTTTGTTAGGCTTATGCTTTTTTCTTTGGTGGTTACTAATATGAACGACAACTACGGGATGATTATATCACTAGTCTTGACATTAAAGTTTTTCCAATATTCTTAATGCATTAACAGTTTGATTTTGTTTATTTACAACTTTTCGGTACGACTAAGAGAAACTCTGATTCTGTTCATTGTGTGCGATTGCATTAGTGTACGATAGAATCTCAGTAATAAAACACAGACACTAAATTCACCACAAAGTTGTCAGCGGTGTTTGCAATATCTGTCTGTATGTGAATGTATATGTGTCAAATGGCCTAAGCAGTGTATATATTGTGAAAATATTAAGAACAGTATTTAAATCCAGATAAATAAGAAACTTTGTGTGTAACACGGTAAACGAATGAAATGTTGAATTTACCACGAAAGTATTGACAGCGAAATCAGAATTTTATATGTAGACAGACGAAATTGTTATTGCATGTAGCCAGTATTTGGTGAAATATACAAATAATAATAATATTGTGAAATCGCACAACACATTATTTTTATTTTCAACTACGTTCGGCCAAATGATTCGGTTTGATTATAATTTATATAAGATTTTTTATGCTTGTATGAGACAACAAAATAAATCTTATCGTCTCTTTGTTTCAAATCAAACACTGTTTTTAAATTCACCACAAAGTTATTGTTGACAACTGACAATTGTTTGTGGCGCTAACTGTATTTCAACTGCAATATCACTTTAGGCAAAAATCTTACCGCTTCTTTAATTAAACTATTTAGTTGGTGGGTATTTGTCACCAAAAAATAAAATGTACAGTAATAAAGCGATGGAATAATCTGTTTGGATCGAAAGAACACTATTGTTATTCACATTGCCAGAAACGGTTAAAAATTCAATAGAGTTGACATTATTTAAAAAAAAATCACTAACATTTGAATTCATTTTTGTAGTTCCATTTTAAGACAAATTTCGATTTCTCCGAGCTGCATTGATTAATTTTGAATGAAAAAAAAAAGAAAAGAAAAATTTTCTTCCTTCCTTATCCAGATCATTTCCCAAAAAAGCGTTGATTGATTTTCTGGAACCTGTACGTTGTATGTATCCAATTACGTGTTATGTCAGGTAAAGAACCAACAGAAATCTTTCAGCTCTGCTACTTGGACAATTCGCTTTAATGCTGTACAATGTGCTGTAGGTTTCTTTAAGTATTAATGAATATGTTTGTAAATTGTTCATCAAAGATTTGAGTCAAACAGTCAACATGCAGATTTTATTCTCTTTGACCGAGGCACAACGTTTAAAAATGACGAAAATTCTCTTTTCAAGGAAATTTCCCATTTGTTGTGATTAAAGCGAATAAAGATCAATACAAATGAAGACATTTTATCGATTTAGAATTTTATTTGTGCGTATATATATATAATTTAAGACTATTTTGAAATATCTCTCATCTATATGTTCCAATCGAAATAGTCAATGAGTATTGAAATGATATCGAACATAATCTACTAATGAAAAACTATGAAAATTATTGTGTATTTAATTGTTGCTTGATAATAAAAACGATAACTGACACCTTAAATATATGAATGAGTCCAATAGAACTGTGTGAATGATATCATCCGTTTTGTTTCAGTTGAAATAAAAACAATGTATTTTTATCCATGTCAGCCATTTGTACATGGTTGTTGAACATAATCCAGGCAAAATCCCTTGTTGTCAACGTCAGTAGGTGCCTCCACGGCGTCGCTGTGAAAAGCCAATCGGAACGGCCGTATGCTGCCTAATGTTGAGAATCACAAACCATGCTGCATTAGAATTTATTTGTTGAAATTCAAAGTCGATTCCACTTACTGATGACTGTCTTCTCCATCGAACTAATTTCAGCATTAAATACGCCACCGCATATGCGATCTTCGCATGTATTCGATGGTGGTAAACGATCAGCAACTCGGGCACATCCGATTAACAACCAATCGTTAACACATGAATTTGGAGTCCCTTGAGATCCGCCGCCAACCATAGAGCTCACAGCCATATTACTGTTTCCACTCAATGTAAAAGACCGAGATCGATTTGAATCTGTTTGGGGAGAGAAAAAAAATGATGAATTGTAGCCATCACCGTAGAAGAGTGCAATAGATTAAAAAAAATTCACTTGTATCTGCACACGCCGTATACTGTATGCTGCAGAAATTACGCTCTGGTCTTATGCATATGGAGTAATCTTGATTGGACAATTGTTTTCCAACATTAAAATCAAAATTAAAACTCTTCACTTTCCCATAAACGCCAGTGTGGTATTGAAGACAGCCTGAATCTGCTTTCGATATGCTACTACACTCAATTTGAGTTATACGAATGCGCCACCTTTAAGAATGAAATATACAAGTCGCAAAAAATATATTTATAGAACGAAAAAACGAGAAAAAAAAAGAAATGTATATACATGCGGGGAAACGGTGGGCCAGATGTGATCAATGTCAACATAATGGGATTGTTATCACCAACGCCTGCGTCAATATATACTGCAGCATAGTAATGATTTTGATTAGTATCTAGATTAGTGGAGGAGAATGATATAATTTCTATGGATATTACTGTGTTCTCCATTCGAGCTGCCACAAATAATCGGAACTGGGCTACCCCCTGATACTAAAAATCTATTATAAAGAGATTGAAACGCAATTATGAACCACTGTGTATATATATGATTATATATGTTGTATTAAATGAAGAACATTTGACGAGACTCTTACTGGTCGGTATTGCACACATGGTTCAGCTGCTCTGGGCCGGAAATTGAGAAATGCTCCAAGTCAAGCCGAATCTGACAAATGTTTGGATTACGTTTCACCACAGTTAGCTGACAGCTCCCCGTGCCTTCATACTAAGTGAGTCAACAAAAAGTATAATAGTTAATTTTTGTCAATCGAACACCGACCACTTCATTTTATGTATGTACTTGACTCGGATGATTTGGATTCACAAAATAGGTTCCATTTTCACGAACAATTTCACCGCAAGAAGCCATGACTAGAATCACACAAAATAGATTTGCATTTTTCGATATCATGTTAAATTCATTTTACTTACAAACGCAACATGTGCCGTATCCTTGTGCACAAGGCCCACCCAGTATTCCACGCCTACCAATACCTTTCGATCAAAATACATAGAGTTACAATTCGGTTAGAATTGGAAACTATTTCTTCAAATGAGATTCACTTACATTCGTTTTCTGGCAAACACATTCCATATTCTTTGATTAACATTCAAATAAAGAAAAGAACAAATTAAACTCGAACAATCTTGATAAAATATTCACATATAATTCTTTTCAACAATAAATAGTTACCTCCGCTCGTGGCAGTGCAACCGCCGTTCCATTGATAAATTGTAAAAAGCGATAGAACTAATTGTGAATGGACAAATTAATTATTGTTAAATGCACGTTTCTCGATTATTATTTTTTTCTCGAAAGTTCACACTAGTCACTCACATCTAGCACTAGGCGAAATACTCCATGGTTGCCTGAAATTTGATTTAATGCTTCGATAAATGTCCATTTGGCCATGTATCGGTGTTTGTGTCATCAAAATCAATACACTTATTTGAAGAAGATAAAATAAAAGCGGTTCCATTTGTCTAATCACTGACATTTTTATACTCGAAATTGAATTTAGTTTGAAAATAAACAAAACCAATCCGTATTCATTTTAGAAAAAAAAATTATTGATTTATGTGAAAAATGACAAAAGACACCAGAAAATCCTAAATTATATCGTTATACTTCTACTGATCGGAGATGCAGCTCCATCGTATACCACATTATGAACTAAACTCGATTTATGGTAACGATCTCATTTATACGATGATTTCAATGTGCTAGAAATACATGAATTCCAAAGAAGAACAGTGTTAATGTTGTGTGCACATTTTCACTTTCTTTTGTGATCAACAGCGTTAAATCGACACTTTGGACGAAAAAAAAATACACATGAAATCTTCAAATTAACTCACAGCAGTGTTGGTAACACTTTTAATAGCGCGTGTACTATCTGAAGCGACGCAAATTATTGTTGAGTTGAATGCTCCACATTGTTTACAATCAAGCGCTCGCATTAACTATATAATGAACATGAACAATCGACACTTGGCTGATAATTATGTGTGACAAAATCAACGAATCATTTAATTACAATATCCCATTATTGGTGAATTGAAGTTTGCAAAGTTGGCATGTATTTTATACACTATACGTTCATCTGATTCATCAAATGATGCGTTTTCCACACATTTTGAAGTGGAGGAAATGGGAAAAGAAAATTTTACAAAGAAAGCATGAATATAGATTGAGCGGTAACTTTCACTGTCTTCTATTGTTAGAAAAACTTACCTTTTTCCCCTTCTTCTATCAAAAGACACTTCCTATATTTTAATGAAAAATACTAAATGAAAACCTGAAAATGTTCATTTTAACTTTTTAAATTTTTTTTTATTATTATTATTAAATTATTCTTTTCGTTTATCTCTAGTCACAAATGTGAATAAATAAATAAAAAAAAAGAATTCGCTATACTGTAGTTCGTTGAACTTGATCAATAGCTCTTTATGAATGTTGCAACATGCTGTTTTTCCTCCTCACTCAAGCCATTTTTTAGAGTTCTGCGTACTGTACATAAAGAAAAGAAAAAGTAAACCCTTCATAAGTTTGACATCAAATGAAAAATATAGCAAGCAAAAACATTCACAACAAACTAAAATTCAATGGAATGCGAGATAACTGAGGACTTATATCGATATGAGATTGGGGCAATTCAATTTTGTGACTTACAACTCGAATAAATGTAATGGAGTCAATGAATTGGCGATAAATGACGGCCTGAGAAGAAAAACCTTTCCTACAAAACCTGTGCGCAGAACACAAACACAGAAATTTTTTAGTCAAAAGTCGAACAGCAAATTTGCGAGCGCAAAAACCTAATATATTTACAGCGAGCGCAAAAGTATAACAAGCCTACTAGCATGCAAACTCCGTATAAGTAGGCCCGTTATGCTTTTGCGCTCGCTGTAAATATATTAGGTTTTTGCGCTCGCAAATTTGCTGTTCGCCTTTTGACTAAACAATTTCTGTGTTTGTGTTCTGCGCACAGGTTTTGTAGGAAAGTTTTTTCTTCTCAGGCCGTCAAATATGGTTATGGTAGTTCTCATGAATTTATTGACACTACCAAATTTATTTGGAATTCGGGTCACAAATTTGAAATGGACCAACCTCAGCAGCTATTGTACATTCACTGTTAAAATTACTGGAATAAAATTATTCGTGGATGTACTCTATACTGTTAGGTTTCAAAAAGGTATTCAGAAATGTTAAAATTCATGCTAGAATCGGTCATTTCTTAAATTCGGTACTGGACAGCAATGGCATTATTAGCGAATTTTGTGAGCGAAATTGCGTTGTTTGCAAAATGTTCATACGGTTAAGCTATTGTTTAGACTGAGGCTTTGTATAACGCAATAGTTTAATTTTGGTTTTATCACACATTTAATTCGTTTACCGGAAGATTGGTCAAAATTGTGCGCCAACCTTATATATATATATAAACATATATTTAGGGTGATGCTGTACTTCGTTCAACAGTGAAACCCTCTCGAGTTCGTGATCTTTTGACTATCGTTGTTGGAAGATATAATTTTAATTATTTTTCAAGAGTCCTTCTACATCATCATCATCATCATCATCATCATCATCACCGTTCTATAATCTCCATTTCATTCGTGCTTAAGTCATGTGAGTCATGAATGTAATTTGATGGAGACTGAACGCGATGTTTGCTAAAGAAAATGAATGCTATTTTAAAAACTTACATGATTTTCGATCGGCATTGCGTGTCGAACGTTTTCGTTCGCGCCGTGGCGCTGTTCTTTGAGTAGAGGTTGCAGTTTTGACCAACGATTCCAATAGTTCATCGTCGCCATCGGTGAATGTGTCTTCGGACATTTTCATTGCGGGTGAGCGTAGTACTTCTGGACGTTTGCGTCTGAATCCTGTGAATTGGCATGGGCTGTCAAGATTGTCCACCGAAGGACTTTGTGAACCCAGTAATTGCCTAACGAAAAATAATTTCCGAAAATGAATTAAAACATAGAAAATTGCTAAAATATAATGTGAAACCTACTTGAGTTCGGCATCAGCTCGATCCTCGTTTGATCGAAATTTGGCCACATCAATTATCATTTTGCCGCGCGTCTTGTTTCGTTCACGATGATTAGCCTTTTTCTCCAGCTGTTGATGGACACGCTCCCTTGTTGTACGATATTCCAGCGCAAATTCTGATATGATGCGGCACACTTCATTTGGACGAGATTCCATAACACGATGCTGTGGCACGCCTAACCATAGCAAAAACTTTCGATATCGATTGATTACTCGGCGATGTACTATTTGCAATATGATTATACGTTCGGCGCAGTCAGCGAGAAAATCGACCATTTTTTGTTTGAGTTGTGGCGGGCAATCGTGTTTGGCAATTAGTTTTAGACGATCCCAAGATGCTTTGCATTCTGATTCCAAATAGGTGATATTGTGTGCTAAATCGGCAAAATCAGCCTTCGACGCTCGTGTAACCGGGCCAATTTCCGAATAGAGATCCGTTGTATCTGACGAAGATTCCATCACAATGTTACACAAATGATGGAGCAATGAATGCTTGTGAACGGTATCTTTAACTTCGGGAACCTTTGCCAAGTATTCAATTTGGAAACCTTTCGCTGGAGCTCCATTCAAAAATATTCCAATCGATAATAAAGTGGACAGGATACATTTGAATGTTTTATTATTACGAAGCACATCTAGACCTTGTTTCAAATCCATTAGTGGTTCAGCAATTTCTTTCTGCAAACAAATATTGGAAAACGTATTGTTATGCATCGTAGTCAAATTGCAAATTAAAGAATAAATAATAAAAAAATAAAAATGACAGTTATTGCCTCACGTACCTCACTAATTTCAAAGTCAAGTTTGAATGCCCAAAGCTTTAGACGAGCTGAAAGTTCCGATATAGATGACAATGTTAGTAAAAATTGTTCTGCACTGCCGAGCGGTAATTCTGGATTGACCATCTGTGCCTCTTGGATTTTGCCACGTTCCTCCTCGGTTGGCAACATATTCAGTAGTTTGTCGATGCCTTCTCGTGTAACCACAGTCGCATCCATTTTCAATATAGCTGCTTTAATAGCTCGTGGAGGTGGTAGTTTCGTCATTGCAATGTTGATTGCATTCGATCGCTTATGATCAAGTACAATAATCTCCTTATTTTTGTTCATCTCTTGTTGTTTCTACAATTAAGAAGATGGAATAAGTGGATGAAGAAATTGTATGGTCATATGATGAACTTTGGAATAGATAGAAAGGGTTCCATATTTGAACAATCACAATAGCAACTTAGTGTGTTCTTGTCATCTACGATACAGGGTATTCATGTGGAAATTCAAGTCAATTCACCTACTGTGGAAATTCTAGTGTATTCTAGGGTGTGTCAATCTAAAGAAATTTTAGTACTACATGTAAATGATATGTTAGAGTTGAGTTTTCAGAAAGCATCCATTCCCGCGCACCATTGGCATACGGATACATAGGCGAAATTATGGTTAGATAGCTCATATAGTATGTAGTTTTTCAAGCAGCGAAAAGATTTAATGGGCGTTAATAGCTAAAAGCTATGCTGCAGAAAAGATTGGCAAAATTGCACTCACCTCCTGATTTTTATGCACACACACAATATAAGTGTTTTCCCCAGAGAGAACAGTAGAGTAAATTTTCAGTGAAACAAAATACAAATTTAGTCATTATATAAGCTGAAGTTATTTTACAATCAATTCAAATTAAAAATTATTAAGAAGTAATAAGAAATAAAGAAAACAAAAAAAAAACACTTTCTTATTGCTCCCCCTGGAATCCATTTTGATCCCACTAGTGCTGCTGACCTAAACCAATCACCAAATCAATGATTCATTTGAATACTTATAATTATTAATCAAAGGTGCTGCGCCTGTGAACTCTCTTACTCCTTAATCCAAAAATCGTTCGTTAGTTTGTCGACGCAATGAAATCTAATTTATGGTTAATGTGTATTTTTTGAATGCTGACACGATTTTGATTTTGCTATTTTTGTGAAGTAAAACTTCCAGAGTGGTTGCGATTGCGTGAATATAGTGCTGTTATGAGTCGAGTGCACGTTTCTCACATAAAAATTACAAAAAAAAGTGCCGTTCCATCTTCTGGAGACTATAATTTCACTTATGAAATGAAAATTGCATGGAATCTCTCAGATTTGGTCGAGCAAAAGAACGCTCAATGTATCTGCGACGTTTATATTTTGTTTTGTTAAATGAATGTCACATTCAATTTGTACCTTTGAAATTGTATCTTTTGCTCGCGATTCGAATAAATGTTCCAGTTTCTGGGTGTCGATTACTGCTGTAGGTATTTCATCCCAAATGGTTTTTCCTATGTGCACTGGAATCAAGTCCTCTCGAATTTCTTTCCAAAACAATTTCACCTAATTTACATTTATTGAGATAGAGTTAGTCTTTTGTTGCGCCAATCAATTGAAGGGAAACGTTGAGCACGAACCGTTTTTTTATTCTTTTTAATTGATGTTGTGTTCGGTATCGCTGTTGCCTTGGATCCGTTCATGTGACGAACGTTTGACAGTGGCTCCAATGGAGGTTGCATTGCTTTCATTGGAGGAGGAATGCCAATTGGAGGAGGTGGTGGCGGTATCATAGCTCCACCAAAACCACGTGGCATTAAATCGTCTTTATCATCATCTGAATGCAGATCAGTAAAGTCTAAGTCACATAGATTCAATGGTCGTGTCATATTTTTCATCAGCTCTTCCCAATGCAGCTCATTCTCTGATTTTTTTGGTTCTGGTTTTCGAATTTCTTGGTCTTTGCTCGGTGACCTGATGTTTCAACAGAATTTATCACAATATTAGTAAAGATAACTATGATATTTTATTGAAATCACTCACCTTGAAATGTCTCCTTTGCTTTTGCTCTTTGCAAGACCCTCTTTGGCTTTTGAGATCAGTCCGCTCATATCGCCAATGCGATTTTGGGTTTTCTCTTCTTGCGAATTTATTGGTAAATTGCTTAGTTTTTGTGTGAGATCTTTAACGGTGTGATCACGTTTTATTTGCATTAACAAGCGTTTCTCATCGTTTTCAGAATCTATAAGGATGAGTGAAACTTTAACATTAATACTTTAAATAGTAGTAATGTGAAAAAAATGCAAAATAATTCAATTTAATCCAATCATTTCCAAATTAGTATGCCTTTTCAATCAATAATCAAACTCGAGCAATAGTAGAAAATAATGCATGCACACGAATAGTCAGGCAAAAACAAACAAAAGAAACGTCTCTACTTACCCTTGTTACTACTATCGATCCTTGGCAATTCTTTAATGCCATTGTTACCATTGGATAACAATCCATTTCCATTTTGTATCACATACGTAACGCTATTCGAGATTCCGCTTTTATTGGTGCACTGCATTTGATGTCCATTGGTCAGATCATTCTGTAGATGCGTTAATGTGGACACAGAAGGCAATCCGTTTTTATTGTAATCGGCTACATTGGTCGTTATGGACTTTGCATCGACTGAAGCATCATTTAGCACACCGTTACAATTACTGTTCGTATTATTGTTATTGCCATTGCCATTGCCATTGCCATTGCTACTATTCAACTTGTTTGTATTGCCAATGGACAGATTACTTGAATTGCTGTTACTGACACTGTTCAGGCTGTTTTTTGCTAGATTGATACTATTATTGCTATTGTTTAGATTGTTCAGATTTTTTTGGTTTACAATTGATATGATTGGTTTGCATGTATTGTATCCATTGGTGATAGTCGATGTGGAATTGATTTGTAAGTAGAAATTATTTAGTAAGCTATTATTTTTATTGTCAATCACGTTCATATGGTTTTGGCTTGACTTTTCCATGCCATTGGTTAGGATATCTGTGGGCTTTTGAGCGTTTCGCGTAAAATCAATTGCTTTGCATTTGGCTGTTATGTCATTCAAGTTCACATAGTTTGACTCATCAATGACAGTCTCCAGGTCTGGCGGAATTTTTGGTGCTTTTATTAAGTTATTATTTTCATTGATCCTCGGTTGTGAATCAGTTATGATGTTTGGTATTATTGGCGAATCGTTTTTTTTATTCAAATGTGTTTGTTCTATTGAATTTGGAGGGCTATCGTTCTGAAGACGGCATGGCAAAGCTGTGTATAAAGCGGTCACTAACACACCTAGATTTTTGGTTAGTTTTGCAAAAGAAAAACAAATCAAATCAAACATGAAACAAAACAAAAACAAAACTGAATTGGAGTTAGAGCAAAAAAAAAAAGAAGCAAAATCTCATGCCAAACGAAGTCACAATTAGAATTGGGCTTTTTCCCATCCAAACCCACACACACATACCATGATTATTGATGATGTCATCCTTGATATCAAAGGGACGTAGGCCAGCTGCTGCCGCCTCTTGCTGCTCGCGTAAGAATGACTTTTGTCGCTCAGCTCGTTCTCGTCGTCGACGCAAGCCCGGAGTAACGCCAGCACTTTCATGAGTTCCCTTCGGTACACCGAACACGTCATTTAATTCACCCGAATTTACCGAGCTAGAGCTGTCTTCATCGAGCGTTTGGTGCATGGTTATTGGTGAACGTGGGCTATAAAATTTTGCTGGATTGGGCGCCGCATCGGAGCTATGACGACGTGATTTTCTTCGTTCCAATGGATCACCTCCATTAGCATTGAGCGATCTACATCGTGGAGTTTTGCGAACTGAATTATCAGGTATTCGAATACCATCAGTTTCACCATCTTCAAATCTAGACCATTCAGACCGTTTGGAGAAGTTAGCATATTCGCTTTATGTATTGGACATTGTTCTGTGCACACGTACCTTAATACTGCATCATAAAGCTGAAGTTGATCTAATAGATCTAAATCAGTACCCGGGCGTGACATATATCGTTGTATCACACTTTCCATTCCCTGTTGCTCGAGGAAATCACTTTCGTCGTAGAAACTGTCCTGATCACTTAGTCCCGATAATGTCTTATTAATTAAAGTTGTTGCATAGATAAGTAATTCCGTATCTGCATTCTCATAGTCTTTCAGTAATCTATGAAGTATAAAAGAGACGCAACATTTATCAAGACTTTTTATCAAAGTTTGATGGTATATTGAATAAACGTAGTTTTTAATTGCATATTGTGTACATATGTAGGTTTATCTATTGCAATCAATAATATTGAATAGTGGAATAGACATTCTATTGAGGATCAATAAACGGTTAAGTTGAAGAAGATGAAAAAAACAACATTTAAAAGTTCAGCGCAATACTGTTGCGAAGAAAAAGAAGGAAAAAAAAATTAAATGGCATCACATGCCAGAACGTGCATTTAATAGTACGGTGATTCCGTTTATTATTATGGTTATGAGATTATCGTAAAATTTTAATATATTACACGAAGTGAAATGTGCACGTTTTTGTTCCGTTAGATGCGAATGCATGAAAAGAATGACGCCAAAGAAAGTTTGAACAGAGTCTTCAATCATATGCAAAAGAACTAAGTACACAATATTTATAATGCATTGAACTAATATAATTTATTTTTGCTTCGAAAGCCACTTACTGCATGATATTTGACCAAGGTAATGAATCTTGAGCAGCATCGACCACATGAATTGCATTCACCAATAAATAACAATTGCTCTCAACATATTCCACGAAGACCAAGAGCAGTTTCAATGCTGTTTTCACAACTAATCGATATTTCGATGCAATCAGAGAGTAAAGCCATTGTATGGTTGGACTGTGATGCATCACGCCATTCATACCATCCACATAAAGCATCACCTACAATTAAATTAGCCCATTCGGTATGGAAAATTTTCAGGTCAAACTGGATAATTTCGGTTGTGTTGCTGTTGTTGTTGTTTTTGCATTTAATTACATTCGATAATTACCTGCCCAAGAGCACGCAAAATATAATTTTGATAATTTTGATCGGCATTATTACCAACTCGAACCAGCGAGTTAAGTCCACCAAGCGCAACAAAACCGTGCACCAAATCTTTATCATCCTGGAATATCTGCTTCAGCGAGAATAGCGCACGTCGCAACTCTCGTCCTTCTGATGTTAAGAGTTTTTCTGAACAAAAACCAAAGAGTAGAATGGAAAAAGAAAAGAAACGAAAAGAAACAAAAACAAAAAAGAATTAAAATCGTGATCGTCTTCTGAAGTGGAATCAGAGCTATATATCTATTTGTATTAATAGAATCAGAAATGTTTGTTTACTAATAGAATGAATTCACTTGAATTTTAAACTAAAACCATTTCTGCTATTGTATGCATGTGCCCGAAAAAACGTGCATCTTGAAATAGCTCCCATTTATAAGACACAACCAGCATGAAGAATATAGACAATTTTGCCGTTCGATTTAGATGAACCTTTGGTATTGTTCAGTTTTGGCCTTTGAAATTTCATCGTGGTAAATGTAATGTTACATTTCGGCACGGTGCGCTCTAAATCTACAGCTATTTAGCTAATTCTAATGAGAACATATGTTTTCTACCCTTTTCCCTCAGACATAGCTATTGTCACAAAACAAATTAAATTCTGGTGTTAGAACTCTACGCAATCCTGAATCTATTCGCATTGGAACATTTAGGACAGACCATTCATTGCTGTCCCCATTCAATAATGCATGTCGGATGTTTAACTATGCAGCGCTATTCATAGATCCATCGCTTCCACTTCATCAATTCAAACAGAAGTTACAAAACCTACCCGACTCAACTTTTGGTACTTGGGCCAGTCTCAAATCAACCGACAGATAATCTTGACGAGATAAGAAACCGACTTTATCCAAAAAAATTTAAGCTACTAGTCAGTACATTGAGCAATTGAAGTTATATTATCTATTTATTTATTATTATTGATTTGAGTCATTTTAAATGTTATATATTATTTTATTTTATTTGTTTGCAAGTCAAATCTATCTATTACCTATGTTCTTAATATTTTACCTATTTTCACCTACTCACATTTTAAACCTAAGTCACTACGTGCAACAACGAGAATAACTATACTAATCATAAACCTAAAACAAAACAAGACCCTATACAAAAACCTATGTATTACATCACTATGTTACCTATTATTCAGCCAGTATTTGGCGGTGTCAATAAATAAAAATAATAATTTACGTGTAATTGGCAAAAAATAGGAAAGTTTGCCCAAAACAATGTCGTCCCTTTTCTATTCGTAAAATCTAGTTGTACGTCAAAATCTTGACTTAGATTTGGCCGTCAATTTTGGGTTTGTCATTTTTTCAACAGTTACCAGAGATATTTGGATACTCTTTTTTGGATAACCAGCTATAACTGACAATGAATTATGAAACTTTAATTGTTTTCCATTTTTTTCCGATATGGTTTTCGACTGAGCAAACAAACGCCATTGATTTTCTTTCCGAATTGGCTTTTCTTTCTGGACCATGCAATTAATATTTTGTCACACAATGAAAATTGAATCCAGCAATTTTGTTTTATGCGGTAAAATCGTAAAATTATAATGAATTAGAAATCTTTAAAAGTCTCAAAACATCAATATTTCAAGAACCAATATTGTCTATTCTTAAACGTATTAACCTATTTATTATACGATTCCATATTTTTAGTTGTTGTTTTCATTCTTCACTTCGTGCTACTCGAAAATCACGATTTTCATTTGCGAATTATACGGGATCGAACGTAGCAACACTCTTTTTTCAAGTTACTAAATTATATAGGAGGTAATAATTGAAGTTTGCTAAAGTTCTATGAAACGCTTTAAAATAGATCAAATGCCGGTCTTTTTTGAGAGATATAACACTAACTCAATTTTTAACGGAGTCTATTAACCAAAACTTAATGGTATTTACCGTTAATGCCTTACTAAAAAGAAGAGAAAAAGAAACGAGTTGAATTGTTGATTCTTCGGAATCCTCTTCGAAGTCGTTTTTTATTTCACCCTACAAATTTTTTTGAGCCATTGAAAGATGTTAATCATTTGTACTGATGAATAGTTTCCATAGTCAATTTTTTGAATTAGAAACTCTGATGGGTATAACATAATAAAGGCCGATTGGATCACGTTAAAATGAATTGTTTTGAATAACTTTTAATTTGTGGGTGACAACGCGATATGAATTTTGTGAAAATTAAGTAAATCAAAGTTGTAAATTCGAAGAAACCAAACCAGCATTGAATTTTTCGTTTTTGTTTTTGAGAATAATAAATGATTTTGATTGAGTATGATTGCGCATTGCGCAACGTTGCCCAAAACCATTAAAATCAACATCGATTGATTAATATTGCAAGTCAGTGTTTTGATATTATTATTATTGCCTATGTTCATTGTTGTTTTTGATTTACCCATCAGCTTTCATTTGATTAATGGACATTATTACCGTGTGTATTGTAGTTTTCACTGGCATAGCTGCCGAACGACCAAAGAGGCAGCGTTCAGTGAACAAACTTTTGTTTTTCAATATATTCGTTGATGTTTCTAAATCTAACGGAAACTTAAGAACACATTTGATGGAAAAGAACAGAAGAGAGTTCAATATTCGATATCAATTATTCCCTCCTAAAAAGTCTGGACCATCGATTCTGTTTTGAAAGACGTATAAATCGACTTGAATTAAACAGCATCAGGTTTGCCCATGGCTTCTTGAAAAGAATCTGTTTAAATGAAGTTTGCGATCAGTCATAAAGATACAGCGAAGATACAGGAGGAAACACGCAAAAGAAAACAAAGAAATAGAGTTTTAATGTGATTGAGAAAACGTGAAAACATAATGCACATTTTTTTTTTCTCTCTCTCTCTCCCTCTCTCTCTCTCTCTCAATAGCTGTTCTTTTTCCTCATCATATTCCATTCTCTTTCGAACGCTGCTTCGAACTCAGCACGAATTGCGGCCGACGAATGATCTCTGCCAATGAACAACAATCTGACGCACAAATGAGACCAACTCACATCAACTGTTTCATTATTGACGCGCGAGTACTCCAAGTCAAGGCCATTCCAAAACTGCTTACTTTTATCGACCTGCTACGTATTCTTCAATTTCTTTCTGCTTCTCTGTTTTCTTTCGTAAATACAAAAACCAAATTGTGAAACGAACACGGATACCAAAGTGATCAACAAATGAGCTCAGAAAACCGACGCTGTTAATCGACACATTTGTCAAAATATTCCATCGTTTTCGTACTTTTTGTGATATTTTTTCATTAGACATTTGCTGTGGTCGTCTTTTGTTTGCTAGCCAATCAGTGGGAAATAATAAAAAATCGGTCGATCATCGAATTCGCTTCAAATTTAACCGACACCTAAGTTCAACATGTTCCAATAGTTAATTTGAAAAGAAAACTATATTGGAAGCATTTGCTAAGCATGCATATATTTTATTGCCTATTTACTGATAAGTTCTAGCCGGTTTTTGTTTCTTCAAATTTTTACTTACCTATGATTGCATGCACTCTTACGCTCAATTGTGTACGTACAACCAGTGAGTTTTTCCGATTGCTGAAAGAAAAACAGAGAGAAAAAAACGGAACAAATAAAACCAATTCTACATCATTATAGTTTTCGTGTGAAATGAACAATAGTTGCGATAACAATAACATTGACTTAAGCCATTAAAAAAAAGAGTTTCGAATGAAATGCATGTAAAATCATTTGCGATGGTGATTGTTGGAAGTTGAAACAGCACAGCATCATCAAAACTCATAGAACAGCATATTCGTTGACGGTGAAGCTTTGTGTTATTTATTCAATTTTTGACGCCAGTACATTTGTACCTATTGTCGTATCAGTGTGTTTAGCTGACGATGTGCATAGTCGTGCTTGCGAGCGAAGTCACCTTTTGGCATTTTTTTCTTCTTCTTCTTCTTCTTTGCAATGTACGAGAATATGTTTTATATGTATGTATATATCCCCATTTTTGTGGTATTTTTCTTGTTGTTGTTATGATTATATGCCGACAATAAATACAAAAGAATACCGATTCGTTCATGACTATTTGCAGAAAACGTAATGCAATTTTTTCATCCATTTATTCAGATTTACAAACAATGATAAATTTTCTTTATATATATTTATATTTAGTTTTGTATTTTAGTTATCTTCGTACGATATTATGTTTTCCATTTCCCATGTGATCAAAAATGACATCGGAACAGTATTAATAATTTCTCGAACAGCAGTTTAGAGTGTAGAAGTTTATCTCAATTTGTTTTTATCAAATAATTATTGTTTGCATTGATAACGAATGAAATGTTTAATTTGAATAAAAAAAATTCAATTTATTCGAGGTGATTTTCCAGAAGAAACATCGGTTTAGGATGCACCTTTGAGCAGATATATAGGAAAACTCATTTTATTAAAACATATTTCAACTCGATGGAGTACCAGAATATCTAACATAATTAAATTGAGTAGATCAGTTGTTTTTTTTCTCTTCCTCTTTTAGCTCAATGTAACCCAAAGAATGTGCTACAAAAGTGAACCAATTTGCAATAAGAGAAACAATTTTACTACATATGAATGAATTTAAAAAAAAAAACAATGTGTATTCCCATCGGTAGGAAGCTAAGACTTGAATGACAACTGTGGCGACACGAGCGTCCTCAATTTCAATAGGAAAATCAATGTAATTTCGTAATTTTTCTCTGAACTAAACAGCGCGCTAGTTTGAATTTCGTTGATGCTTCCACCCTATGTGTATTCCGTACATCTTTCATTTCATTATATGGCAATTTTTTTACAACTAACAACGATTCCATGACATTTCACGGTTGTTCTGGTAAATAAAAATTCTTGACTGTAAAATCACGGATGAAACACCGATACGCGCAGACGTATAAATAATAACCGGGCCCAAAGTTAGAATCATTAGAAATTTTATATTATTGAAAAGTTCTGGACTCGGATGCAAACAAAAAATACGGTATTTTTTCGTTTATTGCTAAAAGTGTAAACGTTTGCGCAAAATTCCGTGTTAAATTACGTAAACCAAGGCTCTTGATACAAAAACATATATACATTGTGTTTTTTGTTTCTTGAAAGAATTCATTTCTGTCCTTATTTAGTTTTCGTTCACATAGCGTTTGTATTAATTTGACAATAATTAATTCCTTTTCTTAAGAATTGCAAATGTTGCAACCGTGGCACAAACGCTACACACACGATCAACGGCACGTTTTGCCCTTCTTCAATGCATTTCTGAGTTCTGGCTCAATTAACTGATAAAGACATATATCAGGCATATGTTTAAATAAAAACGAAGTTGAAATAACAACGGTAACAAGTAAAAAAAAAAAAATCAAGTAAATAACGGTCTATGATGATAATGAAAACATCGACATTTATATTGGAATACTTTTTCCACAACGTGAACACAAATTCGCACAGTAATACGCGATACCGTACCGAAGGACACTGTCACATGATAGAAATTAGCGATAGCACGTGCAAGAAAAACACTGCTATTAAGCGAGAAAGAAAAAAAAAACGGCATAAACTGTGTGTTGACACAGTCGGCGGTGATAGAACAGCTCTATAGAAGAATCATAAACGATTTGAGGCATCGGCATTTCATTCGCATAAATTACTGAATAAAACACAAACCAAATAAGGATTTTTGAATTAATTTAGTCACAATACATACTTTGAGTGTAGTCCCTCTAGCTCTTCCGATTGTTCGGCTAAGGATGATTCAAGGTCTAGGTAAGCTCCATAATCACCATCCTGGAAGCGCACCTGAAGTGCCGCATCATCCAACTGTGAAATGAAAACCAACATTTTTAAATTAGACATGCAACCATCAATTTAGATATGTATTGCCGAAGGAAAAATCAAGAGACATTTAAAATTCTTGATGCACGAGAACAATAATACGAATAAAACAACTTTGGTCAGCATCTCGTTGTGCTGGCTTTGAAACTACATTACACGTTTTGATGGTAGAAGACCAATCGTCCGAGCGATGACGACACGTGATACGATTTTTCTTGATATTTTGCTTCCATTGTTTTCGTGTCTCATGTATATGTGCGAGACATTCTTATTGTTTGAGTAGTTAGTGAACGCTGCCGCCCGTACAGGTACTTAATATTCCAATTTAAGTCAGTTTGGAGAAAAAGTTGCAAGTGAATGACAGTATACATGACGGCACACAACATACGAAAGCGACTCAACCTAAGACAAATCGTTGCAAATACACTACACCTCTGCTGTAGAACTTCTACATTGGTTTTTAATTATTTGACAACGCGGGCAGCCGCACACACAAACATACTGAAACAATTTATTCCTGTTCTTTGCTTGTTATCAGTTCATTCAATATTTTAAGTTTCTTTCTAACATATATTTATGATAGAAAGGCAAAACGTCGTAATAAAATCATTTCAATAGTCGAAATTTTTCTTCTTTATTCGAATGTTACTATATTCCACTAAAAACGAACATATTCGTAGAGAAAGTTTTTGGAAAAATTAAGAATTCCGTTTATACAATCACAGCAATTTGCAGTATTTCATTTGTTTATTCATTCTATAAAAACAAATTATGGTCGCTACCGATTCGAAATGACTTCAACTATATCTTTTCGGTTTGTAAAATTTTAATTCCAACTGTCGAAGATGATTTTCATACACCGACATGAGTATTCGTACATTAAATAGTTATGTTCATATCGATTAAATTGTTCAGAACGCATCATGTACGAATACATTGTTTCATAATTGTAATTTGATGGCACATCCCATCTCCTGCTTAAATTTAGATTGTATCCATTTGCTCTACTAATAAAACTAAATTAGACTCTCACCCGTTGTGGTGCTCCCAATAACCTCAAAACTGATCCCAATTGAGTTGCCAAAGGTGATGAATAGGTGAATGAATATGTTGGTGCTCGTGATGGTATTGGATACATTGACAAACAATTGAACGGATCAGTATCGGCCAAATATTGTACTTTGATCGTAAATAATTCATCTGGTTCCATTTTCAAAATCATTTTGTTGTGTATTATTTGTTGTAATTTAAGTCTATTGGGAAATGTTTACGGATTCACTCATTTTTGTGTTGCTGTTGTCAATGCACAATTGCACAATCATGTATGTGAATTTTTCCTGTATTTTTGTTACACTGTTTAGTCGTTTAGTCCCATTCATCCAATATAAAATCAGCATTTGATGTCGATATGCGTTTGATTCCTTAACAAAAACTACAATTCAAACATAATAAAACGTTTTTTTTTTTTTGTCATGAAAACGATATACGCGTTTTTATTGCTAAACAAGCAAGGCTGTTTGTTTCCATCACACATAAAAGGAACTAGTGGCAAATAAAGTATGAAGAATAAAAGACAAGCGAATACTTTTTTTGCACCAACTAAAAGAGAAAAGAGGAAGATTTACAGCTACCGGTACTACCATGTCATTTTACAGCAAAAAAAGAGAGAAAAAAAGAGAGGAGAAAACAATACGTAATAAGTGCTGAAATAAGCCTAATAGAAGATCACAAAAACACAACCGGAAAACACGAAAACACAGATGCTTGTTACATATTTTACTTACGTGGTTGATTATGATTTATATGGATTTGGTGCACGGAGCAAAACGGATTGTCAATGCGGAGGAAAACACATAGGCACATCACGATGATACACATTTAAAAGCATGCCAATAAAAAGAAGAAAACAAAACGAAAGACAACAAAGCAGCAACAAAGTGCTTTGTTTCACTTTACATATATGCGTTAGCGTTTATAACGAAATTTATTTGTCATTTGTGATCTGCTTTTCCGACCATTAAATTTAGCATTCGCAACGGTTGTTGTTACGTAACAATGAATTTATACATAATCGAAAATCTTAAGACCAAGCAGAATAAATCTCACCATCGTCTCACTCTGAATTGAATAAAACTCCAATCAGAACTATTTTTCGTTCGTTTGATCATTTGTTTGCTACTGCTTTTGCTACATTTTTCTCAACATTTTTTCGAAAAATTAATTCTATATTTCATTTCGGTTGATTAGAAATGAAGATGTTTCGAATGTTGGACGAATTGAAGAAGTGATTAGACTATATTTCGTTGCGGCTCAATTGAAAATAACGCAATACTTTTATCAGATTGCTGAAACCCAACCAAGCGTTACATTTGATGATGAAGAAGTGTTGAAGATTCACTTTTTTCTCGTAATTTTCGCTTTTCATCGTTGACCCAATGATGTGCAGATGTGGAAAGCACTCATTTCGGTTTTTCGTATATTCGAATAAATTCACATATAACGTGAAATAACTGCAGCCAAAATCACATTTTCAGTACGGAAAATTGAGCTGTTCCAATGATTTACTCCGATTTGCTTTCAATTCAAATCAACTATTTCGTTCCATAACGTCAATGTAATGAGCCGCGGATTTGTTTTTTTTTCTCTCCTCCAAAATCGGAGGCAAATGTTCAAAGGAGGTCATAAGTTTTATGACCGCATGAGTGGAAAATATAATTGGTGTAGCGAACGCGATGTTATTTCAAATTTCAGGTACGTTCAGTATCCGACAGTAAAGTCGATGGTGTAAAAGCGATTTACTTTACGTATGTAAATCTTGCAAAAAATCTCACGCGTTTAGAGAAAAATGAAATTGATTTCAATTTTATTACAGTTAAAAAATGAAATTGCTGTTCTAATTCAGTTTCATGATCATTTCAAATATATTCGCCGTTCTATTTATTAGAGTGAGAAGGGAAAGAACACAACATTTCATATACAATATTTAATGCCGAACCAGATTATGCGCACAATCTGAAATTAAAAGTGCATTTCCTCATTGATTAGAAACAAATGTTCCATTAAATGGTCGTTCCGTGTCGATTGATGTCAATGTGAAAAATACACACGAAGACTCGGCGTCATGATATTCGATATAAATTAAATTTCAACATTTTCGTCTACGATGATTTTAGAATTCTCTCATGGCTCAACTTACGCGGTTCCGCCGAATAACAGTACAATACACAGATCACAATGATGCAAATGAGGCGAGTGTGAATATTAATTTATCTTGTTCTTCTCGAATGTGCTTTGCGATGAATACATATATGTTTGTTGTTATGAAAATGTATGTTCTTTCTAACAATGAATGTCTAGCATTCAGTTGAAACAAAGCAAAAAATATCATTAATCTCCACGTTTGTGAAATATATAGGTAGAGAAGTAAGTTCTCTGTCACAGTTCTACAATCTCCTACCTCCTTCGCCTCCATTCTATCCATTGGCACTCAATAAAATTATGTGCAATGGCGACATTGCTTCGTACCTCATATGGTTCAGGGCTTGAAGAACTGCATCTACCCGCGAATTACCATTGTTTCGCTTCGAAACTGCACATTTTTTCTGTTGCCGGAATTTCCGATTCGGAAACTGAATCGGCATCTCTTATATAAACCCAGGTACGATGTGAACAATTTGATTTTGGAACGTGAGCTCTGATTAAGTTGCACTGTATGATGCCGGAATTTAGGAGCATGAACGCTCTCTTTCATAACAATAGAAATTTCATGTGCCAGTCCAAATGGTATCGCGCACATATACTATACTATACACTACTATATGTACAATAAGATGTCGTTTTTTTTTATTCTTTCTCTCGTTTTCACTCTTTTCTCTGCAGTATAACTGGTTTTTGTCTTCAAATTTTTTGCCGTGTTCGTTCTTTTTTGTATAATTCATCAAAATTATTCAACTGACTTCTGACTCCATTCGAAATTATATCCTATCCTAAACGTTTCTGTCGCATTTTATATCGAAGAAAGATATACGATTGAAATTAAAGATGATCATTCGAAATATATGAAATCCACATATTATTTGATCCATCATTCATGGGAATAACATCAACTGAATATTAACAATGAATTCAATGAATTTAGAAAAAAAACACATTCAATTTTAGAACATCATAAATACTAGGCAAGTTATTATAAATGGTCGATCAAAAATTATCGAACACATCACTCTTCGGACATTGGACTAATCATGATGGTATTAAATTTTGAACGTTTTTCAGTTTTTCTTTTTCAATGGCCTTTTAAATTCAATGTGTTTCCATTGAACGCGGCGAAACTTATTCTAATTAAATTTCTCCGAAAATCGAACAAAAATGCCAAATGTGTTGGAACGAGATGAAAAAGTTGTACATAGAACGAGTGTTGATGATTAATCGTGCTGTTCATATTGAACACGCATTGTATGGATTTTATTTTCAGTTTTCTTTCGTTTGCAATTTAGTTCCGACAAAAGTATCAATGTGTCGATCTCTTTTTTCTCTGCTTAGCTACGTGCGTACGAAAATAAGGTTTTATAAGTCTATTAATGTTCTTGAAAAAATAGAACTGTAGTAGAAGGAATTATTTCAAAATTTACCAAGCAACGAACCTGCCCTGTTTTTTATCGTCTAAATTTTTTCATTGAAAAAATTAACCTACTAACAATTGTTGTAAGTAATGATTTTGACATGTTTGTATCGTCGACTTAAAATTCAATTCTACTTCCGTTATTTGTATCAGTGTCAATTAGCCCATTCAAAATGTTTCGACTTGGACAACTCTTGAACTTATTCAATTGGTTGGCAACAATTTCAATTGAAATTGTAAATTTGTGTACATAAAATGTTTCCATTTTGAATATAGAATTCACACAATATTAGTCTGGAGCGCAAATTGATCACAAATTTCATTCGATCTTAAGCTATGATCACTTTTTCTTCTCAGTGTTCTCTCGAAGAGAGACCAAAAAAACACAAATGAAGTAAAACAATTCGATTTATTATTACACAACAGTAATGGCTTGAACAAGAATTCAGTTGATCATGACTATGTGATCAATATCTTTTGTAACATCAGGGCTTGCATACTGTGATAGAAATTGAAACGTATGTTCGTGCCCAGTCATAAGAAAACGCTTCTTCCGTGACCACTACATCTTCTATAACCTGGCGAATTTCACACACAAAGCATGTAAGCGATGAAAAAAAAATCGAGTAAATTAAAAGTTCTTTCGACATTAGTGGTGCAATCATGTTATATGTGCGATTGTTGGTTTTTTTTTCCTTCGTACGTTCTTGCGAACAACAAACTTCATGTTGTGTTCCTATCCCGTATGTTTTCAAACGTCTTCATTGTTTTTTTCTTCTTCTTCTTCTTTCGTCCAGCACACGTATTCAAATAAAGGTAAAAATTCATTGTTTCCTACTGACCACTGGAATTCTACAAAAATTCTTCTTATTTTGCTCGTACAACAATCGAAACTTTGCACTTACGCTTCATTTGATTTTCGAATTGGAAACGTGAATTTTATTTATAGAACTCAGCTGTTGCGGATGGGACACAGCGACACTGACGGAGAACGAGAGAAAAGAACACTGAAACTGAATAGAGTAAAAACAAGTAAATTGTGTGTGTTTTTTGTGTAGTTACTGGAGAACTAATTGCACAATGATTGCTATGATTTACTCCATCATCCGTACATTCAATTGCTCTGAACTATTTGAAAATGTTCCAAGTATATTGTACAATTTCCAATTCGATAACTATTGCCTATGGCAACGCTTCCTACTTGCATGAAGACAGTTACTGGCGTTTCTATTAGCTCAATTCGTACATTCGAACACTGTTTTTCGCGGAACAAATAACGAGATCGAGAGATCAAATTCTGACGGTTTTGACTTTTTTCTTTTCCTGATTAACCGCTTGGCTACTTGTGTACATCAATTTTTTTTCTTTGACTCGCTGATATGTAATTTTCGGTTAGAATATCAAATTTAGGCGAGAAAGAAGGAGAGAGAGAGAGGGAGAGAGAGAGAGAATCTTTTTAAGTCAAAATATTGCGGTCATCATTAAAATACTATGGAAAGGAAAGCCTTTCAAATGAAACATCATAATAGCCGAGAATACAATATAGTGCAGAGAGCCATGCTTCTTAATTTGTTAGGTAACAATTTCCAAATGATAAGAGAAAAAATCAATCCGAAATAGGATTTTTCAACTGAAAATTCTTTCGGTTGATCAAAAGGCATACGTAAACCATGTTAAAATGCTAACTATACGGCTGTGACCGAATGCGCCTTATAACAAAATCTGGAATATTCAAGTGAGTCATAGAAAAAGAATGAACTGCATGTGGACCACAGTTACGCCGAATAACAACAGCGCGACTTCGGTATTTGTACATAAATCTACGAGCATATAAGGTGATTTGCTTCACTTTGACATTCCCCGTTTTCGTTTTCTTTTTCATTTTATATTTTTTTTCGGTTTATCTTAAGTGATTTTGAATATCTCCACGGCGAACAATGTCGGTTCTCTTGTTCATAAAATTCAAATGGTCCAGGTGGTAAAATGTGCTATGTAGCGTCAGTACTATTTAGTCACTTTTGTTGCAGTCAAATTAAGCAAATTGAATGCAAAATAATTTTAAGTTATTAACGCTTTATTACTTTATTCAATCTCTTCTAGAGAAAATGCCACATCCATTCAATTTTGTCCGTATTCGTTTTCTTTTTGTATTCGTTTCGATTTCAAATTATGCGGTCATATAACGGGCAAAAAGATTAATCTGCATTCACAATGGCTGACGCTGGTCATTGTCTCGTTTTTTTTCATCACATAAATTACATCCATTTGTTATTAAATGCACTGCTCACAATAACGTCAATTTATTGGAATTAAAACGTTTCAAGCCTTTAATCACATCGCATCATAGCCACATTTCCAACCGTTTTTTTTTTTCTTCTACTTTACTTATGTGACAGATGTTGATTCGGTCATAGCCCAATTTAAATTTAACTGAACTGAACTGTTGTTTGCATTGATAAAATGAACTGAAATGACAACGATAACGTCAATAACTGCAAAAGCAACAATTCCCATTCTATCGATATGATAAAATGAAATGGAGAAATTCCACAAATAAAAATAATAATTGGAAAAAAAGGTATTTGCACGTGCGTGTTTTTTCCCCTCATTTACTGTCTTCTTAGCGGATTTGCTTTTATTTTTCTTCTTCTTTCATTTATGAAGAATTGAAAGGAAGACGCAAGAAAAATAAATGATTAAAATCGATAATAATCAATGGGTGAAATGCAGACGATTTATGTTGTTTCGCGGAGCTTCTTTTTCCGTCCGAATGCCATTTTATATGGCATGATTTTTGTTGTTGTTGTTGTGGTTCGTCTTACTTGAATTTAGTCGACTTGCTCCGGTATGCCAAATGGGGAAAATGACCGAGGAATTTTAGTGTGAACGGCTACAAGAAGCGGCACACGTACCAGTTGACAATAAATTCTTCGCAACCGTATTCAAACACGTCACTTTAATCCATGATCCGCGTATGAAGTGTGAGCAAAAACATCTCTCGCAAATAAAAACAAATGTATCGTCATGTTTATAAGAGCATACGGAGAAGCGCCACATTATATAAAATGCAATTGTAGTATGTGTATTTCTTTTTTAATCGACCGCTATTGTTACTTATGTCATCTTAGCAGCTATTGCTGCTGGGGACACACCGTGAAAGCAGAAACAAGACAATCAAACCAAACAACCGTACGCACAACGCAAAATGCGTAAATGTTATTGAGATGCTGCTGTTAATTGATGATTTGAATGTCACAAATGCCGTTTACTGAATGTACACAACGTACATATTTCGATAAGCCGCCAATTATTTCTCTCATCTGCTTTGGTCCAGTATGTTGCATTGGCAACGGAGACAAATGAACGCATCATCGTAATAGCACGAACAACACTGTGTTGGCACGTTTTCCATGGCTATCTTAGCAACGAACCATGTTCCTTTGTCGGTGGTGTGCCGCTAATTTTGTTGATTACGGGTGATGGCATTGTGCATTTATTATATGAGCGTTATTACATGAAAATTATCACTTTGTGAAAAAATAAGAAAAACACGTACAAAAAGAAAACGGTATCACCGGCGACAAATAGCGAAAAAAGGCGGGATAAGGGGAAAAAAACATGAAAATCAACCAAAGCATTTGCTAATTTATGCATTTCACATTTTGCTACAAGCAAAACAAGTAAATGTAATATCGATGCGTGCATACGCGAGCTCATAAACAAGAAATTAAACTTATAACACGATGAAGATGGCATTCAATATGTTAAACACGTCTGATATACGCATAAAAAACAATGGAGCGTTGTTTTTTTTCTTTCATTGTGATCGCATATGTGAAAAACTTTCACTACAATTCAACTCAACTCTACTTGCACGCTATCGTATAGCTTTTTTTTTAAACTCAGCATGTTTGCAAACATTGTTTTTTTTTTTCATCATTAAATTCGATAAGATGGAACAACACACATTCCGACAGAAAAATCAATGCAAATAATTTTCACCTTAGCCACCGAAGAATTCAATAAAGATGATAAAAATATCATTGAATCAATCTGATGATGAAAAATGTTAGTGGAAAACAAACAAAGTGACAGAGTGCAATCAGTGAAAATGAATAATTTTTTTTCTCAATTAATTTTGATGCGAAAGAATCAAACTGGCTGCCAATGCATTTCATCATTCCACAAAGGCTGACGGCTTTTTCACTGTATCGCAAGCCTTCGAAGAATGATGATGCTTTTTTCATCTCACTTTCCATCATAGTGAGAGGTGAAATTTTTATTCCTAATCCAATTAAATCATGTTTTCGATTGTATTTTAATAATAGTTATGTTTACATTTTAAAAAAAAAAACATGTGTGAATATTGGCGATAGTATCGGGAGAAAGCACGACTTTTTCATTATATTCGGAATAAATGTTCGCATTCAAGCCCGTGCGTTCCGTAACTATTCTGCAATTGGAGCACTCTTTTCAATTTGGGTAAATGCGTTTGTGAATTTTCAATGCAAAATATTTAAATGATTTTCACTTCGATTGAAACGAGAAGAAAAACTAAATCTACGCTATTCTTCCACGAACTCAATTACATCGATGAATAAGTGGGAGTGTGTTTACATGGGATACGTGAGTTGAACTCGTCGATTTCACGCGGAACAACAAATCAAGAGAGCGCCTAATTTTCGTCGTTTTACAAGGCATTGCCATTGATATAAAAAGGTTGTTTGGTGTTAATGGCCATAGCTGACAATTGACAACAACGAGAAAAAAAAATCGCTTATGACATTCTGTTACGTTTCCACCAAATACGCTGATCTTTTTTCGGCTGTAATTTTGTTTGCATAGATGAAAACAACTTCGTTATGGGTAGTTTGTGTGCGAGGTTCATTTCATGGGTTTCATTGTATGCTATTTAACGGTAATTAACGCTGTGCTATACAAGCGATAGCCCATTGATCAGCCCCATACTCGCGTACACACAGTCTTGATATGTAACACTTTGAGTCTCATTAAAAATGCCAGCAAGAGAAATGAACGCTCTGCGCGCGTACCTTGATCCAAAAGAGACAAAATAAAAGAAAACAACATGGAAATACAAAACGGAACAAATAGTAAACATTGTGATTATGGTGCAAATTGAGACATTATCTTTTGGGCATCTTGGTGGAAGTGTTGAAGAAAAAAGAAGAAAGAAAACGAATACAGCACATTGGCTTGGCCTTTTTTAATTAAAACATATTGAGATCACCACAATTCTCCCGCAGATGTGTGAGGTGAACGAACGACTTTACCTATTTAGAATTTTTATGTTCGAATAGTATTTGTAACACGTTCACTTTAAGTTTTTGAATACTTGCGATACGCTCATAAACTGAATTGATTTCCAGGAAAGTTGTTTTTTAAGAAAAAAAAAAAACACTTAGAGAAAAGTTCATCTAGTATATCGTGGCAGCGCAAAAAACTAGAAAGACTCAACCATGATTTGTGCGAGTGAACTGAACATTGAACAAAGAAAACACACACTCATTTGAAGTAATAATCGCTGATTATTTTCAATAATTAACTTCAAATACAACGCAGCGCTGTTGGATAATAAAAGTGAGTTATTATGAATAGATTTTGCGCATCTTTTTTCCCTCCAAACCACAGAGACTGCTCTGCCAACATAAACTTCCCATTCCCATTGGCAACATGTGGGCTTTAAGAAAATAGAGAAAAAAAATAGTCTACGATTCGAACCAAATTATTGCTATCGAACTTAGTTAATTCACCAAATTCAGGGAACAATTGAGAGAAAAAAATCTCGGCTTTTCTTTCCGGATTGGTCACAATTTCCTTGGATCCACAAATTATTTAAGTTTCGTGCATTTTATTTCATTATCGCATGTTTTTAATTGAATGTGATTACGACAGTTCACTCTCTCTCTCTCTCTCTCTCTCTCGTTCTCACCTTTTCACCAGCTTCATTGTGAAATCAATTTAATTTTTTTTATGTTAATTTCGATATTTTTTTTCTTCACTAATCACGATATTTCATCAGTGGATTTAATCAAGCTAAACAGTGTATTGAATCTCTGATCAGATGCATTTTGATTCGTAATATCCTGTGAATGTAAATCTGTTCGTGCACCCATTATTGTATTGTATAAACGTAACTACAGTTCATGCAAATCCAAATTCAATGTGATAACACTGCGTCTTTTATTTGTATCTTTTATATTGCTTATTCGCAGCAGGTTTTACAGAATAAATTGTTAAATTTAGTCAATTTTTTTTCGGTACATGAGCAAAACAAAAACAAAAAATAGAGAAAAAAAGAGATGAAACCGCAAATTAACACGTTTGCCTATTACACTGCAAAAAAATCACCTACTGTGAATTCTAATTTTGATTGGCAAAAATGTGTATGTTGGTATTAGGACAATTTTGTTTAAATAACTACTCCAACAATTGGCAGAAAATTATTGGCGAAAACAGCGCCTCCGGTTCATCGATCGCAACACATTTTTTATTTTGAATTCCTCACATTTTATCACACACTCTCACGTACACATATACACACATACACATAACGGCATGTTTTTGCTCATTTTACTCACAATATATGAACGTAACGAATTTGGAAGAGACAATTTGAATTTCGTTTTTCGCACCATTTGTCCAAAATCATTATGCATCGTGCATATTATACGTGATTTTGTCTGTCATCATCGATTGCGTTTTTTTTAATGTGAAAATCGTGCGCTAGACCATGTTATTGGTTCACCCATTATTGAAACGGTTTAATTGATCTGGACGGAATAGCTTTCTTTCATAAGTGCTGTAACTTCAGTTTCATTTGATTGATATTCAAATTGTTTGTACGTTCGTTCACGTATATCCAACATGTCCGTTCACATTGCATAGATATCTGAAATTCCTAACTGATAAAATTGACACGACTTTGTCAAATTCAGCCAAAGTACTACCGTTGGTTCTTGCCAATTCTCGTTTGCAAATATTATAAAATGTTGTATCTATGACGATAATAATCGTATTCGATTAACTCACTTTGTGTGTGTTTTACAAAAAAAGATAGATTAAATAGCTTATGCGGAGGTCTGCGTATTTTGACAACGAATTCATTGATAAAATGTAGACATTTTGTTCGAAAAGATTTAAATTATAAAATAAACAAACAGGGTAATGTATCCAGATAGTTGGGCCAAAAGCTCGGCGTTTGCCTGCTGGTTATTACTTATTAATTGACTCAAATTTAGAAAAATTTGCGCAGTGTTGAAACAATTCCGATGTAATAACTATACTAATTTGCAAATTAGTCAATGAGAACAATACCTATGACTGTGGTATTTATTGTTGTCATTGGTCGATATAATCAGTTGTGCTGATTCCACTTTATATGAAAGATTAAGATAACCGTTTTCTACTACATGTGGAATCTATTTAATATACCGTTTTTGTTTTTGCGAGAGAAAAAAATGTGGTGATGCCGATGGCATAACAAGGCTCCTTTTGTCTTATCTTATCATTTTGGCGGCAAATACACAAATAGCGATTGCAAAATTTTTCCCTCTAAATTTTATTTTTCCAGTAACCGAAAGAGAATATAACAGTGACAAATTGAATTGATGATGAGATGCTATATATAAAACCGAATTTAAATACATTGACTACATCTTGGTGACATTAAGACGTACAAACATGCTGATATACACCTGAAAGTATCTGAAAACCGCTTAGCCCCCCGTTTATCACTTTTCACTTTGTCCATTGTTTCTTTCTCTTCTTCCACATGTTTGACACTGTTTGTACGTTTGCCATTATTTAATTGAATGCCAAAACGATTTGCCAAAATGATAAAGACCTAGTTTGTCAAGACGGTGAATTTTGGAGATTTTGCGGCTCACAAATATCTCAAACAGCGGAAAGATTAATTTAAATAATTGTGAATGCAAAATCCGCGTAAAGTAGGTTTGTACGGCCACTTTCGTGCATTTGAACTCTACATCGGTATAGATTTATTTTTGTTTATGTTCTTCCTATCTCCCATTCGCTTAAGTCATCAATCTCGTACTGCTTTGCGATGAAATTAGTGCGCATTGAATAGTTGCCAAAATGTCTTATGTTTTGTGGCGAAAATTGCGAAAAGTCGAGTTCAAACACAGCCAACAGCACGAACAAAAAACTTGATCATAAAATTCCGTTATTGTTTTCGTGCTCGTTGAAACGACCTATATTTCTGTTTCTAAAAAGTTGTGCGCCTTTATTCCTATTTCCTTTGACAAAATTGACAAATAAATCGAATGACAATATTTTTTAAGCAAATCGTTTTCACGAATAATTGTGAAATCAATTTTGCCTACAAAAGCAAATCACTTTCAAGCATTTGTGCAACCGAACTATTCGGTTGCTGATCTCTTTATATTTTGCACAATTTTTTTTTTTTATTTTTTTTTTATTCTTAGAGAGACAATTTTTCATTGCTTTTCATTTTAAAATAATACCTCGAAAGACAGAAAATTATTAGTGTTGACGTTGTTGTTGTTTCATTTCGATTTAATGTGGTGACGGTTTTGGCTCACAAAGTTTCAGACATTTCTAAGCCATTAAGTCGGGCAGTATAAAAAAAAACATTAATTTTCATGGTCAAACTTATAAAATTTTCACAAGACCAAATCCTACGGCGTTCTATTCGATTCAAAACAGTTTTGTTTGCTTTACTTTTTATCAATCATATCATGCATGAATCGTAGAAGAATCACATTTTTCAGCTATGACTAGTCGCATCCGACAGCAAACATGTTGAGTCGTGCACGATTGTTTACATTTATGGGGTAATGATCGTCATTCTTTGAGCGTGAAACACAAGCGTCAACACCATTTTGGCTGCGCAAACATAATTAAATGTTAATGATAGCAGACAGAAGTGCGTGTAGCACCTCCACTTTATTTTGAATACTTTAAAATAAACGAACATGTACTCAGAGAAAACTAAGTTGATTTTTACGTAGCAAAATGTTTGAAAGTGTCAAATTCCAATACATGTTAAGTTTTTCGCAACAAATGTTCTTTCCATATTGACACAAGTATTTGTCAAATTAGACATCAGCAGACACCAGCTCCCTTACATCGTGTCTAATTTTCAAATTAGACGCCAATTTTCATTAGAATCGCCTGTTGTCCAATTTGAAAATTAGACACGACGTAAGGGAGCTGGTGTCTAATTTGACAAAGACTTGAGTCAATATGGAATGAAAATTTGTTGCGAAAAACTCAACATAAGTTGGAATTTAACACTTTCAAACATTTTGCTACGTAAAAATCAACTCAGTTTTCTCGGTGTAGAATGATTATATCCCTGCTTTTCTCTTTTGCTCGAATTAGAAACTCTACTTTTCATTGCACTAATTTTATCGATAGAGTAACCGTTAAAATCACCTTTACATCGTTCAATTCATTTAATTGTCAGCTTGCAGAAAAGTTACAACGACAACATATTAAACTCACATTTTAATTTTCAATAAGAAAAAAAATGATTCTTCTGATAATGAAATCGCTCTTCCTAAGAATTCAAAAAAGGAAAAAAAAAAATGGCTGAAATATTGAGCCTTGACACATTTGATGATCATTTCATGAATTGGTTTAATTTATTTTTTGATTCTTGTTTGTTTGTGTCAGCGTTACTTAGTATTTTGACGATTATATCGACGACGATAATGACAGGGACTACGCTGTTTTCAGATTTATTTTAGCACCTTGGTTTTTGCAGTTTTTCCATAAATTGGAATAGTTTGAATGCAATCTTACAATACCAGGGAAAAAAAAATATTTGAGCATTCAATTAATTTTGTTAGAAATAGAGAAGCAGGGAAGTGAAAATAGCAAATGAAACAAGAACCCAAATTGAACTAAAGTGTAAGAGTAAACAATGTGTCAGCAGTTGAACACGGTCGTTCTAAATGGAAAAATATTCTGACGCCAGTGAATGAGTAATATTACATGTAAATAATAATGAATGACCGAACAGACAAAAAATTCAATCTACAGTCTTTGCTCAAGTGTAAGTAAAGTAAAGCAATATACATTTAAAAAACACAGTAGGTTAGAAAAAAAAAGTTCTTATTTCTTTTGATGTGGTTTGTTAGGGAAGAAAAAATCGAATGAAATTAACAAAAACGGTACAATATACGTAATTGAAGCCTGCTACATGCACATTAGTTTGTGTGAATATTTTTGGAAACTACAACCTAGAATATTTACGTAAATCACCTTTGACAAAATCATTTGGTCGATTGTGAATGAAATTTAATATATTCGGCACTTTTCTACGCTTTTCGATTTGTTCTCTTTTTCTTTGTTCAGAAAAATGTTGTGTGTCTGCAAATGCTATTGGCGCTGAACTCTTCGTTGCAAATGCAATTTTATGTAGATCACTTTGGACGTTTCACTTCGTTAAAAACGTGCCATTGCGATTTTTATACAACTTTCGTTTTTATTCTTCATTGCATTTCACATCTGCATCGCGAAATATCGTTGGCTTCCACTGACCGAACCACTTGAATTTTAGTCTTTATATTTCGAACAATTATGAGAAATACGAACTCTTTGATTATCCATTTCAACAGTACATGAAAATGTGTATATATTTTGGTGCTCTGTTTAAGCATAAACGTCCTTTAGTTTTTTTTTTTTTATTACAATTCGTCGATTTGCAATTTGTTCCTTTTGAAAAGTGTTATATTTGTAAAGAAGTACCACTATTTTTTTTTTTAATCTAACCGGTATATTTTTTGGTTTCCTAATATTTATTTTTAAATTAGTAAACTCGCGACAGATTATTCACACATTTTTATACGATCTAAAGCCTAATAAAATAGATCACACGAATTTGTTCGAAGCGGTCGTATCAATGCGATAAATAGATGTTAGCAGCAACACGGTCGCTGAACAACTGACTTGAACACAACACACATTCATTTTGCAGTCGAAACTTTTCAAACCTCTTTCATAGTACCGCTGGTTTGTTGTTGTGCTCTGGGCCAACAGGAATACATGAAATATCTTTATTTTACGGAACTTATTATATTAATTCGATAGCGATTTTCGTATAGGCTTTTTTGCGAACAATTTTGCGAATATATATAGGCGAATATACAGAAATCGGTTTCACTGTAACATCTGCATTCACAATATTTGTAATAAAGAAATTGAACAGACAGATGTATTGATAATGGCATGAAAAATCCGAAGTGTGAAAGATTCTGACTCAATCCCGCTGTCGATCGGTGCGCGGCCGATGAGTTTGTTGTTGTTATTATTGTATGCTTTTTTCAAATATCTTGTTCGTTTTGTCTTTGTGCGTTTCGTTCAGGTTTGCGTTGTGTGGTATGCGCGTGTAAGCATGAAATGAAAGACTTTATACCTGTGTATTGCATATGCCTGAATGTGTGTTTTTTTTTAACAAAAAGACATATATACTCGTTTTCACACATATACCTTTCATACGATTCGCGTCTTCCCGATACTATTCTGCAGTGTCTCCTGTTCAGCACTACATGAAGTGTAGAGCTATTGTCTACGCTTTTCCCCTTGTGTTTTTTTTAAACTTATAAATAAATAAAATAGAAGCAACACTAAAGGCTTACAAGTGTATCAAATGGGTTTTGCAACCATTTGCCTTTCTTTTTAAACAAGAAATAGGTTTCGAATTCAAGTCATACGATTTTTTTTTTTGGTTAAAACTTTACATTATTGGATATTTTCTTATCACTTCTGTCGATTGTTTGTGATATTTCCAAAGGAAACGTTCCTTTCGAAGAATTTTTTCATTGAGGAATTTACATCTTTTTTTATGTGAATCTTTAGAAATATGATTTTATCAACACCACCAGAAGTTTACACAAAAATTGAAAAAAATACAAGCGCACAGAGCTGGGTGCGAAAGGATTCGCTGATCTTGTTCATGAATGTTCCTACCGTCTAATACGAATACTGCAGATGTAGATCGTATGCGAAGAAGAAACGAATAAATTTCAGTGAAACCTTACGCAAGTGAAAATTGTATTCGAATTTTTTTTTTTTTTTTTATTGAATTTTGTCCTTTTTGGCAATTAAACGAAAACTTAAAGCATTTATTCCACTTGGCGCTGATTTACCTAAGAAATTGAAATATCTACTGAACTCACATCTTTTCCACAGTTTCGAATAAGAACTTCATGATTTTTTCCCATTTGACCTTCATACGGAGAAAAAACAAGAGACCAAATAACCAATAGAACCGTTTTTTGCTAGGGGTTTCACGCAACTTAAAATTCATCTAAAATTTCAATATTTCTCTCTTTTCTCTAAAATTCTCTGGGATCCACCAAAATCCGTATTATTTCGAAATATTTCAACATTCACCTTGAAAATTATGTTCTGGAACTGGGTTTTGGTGGATCTTCAGGATGGATCAGACTGGGTTTGACAATGCCCTGGTCCATCCTGAGGATCCACTTCCAGAACCAGGAGCGGTTTTGAACAATCCTGAGGATCCACCAAAACCCACTTCCAGAATTTTTAGATTCAAAAAATTCTAAAAAATTCGAGTTTATGAATAAAAAGAAGCAATATCTATAGTTTACACATAAAATGGTTTTATTTCCAGATATTTAGTAAAATCTTCGGCCTTCGAGTTTGCGTGAAACCCCTAGGTTTTTTGCATTTTAGCTTGAAATTCATACAAAATATTAAAGAAAATTTTCTTCTAATGCATTTTGTTCTTGATATTTTCTTTTAACAACAGTATTAAGAATACACATAAATATTTATTGCTTCGCAAGGCGTGTCAAAATAATTTGAAAGTAAGGATGCCCTCAAATTGCGTATTTTAGATTAATGGTTCGTAAAATGATCAAAAATCTTATTGCACTGGCTGTCACGTAACGTTATAGGAAGAATAATGAAGTCTATGACGTAGACCATATCAAATGAAACTAAAGAGCACGAGGTCGAAAATTTTTGAGAACAGCAATTAAAAAACTGGAAATGTGGTCACGTTTATTCATTCTAATGATTTATACGTGAAAACCAAATTTTTCACTTCCATCCATAGATTCTGACATAGTCTGATCTCGTTGATCTTGACCCTTGCTGGCGAAATTTTAACATTTCGCACTAGATAGAATTGACCCATTATTGAATTTTGAAGAATGATTTCATGATTTTACACTACATAGAATTGATTTTCAAAATTGATGACTTTTTTTTTGGTCTTCACTTTTTTCCGAAACCTATTTTACACTAGATTAAATTGATTTTTTTGACACTTTAATGAATTTTTGGTTTGACCCCCCTGAAATGTTCGGTTTCAGAATCTATGCTTCCATCATTATCTAATTACTTAATAACAACTTATTTGGTTCAATACATCCATCGTCATTGGTTCTGCTGTATCAATTCAGAGGAGAGTTCAATTCAAAAATAAAGAGAAGAGTGACTCTCTATTGCTTTAAAAATATGCTTTGTTCCGCCTGGTTGCAGTTTCAATGCGATGGAAAATGCGGTGATACCCATGCCAGACGTATTCATTCTTAAAATTGATTGAATTTGCTTGATTGAAATAGAACCACAAACTGTTGTTGTTTTTCTTCGTTCATCTTCATTCAAGAGCATATCTGTTAACACATGGGCTTCTTTCTAGCTCTTTTATTTGTTCAGTTACATATGGAACAAAGTATCAAAACACTTTCAAAGTCTTTTAAGAAGAAGTTATCATTAAATATTATTTTCTCAATAATTCGCATTGCTGGGCATTGGACAAATAAGAGTGGAAACATTTACTCTTGTTTTAATTGCTGAATCCGATCAAGTCGGTAAAAGTGATACGGCTTCCGTAAACTTGAAATTTAAGCGCAAAAGCGTGTTTTTGTATTTCTTCGGGTATTTCGACGCGTAAACAAGACGTGAAAGAGAAAGAGTTTGGTTTGGTTGAATGAATGCTTGCTCGGCCACAAAACCTTTCTTAAATAGTATGCAAGTCAGCGAGAATCGCACAAAATGATACCTAATTGTAATATCATGTGCAAACAAAGCATAGATGCTAGAAGGATGCCACTGCATCTTTCACAGTTTATAACATGTTTTATATTGCTTTATCAATGTAATTAACATGAGTGTTGCAGCAGGTGACTTGTCGTACAAAAAAAAGCCAAAGAAATTTAAGAAATGAGCAACAACTGGAGGACTGAATGAAGAATCGATGGTAAATGAAATTAAGCGCCAAAGTACCTGTGCCAACATACAGCGAGCTATATCTCTTTTACTGTCCGGCTAATATTACCATCGAAGAATATTCTTATCTTATTTTTCGTATCGCGTTGTCAGGTTTGGTTTCATCGCAATTGAATTCAAATGCAATTCAATGCCGTCGAATAACACGACGATCGTCTCTGGTGACTAAGAAGTTAATTGTTGGCAAACGTAATAAATAACTAGTAATTGGTTTATTGCAAGAATGTTACAAATATTTCAAATCAAGCGTCTACCACTTCATAGATAGCAACGATTATTATTTTCTTCAAATTTCCTCTTGGTTCGGCAATTCATTACGAGAAATCCGATGTACGAAAAGAGGAAAAGCACAGAATTTATTATGGGAGGTCCATGAAGTGTATATTTCTGCTGTAACAAAAATAAAAATACATGGTTGGATGCCAGCCTATTAAAAATTAAGTATGCATCTACACAGAAAAAAATCCTAATTTCTTCATTGTGCAAAATATAATATGAGAAAAACAATAGTCCGAACAATTGGCCTCTTGCAGTAAATCGTTCTCCATGTTTCTCTTCCATCCCATCACCTCAGAAAGGGAAAAGAGACACTTGAAAAACGGTCAATATAGAACTAACACATTTTTGTGGTTTAATTCATACTTGAATGCTACATTGTTTGATGAATGTGAAACATGAGAGTCGTAACATAGAGTGGAAAAGAACGTTAAACTAATTTACTGTAACGCATGCAACGATTTGCAAATCAATAAAAATGAAATGCCTGATATACATGTATAAATAGAAAATGAAAATAAGCTAAAGATACTGATCGTTTTATGCACTATGTCTACGCGCTTGTATTTGCCTTCATGGTTGACGGCGAACACAGAGTTATTGCTTTGCTGTATTACGTTGCACTGTGTCGTTGTTTTTAATGAAAATGGACTTGTGAATCAGTGCGGATAGTATGATAGTATGCACACTGAGCGTACACTGGCTTACGCCTGTTGTATTGACCAGCACACATACACGCTAATATTTATGTCAAATGCTGATGTCACCAGTACCAAAACTAAAATGCTTTTTGAAGAATTTTATCAACAATTTGTGAGAATATATGAGGGATATGAACACAAAGACGCCCCCTACACGTATCACACTTTTTTTTAACGGAAGCACAGCTTGAAGCAGATTGGCTCATTCGATTTGTTTCAAATGTAATCTTGGTTTTGTTTGGCCGTTTCTCGTTCAGTGTGTGTCTTCGTTTGAATTTATTTATTACTTTTCCACAATTCAAGTTGGTTAGGAGAAGTATTGGTTTAACCCGTTTCCCCATGCACACACAGACAATAATCTAATAATGCAGCTATCTTATCTTTTTCCAGAAGCGAGAAAAATGTGTTTTCCGCTCAATGCCCACTTGTGTCACTTTTGCTCGCAACTTCATTTGTTTCTTTTTTGCTCGATGTTTTTTTTTCGTTTCATTTATCGGCAAAGAGTTCAAAAGTTCTTTTTTCATTCTATGGGTGTCATCTTTTTGGAATTTGGAAATCACTTTATCAATAAATTGATATTAATTCTGCTGATGTCAAGCGAATTGACATCAAGAAAACAGTTGCTGCAGCCATGGTCACACCATAAATTGCATTTGACGTTGAAATATTTTATTCTCCTTAAGAGCACAAAATTTGCAAGATGTGCACGGAAAAGTTTGGATTACATATACAATTCGTTTTATTGCGGTATGATTTTGTCGTAACCACCGAAACGGGTAACATATAGACTAATCAAAGAAAACTACCAGAACGAACAAGACGGTCATTGCAGCATGCCACGACGACGTCGACGTCGACGGTTTTGTATATATAGACGAACGGTGCGGTGCATACACAACTCTTAACATTTTCGTTACGGCTAGTGAAAAGTCCATATGCAAATCACAAACAAAAGGAAAATTACGAAGAAAGAGAAAACAAAACGAAATACGAAAAAAGAAGCGAACACGAAGAGAGCCTATGAGAAAAGGAAACAAACTACCAAAAAGCAAATAATCGAAAATGCAGTGCACTTTGAGCGTGTATGTTGTGTTTGCAAGAGTAAAAATGGAGGCTTGGGAACGAAATTACCTCCGTGTTTGGTATTAGTACAGTCACACGAGCAACACTTACGTGAAGAAAAAAATTGAAGTTCAACAAACAATTTTTTTCTTAAGCAAATTGGCAGTTTTAGTACATAAATTACTATTTAAGTATACCGAAAATATTGAACACACACAGTTTTTTTATGTGTGTATGTTTGAATAAATGAAGACTAGCATTCACGAGGATTTTCTATGTTGGATATTTTTGTATTTGCACTTATATCTCTCAGGTTTGTTAGCAGCCCATGAACGCTAAACCAACTCTAGTTCATTCATTTATGGCTTTCGCTTCATTTACATGTATTCATACAAATAGAAGGTAAGCAGACAGTATTCTTTGTGCGTAGTATGCAATGGGAAATGCATGTATAAAAGCAGGGACCGTGCAACACAATCAAAATTTCTACAAAGAGTCTGAAAGAATCGATATGGATATGTGCAATTCGGTTTTAAGTTAGAACCTGATTTCAATTTATTGTCTTTTCCCTCTCTTTCGCTCATTTATTCATTGACCAATATATGATTTTTATCATGTATCTATCTGTACAAACAAACACGCTTATTCTAATGTCATCTCAGGCAATAGCAAGATTCAAACAGAGTATAATCACAACATTTGATGAGAATTAACCTGATTTTATACCGAGAAAGACGAACGTGTAAAATTGTTGCAGACATATGTGCTCCAATTTGAATGTTAAAGAATAAAACCCCACGCTCGCCAACGGACACCTCATAAAGTGGGAATGTAGAACATTTCCTATTGACACAAAATTAGTTTTTAAATGTCATTCCAGTCATTGAAATTGAACGTAATATAATTTTTAGCAACGTTGCACTTTGAATGGTAAAGAAACATTTACATCATTATCTGTCTATCTATTATTAAACGAAAACCATTTTAAATCAGTCAAAATTAATTGAAATCATTTTTGCGAAATAATGTGTGCAAAATGGATATCCATAAACAAAATAACGATACTATGTCGATTGCCTGCAAACCCGAAAAAAAGTTTGCAACGCATGTAGCGCAGATGTTTGTTTTTAGGTCATTCATTAATGAGTGAAGTACCGCATGAGCTTAAGTTTCTGTTAACATTTTGCGAGCTGCGATACCGCACAAGTCGCCGACTATTCGACGCGACATGATGTTCTCGAATATTGTAATATAATACGACAAAACAAAAATGAGAAACTTCGTCATCGCAAAAAAAAAAAAAACGGTAATGTCGCTTCCTAGGAGTCAGGACGATGTGTAATAAAATACCGACGTAAAACATACGACCGTCATTTTATCCAATGATTTTTTCTCAAGTTTCAGGTGGAATTAAATTATTGCATGCGGCATTATTCACTAAGTTTCGAAAAATGTTCTGCAGTCTCTTTTCGATCATATTCGGTACTAAATGAATCGCAGATAGCCCCATGTGATTCTGTGACAATAACTTCATTGTCAGTATTAGTTGCAGACACATTTTTCTAAATATAAAAAATATTGGGAAAATTACTAATAGATTTTCATACTTTTGGCGCTGTTCCAGCACCAGGCAAAAAGCCGAACATTTTTGTTTTGACCCAAATTAACAACAAACACAAAAAAAAAAACAAGGAATATACGAAGAGTGATACAACAGACGAGAAGGAGAAAGAACTATGAACGATTTGCACGATGAATGGTTTCAAATTGTGTGTGTAATTTTCTTGTAAAGTCGATTTTTCGATCCAAATTTGTGTGTATTGTATTAGACATCCAAAATACAGCCGAAGCAAAAACCTGCAAAACTTTCAGAACACAGTCAATTCGGGAATACACTAGCAACGCATATTGATCAGCAAACAAAAACAACAGTACGATATAGAAATATTAATTCAAAACGTCTGAAAGCATGCATACTGAAATAGTTCAGACTAGCAGAGTAGAAAAAACTCGACATTTCATAAAACGAAGCACACTGTGAACATCGATGAGATGGAATTGCTGATTTGTTTGAGATGATTTTCATCAGAAATTGGCCGCAAAACTAATTTGTTGATTTTTTTTACATTGACGCTAACAGATGATTTCGTTTGGTGTTTTATAGAGATTTCATCACATGTGCAATTGAGCAATTCGAATCAATTGGATGGTAAATTGAATTCAACCGAATTTTTGTTTTGACGGAATGTAAAAAAAAAAAAATAGAAAAAAATATACAATTTTATTCGACAATGCGATTTTGATGCTTTTGAAATAGTTTCAATCCAAATGATTCTAACGTTTTTCATTTGTTTCTGCTGGACTTTTGAAGTGACAGCTATGACGCAGCCAACTTCATTCCAAACTGTCATTTTGAATATTCAACAATGAAACAACATTTTCATTAAACAACTGCCACTTTTGTTATTAAAATCGGAACACCTTTGAAATTATAACATAGAAAACTAATTATTTTTAGAGGCGAAATGACGAATTTCGAAAGTTTTAGTGAAGATTTAGTACCACGCATTGTTCCGCAACCAACTTTGCACCCGGTATTGGTAAGTTGAATATGTTCATGCAAAAATGCAATTAACTGAGCTCAAGTTTACTTTTCTCTCTCTCTCTCTCACTCTCTTCAATGCTTAGGATATGTCAAAACCAATCGTTCCCGAAGTGTCTTTAATTTTTGACGAGTCCAAAAAATCAATTGCAAACCAAATGGTACAGCCTAAAAGTTATAAAGAATGGAAACAGCAACAGCAAATGCCAGTAGCCACGAAGTTTACACCTAACCAAACATCAACCGCAGATCGAAAGAAAATAGTTACATTTAATTTACCAAATGACAATCAGCCCACTAAAAATATGCTACAATCACCGATCGAAAGTACTCCCATGGCTATTTGTCAACAATTGGATTTGAGTTTATGCGAGCCTAGAAAAAGTAATGAAGTTAATCAACATACGATTCAGTCCAATTACATAGCAGATGTGCGACAGCAAGACTATAACCATTTCATACAACAACCACATACCAATAAACGGTTGGTGGTATCGCCTCAAATGAATTCAGATGAACATTACAAAAGGCCATCAAATCAAATGGTCAACCGAATTACGAACCAAGTGTTTAATAATCAAAATCAAGCCGAAACAAAAGGAATTACACTGAATGATGTGTATCAACTGCTTCAGAATATGCAGTTGAATAACTCTTCAGAAAACAGCACAGCTAATAAGGAAAGTAATCTAAACCAATTGAATGGGCACCATATTGCTTCAGAGAAACATCGGCAGATTGACCATCTCTCACTGATACGGGGTACAAATCAATCATTCGAAAACACACCTTCCAGCCACAACGAACCAACGATGAAGGATATGTTCAATGTGATTTTGAAGCAACAAGAACAGTTGATGAACATACAAAATCAGGTTCATGTTCTACTTATGCGCTCTGCCAATGTAGCATCCAATCAATTGGAGAGCAGACATCATAACAATAATCAAATAATGGGAGATGTGAATGCCAATATCAATCAAATTGATTCGCATGCTAAACAGGTTGGCGTCATGACAAGCTTGGAAATCAATGTGCAAAATATTAAACCAAGTGCCATACAAACCGATGAAAATTTTAGTACACCAAAAGCCAAGAATAAAATGGCAATTAATCAAAATATCAAACAGTGTGGGTGCATGTGCAATTGTGAATCACAAAAGCAGTTGCAATCGCCTGATTCTGGAAGTAATGATGATAATTTTGATACGAGCCCCAGAAATAGCTCTGACACTCAAGCCGGATGGACATTCTATGGGAATATTTTAAATCAAGTGAATGACGTGCTGCAAAACACATCGCCCATATCGAGTGCAAGAGGTAACGAACCAAAAAATCCACAACAAGCGGCCAACACAGAGAATCGGTCCTACGGCCTGAATGAAGTTCCCATTCGACGCACTTCAAATGTAATGCCGAACATCCGGAGCGCTCAATTCAAACAAGTTGGCTTTCAGATTGATGATGTAAATATTTCTGCTATGACAAAAAGGTAGGTTCCAAGTTTCGGCACAATGTAATGCATCGTCGATTTGAATGAACGCATTCTTTTTGTCGCATTTTAGTTTTAAAAATAACAACAATTTTTGCTTTTAGAATTACGTTTGGTTCAACATCGAATGAAATTCCGCGAACGCCCGCCGACCGTGTGGCTGCAACCGACAACAGTATGCTGATGAATGCACTGGCTATGAAATATCTACCATGTGATTTAAATAATGTACACTCACCAAAATTAGCGAATGGGGTCACTCAAACAACGATCGCAAACACTCGTAATGCAACACCAACGAATGGACCATCAGTGAATCGACAATGTGAATTAAATAACAAACATTCAAATACCGATATGTCAATGACGAGTTATCGCTACATGGAAAAATACGGCCTACTTTGATTTGCCACCGGAATTGCGATAGTTGAAACATTGTCTTTATGTTCGCTTTCACTTTAGACGCTCATTTGAATTGTTATCATGGAATGATGTTGATCGATATAAATTGTTTTCATAACGTCCGATCAGATGCAAAAATGTATCAGTATTTTATATGTTTTAAGTGTTAAATAAAATTGCTAATAAATGTCACATCAATCTAACGAACTTTCATCTGCTTATTTATGGATTACTTTTTCTAATGGCACCCGGATGAAACTTACTCTGAACGGTGACTGAACGTGCGATGATTGTTGCGAATATTCCCGATTTTGTCTGTAAAATTAATAAGGAAAATAGATTTAAGGCAAATTCACGACCACTCAAAAAGTGATTTCTAATTATGACTTTGCATATACCTGTCGTTTTCGATGTGAATTTTTTTTGGCGTAGCATCATGAATGCTCACTTGACTTGGTAGAATCTCTTCTAGTGAAACGTTTTCATTGTTAAGTCGAATTGGGCTTAGTGCATGGCATTGAACACCGAGAACGTCGTCAATATTTTGATGCCTTGATATGAATAATTTTTTGAAATTCATTTCGACAGAGGCTGTATTTACATTGTCATATGGTGATGAACAATTTTTGCTAGAGTTGTTAAGATCTTCCAAACCTTCAGGACTGGCTCGATCGCCAAGTGGTATGTAATTTGCATTGATATCGTACTGATAGCTATTGGCATATTCATTTTGTTTTCGTTGTCTTTTTTTATTTAATTTGGATTCAAGTCTTTTGGCTTCCAAGGATTCGTTGATCGTTGCCCAGAAATCGATATCAGAACTCTCATCCTTGTTGATATCATCGTTGATAACATTTTGATTAGTCGTTTCGACTGGAGCAGCGCCATCATTTTCTTCACAGAGCCACCATGCCTGCTCACCTGATTCAATCTTCTTGATTTTGAACGTGAATTTTGAACCGGTATCGTTTTCCGTTTCGGCCGCTTCTAGAATGTCGTTCACACTTTCTTCGGTGTCTTCGTCAAGCCACCAGGCTCGTTCACCCGAACGAACATGCGTAATGCGAAACTTTTGTCGATTTTCACTGTTGTTCTCATCCACCATCCACCATGGGATTGATGAAGTCGTTTGGCTAGCATCTACTACATCCACACTATTGATTTGGGTCTTCGTTTCGTTATCACTCTGATTCAGCGTAATATCCTCGGCGATGGTATCGTCATTTTCAGTTTCATTCATCCACCATGGAAATTGATGGCTGGAGTCATTGAGCTTCAATTGACTTTTCATGTTTATCGTTTTGGAGCCTTGAAATTTGTCAAATTGAGTGTCGGTCGTTTGTTCGTCTAGTGTTGAATTGATCCAACTCGATTCGTCTGCTAAATAATTATTGCTACAAATTAATTTCGTTCCGTTCGATGTCGTTTGATTAAGCACAGATTCGATTAAAGTGTCTTGCTTAATGCTATCGTTTGTACTAATCACGCTTTCGTGATCAGAACCGTTTTGACTCTCGCCAAGCAGTTGCGATTTCGTTTTAGATATTTTTGTGACGGGGCCGAGTACACATTTCATAATACTCGATTTTGTATTATCAATTTTCGCGCATGATTCACTAGTGTGTGTTGATGATTCGTTTGTTCGATTTTGCACCGTACCGTTTGGATTGGATGTTAATTCACACGTCATATCATTGCTATTTGAATGCATCACGTCGCTTGAATCAGATGGCGCAGTCGGTGTTGCGGCAGTTGGCGGCTGCGATATTTTTAATTTCAAAAAGTTTTTCGTCATGTCGTCAGCGTTGCTGTTGTTGCCGCCGCCGTCACCGCCGCCACCACCGCCACCACCACTTGAATAACTTGTCTCTGAGCTAACACTGGGTGAACGATCAGATCGTGCAAATGACATTTGATTTGTAGTCGGTTTCTGCTGCACCTTTTTACTATCTTCATTATCTGTGCTTGAACTGGATGTTCGTGCTTTGCGCGGCCGATCGGTTTGGCCAACATTCAGTGCGGATTTACGGAAGTCTTTGTTAGCCCATTTGGAACTATTAGCAGATGATGAGGACGATGCGGCCGAAATTGTTTTGGTTAGAGATTCCAGTTTAGGCGGCTGTGGAGGCAGTGCTTTGCTGTACACTTTTTGTTTTGTTGGCGATGAAGATGTGCTCTTTGACGATGGAATCGGCGGACTTTTCGATTTGGACTTTTCCGTTTTTGTCGCACTTTTTATTGAATTGCTACGTGATATTGATGGAGATTTTGATACAGAACTTTCTCGTGATGATTTTGATGGGCTTTTCTCTGGCGATTTTTCCGGTGATTTTTCGTAAATAATTTTCTCGTCACTCTTTTCCGGTGAACTTTCAATGGAATCTTTTTCATTTTTGTTGGCGTTGCTGTATTTGGACAGGGATGTGGCATTCGAAGTACTACTGAAGCGTGAATAGTTCATGCTATTATATTTATTTTCCATGTAAGATGGCCATGGTGTCGATGATCTTGTACCGCTGAAACGGGAATTTTTCGTTGAATCGTCCATGCGATCCGATTGAACACCTTTATCTTCACCGATAATCCTCCGCTTCGGTCGCATCAATGTCTTTTCGATGGTTTTTGCAATTTCAACTCTTCGACATCGTGAAAAATTTGTTGTAGATGTGGAACATAAATTGGGTGATGTTCCTCTTGTAATAACATTAACCTCAACCATTTCCACACTTGGTTCGGAGGATGTGTCATTTGGACTACTTATACTGTCCGCTGTCGAGGTTTCTTCATTTGTAGAACTCTCTTCTGGTAATGCTTTTGCATTATCTTTAACGAGCTCTACATTTTGACGATATCTGCCACCAACATCACTTCCATTCAAATATGAAACGGCCGGACCGGTTGATCGACTTCTAAAACTGTTTACTTGTAATTTGTTCGTGCCTCTTGGATAAAGTTTACTGTAAGATGATGATACATAGCCAGAAGACGATGTATATCGATCTTTGGCTGGCTCACATGGACTAGGATCACGTGATTTTGATGTTGAGTAAGAACTATTTGATGAGCCTACATCACGGATTCGTACTTTGGCCACAGTAATGGACGGTCGTGTTATCGTGGACGATTGTTCCTTGGCCTTCGTTTTGGCCAGAAGATTTCCAGATGTTGTCGTCGAACTTTGACTACTCTTAGCCAATTTATTTTCACATGAACTGGCCACATCATTTGATAAAGTTTTGGATGGCAATTTTTTTACAACTGCCGTCTCCTTTGTTGCCGGCTCTTTATTTGATGATAGCCAACGGCTCGATGTAACTGGAGTTTCACGTTTGATTCCAATGCTACGATAAGTTCCACCTGAATAAGAGGGTCGATATGTCGATGGCGACGATATGGATCCAAAACGTGGAGCTGGCTTTGATTCCGACGAACTACTGAGAACTTCATCGCGTGACGAATACTAGAAAAATAACCACAACTTTATGTTTAAGTACATGTTAATTTAAGAATACGAACAACTGAATTAGATTAGAAAATTTCATATTGAAAGTATGGCATTTAAATTCATAACAAATGAAATAGAAATGGATGATTTACCCGGCTTGTAGCTGGAGATGTTTTTGATGATAAGTATGGTGATAAGTTAGGCTTCCATGAGACCTGTTTAATGACGAATCGTACGATTGAATTGATTAAAATGGTTCAAATGAAAACGTGGAAAAATTATAACAATAAGAATCTTTAAACCAATATTTCAAAACCAGAACTAAAATTCTTTTTGCAGCCAATACATTTTCTAAGTTTATTTTATTATATTTTATTTATTTTGGATTAAATCCAAATAAAGGTATACTACCGTGCAAAAGTTTGGAACCACTAGCATAGGTTCTGACACCAAATGCCGTTTTTCTGCACACATCAATTTCTCGTTGAAATTGTGAGCAATCCTAAATCTGTTTGATGCATTGGAATCGGAATCGAAAATAGATTCAAAAACATTTGGTGTGGGGGGCGAAGCAGCCCCAGGGGTTGAAATAACCCCATTTAGGTCAAATTCGACAACACTTGATTTTCGACCAAAATTTCAAGAAAATTGATAAAACTAATGATGCCATTCGATAGCCAATCCAAATGATCAGCCTGAAAGGGGGGGGGGTCTAGGGGGGTCCTTTCCCCCTCCCAGGGTTTCAAAATCGCATGTGAATTTTTTTTGTGCACTTTTTTCATTCTCGTGCGATTTTGAAGCCCTGGGAGGGGGAAATGACCCCCTAGAGTCTTCGCCCCCTGCCCCAAATGTTTTTGAAACTATTTTCGATTCCGATTCCAATGCGAAAAACAGATTTGAGATTGCTCTCAATTTCAACGAGAAATTGATGTGTGCAGAAAAACGGCATTTAGTGTCAGAACCTATGACCACTAGGTATTTTTCATACAAATTGACCATTTTTGGTGGACTCATTAACATATTTCGGAAACACCTGCACTCTTGATATTTTGTGCATAGTTTCTACAACGTTTCAATAGTAAATCACAGAGGTTTCATCAAAAAATATTCACGTATTTAAAAAATATATCAATTTGAATTTGATCTGTTTTAATCTTCATACAAATTTGATCATTTTTCACACAGTACAAATTCAAATTGCTATATTTTTGAAATTCATGAATATTTTTTGATGAAACCTCTGTGATTTACTATTGAAACGTTGTAGAAACTATGCACAAAATATCAAGAGTGCAGGTGTTTCCGAAATATGTTAATGAGTCCACCAAAAAATGGTCAATTTGTATGAAAAATACCTAGTGGTTCCAAACTTTTGCACGGTAGTGTATATCAAAAGAAATGTGGCTGGATTGCATTAATAGTTACATACTGCCACAATATCTAGAGTTTTGATGAATTGGGTTTTCTCTTCAGCATTTTGGAAAACAGCACAGTTTTGTTTAAAAATAGAAGAAAACAAGACCGCAGATCGTCGCTTCGCTCCTCTCTGCGTTCTTTATGTTATTTAAAATTGAGTGTTTAAATTAATTCGATGTTCGCATCAAATTATTCATCGAAGCACTACATGGAATGTAGTTTCAATCGAAGCATACATTTCTTTATTTTATGAAAATTATTAGAATTGATATCAATATGTTCGATTCGGACTCTATTTTTTCTGAAGATGTTAAAATCTAAGGTGGAAATTGTTAATTTACGTAATTCAGTCAAGAAGGGAAAAATGAAAGTTCAAGTACCAATAAAACAAAAATTATTAATAATATTGATATTATAAATAATAATAAATCAATCAATTGAATAAAATTATAATTCTATATTGTTCTATATATTATATTGTAATCTTTAATAATGGGTTTTATGTATGGATTGTACATTATTTCACATTGGGAATTAAAATAATGTGAAATTTTTTTCTTGAGTTATCTCAAAAGAGAATTACGTGTACATGATTTTATTTCATTTTTGTAATTAGACGTAATTGCTTCATTTCAAATTAGAACTTTGGATAGAAAAAAGCATTAATTTTCGGTCCAAAAATGTGGCCTAAAGAGTCTTAAAATTTTCCCGAGCAAAAAAAAAACAATTACAATATTCCATGTATACATTCCATGTAGTGCTAAAAAGTTGACCACATGAACTATGGCACTCAAGAAAAATCACAGTAGGAATCAATGATGTACAAACAGAAGTCTGAATAGTAAAAGCAGAAGCACACTTTTTATTGGTTTTTGATTACAACATAATGTCGATTGAAAATGCTGTTGAAAAAAAAAACGAGGAATTTCAAAACCTCAAACTTTTTGCATGTATGTTTTTATTGCAGACATTCCGTATGGCTGCATATTGAGCTGAGCTATTTACAAATAGCTGGCTGTTTGGTAGATTTTGATTTTGTGACTATCGAGCCATGCAAATTCATGTGAGATGATTTTTGAAATTTGGGACACCTTTTTCCATCCTTTCCATGAATTTTTGTCATAAATTTATCATCTCACATGAATTTACATGGTTCGATAGTCAAAAAAACCAAAATGTACCAAACAGCCAGCTATTCGTAAATAGCTCAGCTCAATATGCAGCCATACGAAATGTCTGCGTTGCATGATGTTCCATACTCCCCAACAACATTCAAATATATGGCCAAACGGATTTCTCGATTCGAGCAATTGAATGAGCTCATTACCTACAGACATTCCGTATGGCTGCATATTAAGCTGAGCTATTTACAAATAGCTGACTGCTCACTCAGAAAGGAATTAGTACGATTCACATATACCAATGGTGATCTGTCAAATTACCATCATTACTATTGGCGAGAGTGGCGATTTTGTATGACACAAAAATCTGCTCTGCTGTGCGATATTACTATGACACAAAAATGTATCGGTTGTACATATTACAACCAATACCACTTTGTTACACACTAATATCGCACAGCAGAGCAGATACAATACATACAAAATCGCCACTCTCGCCAATAGTAATGATGGTAATTTGACAGATCACCATTGGTATATGTGAATCGTATTAATTCCGTTCTGAGTGAGTGTTTGGTACATTTTGGTTTTGTGACTATCGAACCATGTAAATTCATGTGAGGTGATAAATTTATGACACAAATTCATGGAAAGGATGGAAAAAGGTGTCCCAAATTTATCATCTCACATGAATTTACATGGCTCGATAGTCACAAAATCAAAATCAAAATCTACCAAACAGCCAGCTATTTGTAAATAGCTCAGCTCGATATTCAGTCACACGGAATGTCTGTTTTATTGCGCCCGATTGCGGATAGAACAAGTGTTCTTTATTCGTTAAATTGTTCATTTTATGAAACACCAAGAAAAGATTTCATGAATTTCACTCTATTCGGTAGGTAAAACAGGTTTTTTCTGCGGAAAATGTGGAAACGTACTTGAACATAATACTAGGATTACATCAGATTTTTCCACAAAAATAGCAGTTAACTGTAATTTTCTCACTTATTAGTTGCAGTAGGAAGTTTTTTTACTGACAAGAATTCAGGCTCGCCGATTTATTCGTTTCATCATTCTAACACGATGAATATTCGAAATTGGATTAATTTAAGTTTCTCAATCAGAGTATTCGTTTGAAAATGCGAAAGCGCATTCGACATACGACAAGGATTATTGTCACTGTTTTGTAGCTTGCTCCGAAATGACAGAAGAAGAAAAAAAAAACCGTGAAATTCTTTACGTGGAAACGCATCAAAATGTAAGAAAGAAAATAGAAATAACGGAAAATCAAATGTAATCTCAACAGCGCGATTGACGCATATTTTTGTCAAAGTGTGTATTTAACTTTGTGTTTTTTGTCGGAATATATACTCTAAAATAGACTGAGAAGAATGTGCTACTTCGGTTACAACCTTACCAAAGAAATTCGTTTTTCCTTCGATGCTGTATTTTTAATCAACTAACGCTAAAATATGTGAAGTAAAGAAGAAAAAAACGATGAAGAGACGAAAAAATTTCTATTTTGGCCTGATAATGTGATACCATTCTGTTTTATACACTGAACATGTGAGATCAATAAATGCATTACACAATTTACAATCAAATTGGAACCAAGCAAATGCATAAATGATTGAGGAAAAAAAAACATGTTCTACCCATGTATTTGCCGAACTCCAGATTTTAATGCAAAAACCGAAGATGTTAGTTATTTTTAAGCTGTTTTTAAATATTAATCAGAGTCACTTACATATCCTTTATATGACGACATCTTATTGCGTATATTCGATGTCCAGATAAATCGGATAAATCCTTACTTTAGCACCTATTACTTCAAATTCATAACTATAAATTACAACATATTCCAGTTATTTGTTGCAATAATTCCTCAATTCAGCAATATTCTTCAAGAATAACCAAGTTTTTCAAATGCAAATTGTACAAAATTTGAGCTGCGCAGGTTATTCTATGAACCAACCACAAAGAACTGTCGGTCTAAATATTGTGTTGTTTTCGCCGTTTCACCATTTCCCACTCGCGCAATAAATAAATAATTTTTATTATCTCTTTTCTCTGTGTGGATTAAATTAAACACCGCTTTATTTCTATACAGATGCACTGATACGCACTATATTCATTTTGTGTTGTATATGAATTTGGTAAAAATTACATTTTTACTGTTTTTATTCATTTGTTTTTTTTTTTTACTGCTGAGTCTATTGCGAAAAAAAGGAAAATTGTTAGAACGTTGTTTTGATTTATTTGCACCGATGAATATTTGCTGTGTACTGACAGAGTTCACAGCCGAAATAACAACAAAACTGAAAACAAAAATGATTTAGAAGTGAATGAGCGACGACGCGCGCTCGGTTGGATACACTTTCCCGGCGTTTTCAGACGAATGCGGTTATTTTTAACAATTTCTCTGTGCAAAGAAAAGCTAACGCAACGAGAACGAGGAAAAATACAAACATTTGCTATACTACCGTCCCTTTCGCTGTGATTTCGTGCGTTTCAGTAAAAGTCAATAAATTTGTTTTCTTCTTTTTTTCAATTTACTATTTGGTTGCGTTTGCGTGTTTGCCGCTTTCGACAGATTACAAAATGTATTACACTCGAGTGTAGCAGATGGGGATCTACTTTGAGAATGATTTGCATGCATGCGCAATACAAATCTCAATGTGGATCGCATAACGCAACGAACTCGGCTCAATCAAAGATTGTGAAATACGTTGAAGTTTTATCATTTGCTCACTTGCTCGACTGCAGTCTCAATAATTCAAGAGGAAGGCGCTCATTTTGCGGTCTGTCTCGCGCTTGAGACGAATTCGTACGAATATTCGTGAATTCTTGTGATTGTGTATACGAGACATTCGCAGCGCAGTGAGTTTATAACAACAATAACAAAGCCACGAACGCATGAATATATGCGAATACATACGAATGACACAACTTGTTCCTAGCCCCTAGATGATATATATTGTCACAGATTTTCACACAAACTTTTGCCGATTTGAATTTTTAGCATGTTTTCAGACATTTTACAGACAATTTTCTGAATACTGACCCTTTCTGGCGCCAGATTGAAAGAACGGGTTTCAGGATTAGACTGTCGGTTTTTATTTTAATTTTGTTGTGATTTGACACTATTCGTTATGTGTAACAACACACATTGACTTATTTGTACAAGTCATTTCGTCATGCATCATTTACATTACCACGTCATCCTTGTAAACGTGGAGTATATTTACTTTTTGCATTTCATAGTTGTGCCATATAATTAAAGTTAATTTCAAGGAATAAAAAGTGTGATGAATTCTTCTTCCGATTTTAAATTGCGCAAATACAGAATATAATGGTATCCAACACATATGTTTCCATATGTGATCATATGTGAAAAAAATTCAAATATACGTAATAAGACAACTTGTTTGCCGTCTGCACACTCCACCACACAGAGAAGTGGTGAAAGTTTCATCGACGCATGACAAAATGACTTGACAAATGGCTGTCATTGTATATGTGTGTGTGTTGTTTACGACGTTTGAGTGACAGTCAAACCCCACGACGATGAAAATGAAACAAGTTCTTTTGCGTCAAGATGTCTTTTGCATACACGAGAAATTATACAAACCCGTTGTATTTGAGAATGGAAAAATAGTGATTTTGACTAGGGGCTCGGATCTATATAAAATCATATTTTATACGCACTTTATATGCAATATATGCATTTTATATGAAATATACGCAATATCCACAAAATATCTAAAACAATAAATAAATGTGTATATCGCGAATATTTTGCGGATATTGCGTATATTTCATATAACATGCATATAGTGCATACAAAGTGTATATATTACGGTTATTTTGGATATCGAAGCATGTGAAACGTCATTTTCTTATTAATATACGTGAAATATCCGCGATATCCACAGTTATACGCATTTATACGCAAAAAGTAAAAATATATGACGTTATATGTAAAATAACCGCAATATATGCAACTTATACGCGATATATAATTCCATACTCTGAAGCTCCGAGCCCCTAGGATTTTGACACAAATCCTACGGTCGACACGCTTTGAGCATCTTTTGTTTACAAAATCGTTTTAATCGTAGGGAATATGGTTGCGCTGCTAGCAAACAAAACGATTTTTTTCTTTCACTTTTTCAACATTTATCCGATGTTTGTGCTTCTTTGACATGAAACTCTCAATCATGTTTCGAAAAAAAGTAACTTTGAAAATGTATTGCGCATTTGATTCTATCTGTTTTGCAGTTTTTCGATGTTTCTTACACTTTTCAGAGTCATTTTTCATTGTTTTAAAGAGGTTTTTCTTAACGACGGAGAAGTGTTAAAAATTAAGGGCTTGTGACGTGTGAAATATGACAGTATTCCATATATTTCACAAAAAACTCGATATTACGTCATAATTTAAAAGAAATATTTCTGAAGGATCTAGAAATTTTATGGTGTTTCTCGATATTCTTCTATCAATTGAAGCTTCACTATTATTTGTACTATTATGGTGAATATTGCGAACGATCTGTCAATATTTGAAAATATTTCATATTTATCTTGTTAATTATTCTAATGTTTACCTAGTTTCTACAATTTAACAAAATAGCTTGGGAAAGAAAGGGTAGGTGGTATCATACTTCTTATTAAAATCCAAAATCTGATCAAGCTACTTTTACAATGCCCATTTTTTTCTAAATAAGTTACAAAAATCAAACAGTAAACATTCGATCACAAATAATTGCAATTTTTGTATCGCGAATACACAGTATAAAATTCAGTTGGACAACTACAGTCCGGATGGGTTTAAATGCGTAATTCTTTATGGATTAGTAATAATTAAACTGCAAGAAAGAATTGGTCTGAGTGACTATCGCAAGGAAAATGAATCATGCCTGTCAATGCATTTCTCGGCCGAGAATGGGAATTCTACTGATAACAGGGTATTTTTTCCCTATGTGCGAGGTCGTGCAATGCACGAGGGCGCAAAGGATCTGAGGGCGTTGGTTTCCAAAGAGCGCAACAATTCGGGTGCTAAAACACAAGCCTATTCGTGAGCTTCCAAATTGTTGCGCTCTTTGGACGCTTGCGCCCTATTTTGATTGTTTGCATAGAGCGCTGGAGCGCCTTTTCTGCTCGCTTTGATTATGAAATTTTGCTGAAAATTTTTCTTTTCAACATAAGCACCCAAGCACTTTCGGCGCTCTCGCGCAGAGACTTTTCTACCCTGACACGAAGTTGTGTAATGAAAAATGACGCCCCTGGGGCGCCGCAGGCCCAAAAATTGAAAAAATAGATCATTTCTAGGGGCGCACATATTAAATTTGCACAAGGGCGCCAGAGGAGTGAAAAAAGGCACTGACTGATAAAGTGAGATAATTTGTGAAAATTGTGATTTAAATAAACAAAACGAACAAAATAATTCAATTCTTTTATGTTTTTTTTTAATGGTGTTCTAATAACTAGAGAACATTTTTATTGAAAAAGCTCCTGAGAGTGAACATTCTTCCCCGTTTTGATATTCTTACACTTCTCAAAGCTTCTCTCGAAATGTTTATTGTCACATTGAGGTCAGTAGTGAGCTTTCATCCGAAAAGTTTTCACGGTTTCTTGCAGAGGGCACCAACGTAAATATATTTCAGATCGCATACTTCCATTAACTGAAATCAAAAAGAAAAAGAAAAAATAAACATGTTACAAAACTCGATTGTGATGTGGTGTGGAGTGGGTGGAATACGAGCGAAATGCCGTAAAAATGCTCGACCATTTCACAAATTTTCATCAGAAGAGGTGCATTTTTGTCACGAAAATGTATGATCTCAAAGCATAGCGGAGCTAGGATATCTATTTTTGCCTCTAACATTGTTTTTCCTCACATATCCATTGCTAATACGCTACGGCAACACAATTTGGTCATATACTTGATCTCAGTAACTCCGCTTGTTGGACCAAATAATTGGAAAAAGTTAGTGGGATCTATATCTTGATTGACCTTGTACTCGTTTTGTTTCTATGTTTTCCTACACCATGCTCTATTCTTAATTTTGGACTACAATTTCTAAGTAATAGCGTTCTATCTAAACACCTCTCGATTTGTAAAAGTGTTTGTTGTTTAGGGGACACGAATCCATCGAAAAAAGAGCAAAAGTACACCGGTTGGATTGTAAGAGTGTTTGAAAATCGTAATAAAATAAGGAATTAGAAAAAAAAGACACATGGAAATTGTCGTTATAAATATCATAGAAGAAGCAATTTTATGTTTTTGATGCTATGCCATGCAAAAGGCATGCAGGCTCATTTTTAATGGGCTGTTTCATTGTTAATTTACTCAGTCACACCAAAACTGGGTCGCGATAAGATCACAAACTATTTATAAAATCATATTGCCGTTGCCTGAGCATGCAAGGGTTTCGAGTGCGAGCGGTTATCTTTTCACTTTCCAGGTTCGCACATTTGATATTTTTCACTCAATCGGACTCGAGGCCTATGCGATGCGAACGATTGACGAAGACCATACAGATGTGTTAATATTCACCGATCGCCGCATAAATGGTACACCTTCCCACAAATTTATTAAAAATAGATTCCCGTTTTGAACTGCGCTACTAAAAATATCACAATTTGACAAAACACGAATGCTTCAGCTTCTTCAACTTTTCGTCCATTTCCACAAGTTGATTTCCGAATTATGTGCAATGATTTGAATTTTTTTCCATTTACAATAAAATCTCTCCTTCCTTTGAAATCGGATTGTAGCATAAACATGCACCGACTGCTTAATTGATATCCCATATCCCGGTTCAAAAATTATCTCGAGGCAGGAATTTCGTATAACACACATCCTCGGATACGTGTACGTTATACTCTCTGAATGCATGACTCATGGTCTATTTCGTTATTTTCATTGTTTTCCTTTCTTTTATTTGTTTTCTCTGTCTCATTGCAAGAGCATGGAAATTCTTTAAAATTTACAGTATGAATGCTAAATTGTCTAACTTTCGCATAAAAAGTTTGCTTGAAATTCGTCTGTGACAAAATCATAGGTTTACCTGTGGAAAATCAAAGCCGAATCCGATGCATTGATCAAAATTTATTTTATCTATGTCGACTCATGGCGAAGATTACATTTTTTTTATTTTTAAGTGGAAGAAAAAAAGAACGGTATAATAGTAATAATAATAATAATAACAATAACAACAACAACAACAACAACAGCAACAATAAAAATACAATAATAATCGCGAAAACTTATTGGGCATTCCATCAACGATGCGACGGTGTTCGTAGACTTATGCTTGTGATATTTAACGGTAAGATATTCGTCCAATATCGGTGTGGTCGTAATGGCGATGCGCACGCATAAAATTTCAACCCGAACATCATCGATGTGTCTACACACAAACAAGCAATTAGCAAAAGACATATATACGGTGCCCATTGTCGTATCGTGTCTACAGCCGGAATTAAAAATCAGTGTCCACATTCGAACGACTGAGGTCCCGCGATCAGTAGATCATCAGCTTTACTCCGAACTTATCTGAAATATATATCGGTGATTCGGGTGCGTTTAAATTTATTTTTTGCTGATATATTGAGTTGTTGGTGTTTTGTACGAACATATTTTAGCTTCGAGTGTATTCTCCAAGTTTTTGCTTCGATATTGGAATTTAAACAAAAGTAAGAAAATTCAACAAAAATGTCTTCAGCTACTCGAGCTACAAAATATTCATATCGCGCTAGCAGCGGTGGTGTTTCTGATGTCAACATCGAGTATAGTGCCGATTTAACTGCACTCACCCGATTGGAGGTAAAGAAATAAGTATATTGGTAAAGTTTTGGTTTGGTTTAAATTCGAGATAAGAGATGTACATCGTATAAGCATTCGGAAGGGCATTATGATTTGCTCCTAAATTTATCGTTGGTGCGACATCGCCGCTCCAACTGTTTACAAATGATGAATTTATCATAGAGATTAGTGATACATAGACGAGTGATCAATTCCACAATAAGCTACAGTGAATATTGTGCTGCGAATCAAGATTAATTAAACATGCAACATAGTTGGTCTATGAAGTGGCCGAAATGTCCTCACTTCAACTATAATCATTTAAGCTTATGGCCAAATCCAAGAATATAATATTGTGCACATTGAATATAACGAATAGAAAATCATAATGAGAATCAAAGCAAACTGAAGTGAGTAGAAAATAAAAAGTGAAAATGAATATGTATAACGTTACGTAAGTGCAAAATATAAAATTGTGAAAAGATCTATATTTATACCACGTTTGAACTGCTTCAAGTGCCGAATCTGTATGTGTCTATAAACTGAGTTGTTCTGTTTTTCACATACATATAAACGTGTGCGAATATTGCGGCGTTTAGCCAGGCACCTTAGTCGTATTGGATTTGAACTGTTTGCGGAATGCGAAAAATTTGTACTTCGACTCTACCCCATGTATTTAAGTAATATAGCCAGCGAACATTTGAACACATATCGATGCGCGCTATATCGCCGCACCTAAAACTCAATCATGTACATGGATCACATTTGCAAATTGTCGTTTGCGAGAAAAAGAACACACACACACATAATTCAAGTTTGGAATGAATAGAGACCAATATATACCTACGTATCACACTATCAAAATCCATTGTCGTGCATCACATGTTTAGCATAAGTTAATTTTTGGGCAACCCGGAGATAATTCCAACACATTGGTCACATCCGCAATGTATGCCGTTTGATCTAAAAAAAATTCATGACCAGTATATTACTGATATACTCACGTACCGTCGCACCTCCTTACACCCACTTTCTAGAGAAGCTGAAAAGTTTCGTAATATGCTGAAAATGTGATGGACGATGATGACAACATCATTCTTTACTCAGTCGAACCGCTTTAACTTCAATGAATTTAATACATTCCCCTTTTTTGAAATTTCAGGACAAAATCCGTTTGATCCAAGATGATCTTGAATCCGAAAGAGAATTGCGTCAAAGAGTAAGTATCTTTTGAGTATTTATTAGATTACCGCAAATCGCAATGCATGAAAGCCTGTCAAATTTTGAAGAATACTCCATTTCAATGGGTCCAGGATTAGGGTCCTTGTATAGAACACATTACAAACTAACACTACATTAAAATTACGAAGTCGATTCTATAAATTGGCATGACACTCTTCCTGCATTATTCAACACACAGTGAATTAAACAAATGATTCAGAAAGAAGCATTTCAGATGAAAAGCGAAACCGTTTAAAATCTTTTGAAAAAGGTGAAAAACATAAGTAACGAAATATCAATGGATAACTTTATTTATAAATTTGTGAATCATTCTGTAGTGGCTTCAGCCGAGGAGCATTCATTGTACACCCAAATAACAACTTGGCAATCAATAGAGCGTAAAATTCAATATCGATAATGGATGCAGCAGAACGCTCTCTGAACTCGGCATTTTGAAAGACAAATTTCACGATTTTACGCATTATTCAAATTGAAAATTTGTTGGAAACCAACGAAAAAAAAAATACATTTCTGCCTCCTCATTTTTCTTGCAAAATGGAAAAATAAAAATATAGAGCAAATTTTCAAAAAAATCATTCTGATTCGTTCGGAACAGTCAGCATTAAATCTGACGCTTGTAGGTGTGCCAGAGCTTCTTATGACTCAACGACCATATCATCTTTATACGCGAATACATTTTCACACCGCTTATGTGAAAGAATTCCTTGAGTAGGTGGTAATGGGATGGCATACTCACTCACTGGGCGAACGTGAAAATGAACGAAAATAAATAAACTTACACTAACACCATTTCGACATATGTGTAGAACACATCGAGCAGGCAATTCAAAATTCCACTGTGAAAACGTTTTGAAAAACGTCGTTTTTCTACATTCCGACAGCGATTGATGTTATAAAAAAAGAACCGAAAAATTGATTTTTTATAGAAAGATTGAAAATCCTACCATGACAAATGGGATAGTCAGTAAACTTTAACATTTTTGATTCTCTTGAAATGAGAAAAAATAGAGACCATAGCATGCCACTTATTATCACGAGAACTGTGGAATAGTTTTGTGAATGTTTAATACAAAATAATTTCATCGTTGGCATGTGTTCAAAATGGCACAACTGTGCGCCTGAAAAAGTCGGAAAAGAACACGATGCAATATGTTATGTGTTCCTGCTAAATGCACGAAATTATTCTGCGAAAATGTGAAGCAAATGAAAGAAAAAAACAACAAAACAAAAGTAAGAATTCACGCATATCTGAAAGTTTATTCCAAATTAAATATCAAGCAAATGATTGAAATATGGGTTATATTAGATTATTTATCGTGAAGAACATTTTCGTATCTGTTGTAACTAGAATATTACTTTTCACCACATTTGCAAATTTGTACATTCATCAAATGTACGCTTCAAGACTTTATATTCCGTCCATTTTCATGTTTCTTTCACACGTTGCATAAACCGAAAAATCAACAGTTTTTGAAAGAATAGTCGAATCCAGGGCTCAAAAATGTGGTTTGCACTTTATGCAATTGAAGTAACATGAACGTACAACAGTCCATATTCAGTCGGTAGCCCATTCGATTTTATGCTGAGTTTTTGTTTTTATAAAGCATGATTTTGTAGGAAGTTACTGACCTTCATTGGATGTTTGGCTAAAAATAATTTCGACAGAAATTAAACATCATTAAAACAGTCAAGTGATTCACCCATCAACGCACACACTCAACAAACGCAAACAATTCGAACTTCAAACAGGAGTCTCTGACTCATTCAATGATTCGATTTTAAATAGCAATCTAACTCGCTGAACGAATATATGTGCGAAAAACTGACAAATCCAATGCCACAATTGACCCGCTTTTCGTATTCGCTAACAGATACCATTCACATTACCATCATCGTTCAAATGGACTGACAGTTAAAATGTGAAATCTTATTGCTCTTTACAGATTGAACGTGAAAAAGCCGATCTTAGCGTTCAAGTGATTCAAATGTCTGAACGTTTGGAAGAAGCTGAAGGTGGTGCCGAAAGTCAATTCAACATCAATCGCAACCGTGACGCTGAATTGATGAAATTGCGAAAACTTCTGGATGATGTTCACTTGGAATCAGAAGAATCCGCTCACCTTTTGAAGAAGAAGCATCAAGAGATTATAAACGACTTCCAGGAGCAGGTTGAACTTTTGACAAAAGCTAAATCTAGGTAATCAAATACCCCAGTTTGAACAGAAAACCAATTAACTAGTATTAAGACATTGTGGTGCGAAAACGAACCGTTTCTATGTCATTTGAAGGAAAGAAAAAAAAATACACACAAACAGAGAAAATGCGTAACGCACAGCGGCGCGAAGGAAAGGAATTTCGATTTCATAATAGTAACAAACACCTATAAATTGTGGAACGATGCGAGCGGGAGATTATTTTTAATTTTTCCAAGGTGTGCCTCCTCTCTTGAGCGGCGGTATTTTTGCATTCTGATAATTTACACAGCCACTTCGGCTATTTAGCTATGTTTATTCGCTGGCGAAATTTCGTCTCTCTTTTTTTTTTTTCTCTCACTCTATTTTGTCGACGTTTCGTAATTCGTGGACACGAATCCTAAATCGAGTCGAATAGTGCGAAAAAGAAGAATGTATGGAAAATTCAATGGGTTTGAATGATTTGAAATGTAGCGTTCCGAAATGGCCGATATGTTTTTGTGCCGCATGAAAGCGAGAACACACGCTACAGCATGTGACTTTATTTTTAGACACTTTTTAAATTCGTGCGATTCTTCGGGCCAAATATGTCTGGTCTACCGTTTAATATTTATCACTTTTTTTATTTTTATTCATTTTTCTGTTTGCTCTTTTCAAACACATTGGCACCAGTTGTTTCGCTGAATAGCAAGAAACATTAGCACTGAATTAATCACTAAACAAATTCAATGACCGATTTTTAATAAATGCAGGAAAATTATGATTAGTTAATCAGTCGGCAGAATGATATGTAATATGCACTCTCTAAACCAACATTCAATTGTTATTACCTTTCAGAACTGAGAAAGAGAAGTCGAAATTCCAAGCTGAAGTATACGAGTTACTCGCTCAAGTCGAATCGGTAACTAAGGAGAAGATTTTGAGTTTCAAACAAGTAGAAAAGTTGGAAATCCATGTCAACGAACTTTCCGTTAAAATCGAAGAATTGAACCGCACCATTGTTGACATCACATCGCACAAAACTCGCTTATCCCAAGAAAATGTTGAACTCATCAAGGATGTTCAAGACTTGAAATTGAACTTGGAAAGTGTCGTATACTCAAGACAACAGGTTGCCACCCAATTGGAGGATGCTCGCCGTCGTTTGGAGGATGATGAACGTCGTCGTGCTTCACTAGAAGCTTCATTGCATCAAGTCGAAATCGAATTGGAATCGGTTCGCGTCCAATTGGAAGAAGAAGCTGAAGCTCGTTTGGACTTGGAACGTCAATTGGTCAAAGCTAACGGTAGTGTATTTATGAAGAGTTGGCTTTGAAGTATTGCTCATACTTATAACTATTTTCAAAACTTACCCGATCGATCAAGTCATTTAGCGGACGTGTATTAAATCATGGATCTCCTTTATTGTTTCTAATTGCAGCTGAAGCCCAACAATGGCACGCTAAGGCCGATGCAGAAGCCGCTGCCCGTGCTGAAGAAGTCGAAGAACTTCGTCGTAAGTACTCCGCTCGTATCCAAGAGCAAGAAGAGCACATTGAACAACTTTTGGTCAAGGTTAACAACTTGGAAAAACAAAAGAGCCGTTTGCAAAGCGAAATCGAAGTTCTCATCATTGATTTGGAACGTGCCAACGGAACTGCTCGCGAATTGCAGAAGCGCGTTGACACTCTTGAACGCACCAACATCGAAATCAAGGCCCGTTTGGAGGAAACCATTCAATTGTACGAAACTGCTCAACGCGATCTCAGAAACAAACAAGCCGAAATCATACGTATCAACAACGAATTGGACAAGACCAAGGACCAACGCGATACATTGCAACGTGAAAACAAGAAATTGGGCGGTAAGACAATTGCAAACATTACAGTCATCATTCCCGCGAATCGAATATTAATCAAATACATTTTTGTTCATTTACACATTCATCAACAGATGACTTGGGTGAAGCTAAGAGCACCATCTCTGAATTGACCCGTCGCTACCATGAACTTGAAATCGAGTTGCGCCGTCTTGAAAACGAACGCGATGAACTCACCGCTGCCTACAAAGAAGCTGAAGCTGTAAATATCAACAATCTTTTAATTTGGTTATTCTATTTTGATGACGATTTGTCTCATTTTATTCTTTTTTCTTTTTGACCAAAGGGTCGCAAAGCTGAAGAACAACGTGCCCAACGCTTGGCCTCTGAATACAACCAATTCCGTCATGAAGCTGAACGACGTCTTGCCGAAAAAGACGAAGAAATCGAAGCCATTCGGTAAGATTGATACGCATTTTTGATGAAAATAGTGAAAAAAGTATTCGACACATAATTGAAAAATCTAATACATATTGATGACGGAAAATTTTAATTGCGGTTGCTCCGAAGAAGAAGAAGAAGAAGAAGAAGAAGAAAAAAACGATTTGGCAACATCTATTCATATTTGACGCATATTCCAAATGCTCATTCTTTAGACGTTTGCAATTAATTATTTCAAGAAAAAAGGTGCTTGCCGAAATTGCAGCAACAAAAACAGCTCTGCACCATATTCCTTTCGAGCAAATGGTAGGAAATCAAAACTAGTGCCAAACAGTTGGCGACTATTCATGATTTAGTTAAATTTAGATCAATTTAGTTTTGCGAACTTATTAAAGATTTTATCAGAGTATTTTCAGCTGAAGCCTTAGCGTTCATTGCGATGATGAGCCGCCTTTCTTGAATTTAAAGCTTGATATTCATCAATAGATCGAATGGACCGAAAAACGATAGTTTATTCTTTTCAAACGCATTCAAATGATTGAATGCTCTTGCTAGAGATTCTCAGTTCTCAAATGATGAAATAACAATTCGCACAATGCAATTCACAGTTGTAATTATTTTTAGAATAGCACTGTACATATAAACAATTGATTGATTGATTGATTCAATATTTCACCAATATCTATTGCGTGAATATCATTATACACTGTATAATATACAGCCAATAGGAAATGAAATCATCGTATCGATCGATTTTTGAAGGTCGATTAATTCACTATTTAATCGAACCTAGCTGCGGAGTTCTCGATCATTTCGATAGTAATCGTTGATCAAGCCGCATAGTAATAGAAGCAATAGTTGTACAAGTCTGAGTGTGTTGGCTTTCACAGCAAACTTGTAAGCGAAAAATAGTTGAATATCCCTATAAGTCTAACAAATAGAACACAAATTTAACGTTTCCAACGATTTGAAAGAGAAAAAAAACACTGTTAAAGAGCGTGTACGGATTTCATTGGCCCTTGAATTCCGAGACGTAGCGCAAAGCAAAAGGACAGACCCAAATACATCGGAATTGAAAGCCAAATAAAAATAATGCTATATTGAATGTATTTGCAATACACACATCAAGAGCAAACCATTTGTATTCGGCGGATTGGCGATTTAAATTAAAAACGCGAAAACAGACAGGGGAATCTGAGTAAAAACAAAAATAACAACAAAAACTGAAGCAAGAAAAAAAGAGCGAAAGTAAAGGAAAGGAAACAGCGGCATCAACAGCAACAGCAACAATAACAACAAAAAAAAAACAGCGGCAGCGGCTAGCTACACTCATAATAGCTGAAATAAGGCATACATAGCCCGGACTAGTGTGCGTTTTTAGAATTTATAAATAAATTTTTCAATAATGGCAACAATGCAACAAATTGCTAAGAGACGACCCCCCACCACATCAATCTATTCAGATAATTACGGCTACACAATTAATTTTTACCAACCAATGCTCGATTACTTAGACGCGAAGGCACAAGGCACAAAACCTCAGTTACCTCATCTACCGTGGTCGAATGAACGTGGTTTGAAAAAGTACTGGCCGTGCAATTCAGTGCCAACATACACTAGCAAAGATATTGAAAAGTACAGCGACGAAGTTGTTGCGCACGCAAAAAATCGCGAACGAAATTTCGAAGACTATAAAATAATTAAACGGTCTCCGTTGGCAGTGACGAAAAGTGCGATTGGTGCGCGTTTAAGTCATCGATTGGGCCGATCAAAATACGAAACTGTGGAAGAACGAACCATTCGAAGTCTAGAGGAACAGGCGAGCGAGCGACATCTTTCTAAAGTTATGGATGACATCGAGAATATCAAAGCGCGATTTAATGCGCACAAAGACGTGGAAATCTCTACTGGGTTAAAAAATGCCATTCGCGGCAAATCAGCCAGCCAAATATCGGCCGCATTACTGGCTGAAAGTGAGAAAAACATCAAAGTGTCACGTAATCAAGAAGATTTTTTGATTACACAAGCACAGCAGTCAACGCAAAGTTATGGCCGAGCAAAAGTGACTAAACGCTGCACACATATCGAATTTGTTGATGATCGTCTTATTGACAATTTGGATCGTAAGGTGGGCTCGTCGTTGTGCGACGTCAAACGTCAATTGCAGTCATTCAATCAGCGAACATCGGATCTTTATTATGATTCAAGGTGTTGTCATAAGAATAAGTTTTAAACGATTCGAATCCAATCGCTGTGCAAACCAAATTAGATATGACAAAATACACGAAAAGAAAAGAAAAAAGAATAGAAAATAAACAGTCAGTACAGATGCAAACAAACTACATGTACTTCATTGTCCGTAGGAATGATGAGCTATTTTTAGATGTTACTTGTGCCGTCCTGAACAGGCAAACTCAAACAGCGTGTACATGTCTTACATGCATGACACATGGTCGCCTTTTGAACGTATCGAAAACACAATTTATTTTTATAATTACAAGAAGACCGACTATTGCAAGGGAATGAAAAAGAGCACAAGAAAAATTGATTCAGATTTTTATGATTGTATGAAAACCATGAGTGCGTTACATCATCATAATCACCCAATTATTCGACCTAAATTTATGCAGCCAAAACATCAATCTAAGAGGCCAAAAATATATCCAAATATTGATTTGCTCTTGTCGTTTACTTTCTTTCTTATCTGTTTGTCCTTAATAGATATTAATATAAATAATAAGTTGAAATTCTAGCGAATGGTTCAGCAAGCGTATGCAAATCTCAAACATTTGGTACTATCAATGTAATGGTGTAACGATTCTTTGCCATTCATAGATAGTACCGTTGAATGGAATGGTTTTGTTTGTTGAACCGTTTGATGGGAAACCACTGTGAATACATGTTACCAACTAATTTTGTGTTGATTTCCAAATTTACAGCAAACAAACTGCCATTGAAATCGAGCAACTCAATGCCCGTGTTGTTGAAGCCGAAACTAAGCTCAAGACCGAAGTTGCCCGCATCAAGAAGAAGTTGCAAATTCAAATCACTGAATTGGAAATGTCCCTTGATGTTGCCAATAAGACCAACATTGATTTGCAAAAGATTGTCAAGAAACAATCGTTGCAATTGACCGAATTGCAAGCTCACTACGATGATGTTCAACGTCAATTGCAACAAACCCTTGACCAATACGGTGTTGCTCAACGTCGCATCCAATCGATCACCGCCGAATTGGAAGAAATACGTGCCAATTACGAAAACGCATTGCGTTCAAAACGCAATGTTGAATTGTCATTGGAAGATGCCCAGACTCGTATCAACGAATTGAGTGTTATCAATGTTAACCTTGCATCAACCAAATCAAAACTTGAGGCTGAAATTGCCCAAGTTGCTCAAGACTACGAAGAAATCACTCGTGAGCTTCGTATTAGCGACGAACGCTACCAAAAAGTCCAGGTAAAATGATTTAGTGAATTAATGCGTTCGAAAATTGGATGCTAAGAAATCTACTTTGAACTAGGTCGAACTTAAACACACTGTTGAAATATTGCACGAGGAACAAGAACGCATTGTCAAGATTGAAACTATCAAGAAGTCATTGGAGGTTGAAGTTAAGGTAAGGTATACACGTTTGGTGATAGTGCGAGTGTGGGAGAGTTACAAAATCGAATTATCTATGTGAATTGTGTTCCAATGTTCCAAACAACCAGAATCTCTCGGTCCGTCTTGAAGAAGTCGAAGCCAATGCTGTTGTTGGTGCCAAGCGTATCATTAGCAAATTGGAAGCTCGCATCCGTGACTTGGAACTTGAATTGGAAGAAGAGAAGCGCCGACACGCTGAAACCATCAAGATCTTGAGAAAAAAGGAACGCACCGTCAAAGAAGTCCTTGTCCAATGCGAAGAAGATCAAAAGAATGTCATCTTGTTGCAAGAGACCCTCGAGAAGGCTAATGCCAAGATCAACCTCTACAAACGTCAATTGGCCGAACAAGTAATTGAGACATTTGTGTTTTTAAAAAAAAAGAATCAATCATATCATCCAAATTGATTGTGAATGTCATTTTTGTTAAAAAAATTTAGGAAGGAACTGCTCAACAATCGGTAACCCGTGTCCGTCGCTTCCAACGTGAACTCGAAGCTGCCGAGGATCGTGCCGATCAAGCCGAAAGCAACTTGACGCTCATTCGTGCTAAGCACCGCACTTTCGTTACATCGAGCACAGTGCCGGGATCTCAAGTATACCTCGTCCAAGAAACAAGAACAACAAGCGTTGAATAAATGAATCCCATCACTCACAACACATACTCGAACATTTTTTACAGCAAACAATTTGATCAAGCAAAATCAAACGCACTCTTTAAGAAAATTAAAAAAAAAGAATAAAAAAAAAAACAACAACAACAACAACGCCACCAAAAAGAGAGAATTTTTTCGAATTCAAAATAATTTACCATCTGAATCGACATATAGCAAATGCTCTAAATTCATCAAATTACATTAAATTAATAATACATTATTTAGTTAATTTAACGAATCAAATGAATGATCATTTTTTTCTTTTTTTCACATACATACGAAAATTCTTATTTATTTTGATCGCGATGCAGTTGAAGGGAAAGAAGAAAGTCAAACACCAACGTTCAGCAACAACAACATATTCAGAAATGAAATGAATTTATTTGATTTATTATAAACATTCCCGGCACAATAGATGAAGATTTATTTTCAGAAGATCGGTGTCAAGGCCGGGACCTACTAATTAATGAATAAAACGCACATAAAATTAGCGAAAAGCATAACAACACTACTTTTTTTTTACATTTCGAGAAGAAAAGAAAATCACAGATACAGAGACGCTAAAAGTATAATGCTCGTCGTTCGAAAAGTTAAAAAAAAAAACAAAATCAGAGAAAGAAAATAGTAAAACAAACATTTTCTCTCTAGCAACAAAACGCATTTATACGTGTTCAACCGAATGTGGAATTTGCAATTTGTTACTATGTCTTTTGAATCAAACAAGAATTCATTCGCTCGCTTTTATTTTTTTTTTGTGTTTGATATATATAATTTTGCATCATTTTTAAAATCATTTTTAAGAGACTAGAGAGAAAATGGTTCGGTTAATTTAAGATTAATTTAGAATTGGGATTTCTCTTCAATTTTAACATTGTTTTTATGTGTGTTGTAGTATGCACATAGCATTATAATTGTTTAAAATCGATTGTTGCATTTTTTTTTTTAGCTAAAGAAGCCCGTTGGACTTTATAAAATTTCCACATCATTCATTTATAATATATTTAAATGAAAATCGGCGAGGAAATGATAAAACTTATTTCGCACTAACATCATAATTTTATCGATAGAATAAGGATAACTCCCATTTTGCATGAAGATGAAATCAATTTCAGTAACTTTCATTTCGTGAACAACAACAAAAATTTATTGAGAAGCGTGCGCACGCCATCATAACTAATTCAGTTGCTCTTGTTTGTACAGCTTTTGACAATGGTTTTTTTTTTTCAATCAAATAGAGGAAAAACAATTTAGTTTATAATATAATGATTAAAATATCAAAACAATAGTACTAGTAGGTAAGCAAATTTTATTGGTTTCGCATTCATTAACATTTTTTTTTTTATTAATGAATCATTAAACAATTTTTATTTCAAATGAAATAAAGTTTTCAATTAAATTTACTCGTTTTGCTTTCAATCATTTGCGGCATTTTTCAGCTTTTTGAATGGTGATTGATTTGATTCAGTACTAATACAGCTAATTTCTTTAGCACCGTTTTGCTTTTTCATTTGCTCATTTCTTTTTAGGTCGTATTTGGCTTGTTGTTCGCTCACTAAATTCGACAGTGATGGTAACGTATCGTTGGCAATGTTTTGCCGAATAGCCTTGAAGAATTCCAAGTAGTGATGTGTGTTGTGACTGTGAAGGTAGACATTATGCGATTAAACTTTCGTTTAAACTTGAATATTTTGAATACTTACATCATAATTAGAATGGGTGCTAAGAGTTCTCTGGTATTCACTAAATGTTGCGTATATGCTCTTGTATGATTTCGGCAAGCCAAACATTTACATCCTTTCACATACGGTTCGAATTGATCTTTATAACTGCAACAAAGATACACAACAATCACATATAGAAATCATAAGGATTTTCGGAAATTCTTCATATACTTACATTGGATCCGATAAATCGATTGAAAACTGATGTGAGTCTGGCTCAACGTTTGTATCCAAATCAAAATTGAAGGTAAGTGCTTGATTGATAGATGTCATTAAATAGGCGTAAGTAGTATCGAATACATCCACTCCTAGTTGAATCAATTTGATAATAAGCGTTGGGCTATAATGATACGAAAATATTATTATTATTGTTGCAGAATTTCATTACATTCCTGATAAAACGTTATTTCCATTTGTTTTTTTTTTTATATACCACTCACCTATATGCACCGAGCATGACTTTCAATTTGTTCGTCGGAAGTAATGCATTGCATTTCTCTATAATATCACACACCTTGTTTGAATCGACTTGATTGGCGCTGTTGCCATTGCTGTGAAATCCGTCTAGAAAATATCCACCAATAATTTCTTGATTTTCGTATGCGTTGAGCAGTTTTATCGTTGCTTCTCGATTCTGTATACTGTATCCGCCTTCGATAGGTGCTGTTGACGTATGATAATTTTATTACTTTCTTGATAAATTTGTTCTTTTTTTCTTCATTTTACAACAACTCACCTAAAAGCATCGATCCAGCTAGCGATGCTGAGGTTTGGTATAGCGAGGCACAAGTTTGGAAAAAACTTTCTGTACGTTTCACAGCGTTAAATATCCGTTTATTTCCACTCGACTCATTTGTATCACCATCGCAGAGTGTATGGAATAGATCTGGTTTGAATGTTTCGACCAATTTCATGTATCTAAAACGAGTGAAACCACCAATTTCTAAATTAATGACTCATACAACATTTTGGAATTCCGATTTAGACATACTTTTCGGGTGTTATTGATATTTTTCCGGCACGCGTCAAAATTGCTACGGAATTACGGGAATAAAAAGATTCAGTTATGGCGCCTGTATCTTTAAGCGTAACTAAGCTGAAGGTGTGATCTAATCCAGCGAATTCTGCAATGCCTTTTTGAGAAAACGTAAGAGCTTCTTCCATTATACTTGTCGTTTCAAGAGATACTTGAAGGCCTTGCTTCTCCGTTGTAATCATATCGAAAACTTCTCTGCTTAAGTGTGGAACAGAACCAACCTGAAAATAGTTACATCATTTGTCAGTCAACAGCTTTCTAAAAAATAAATCTCGATTTAATGAAAACATTCCGAATCAATACCTTTGTATAGTGCAAAACAAGTGGTGTTTTTAATTCAAAATCAGATTTGGTTAGAGTTCCGATTCGACCGGAATGCTTGGACACTAAATCTATAATGAATTTCATGGTCTTGGCTTTGGTATATTAAATTATATATTAATAAATATTGATAAATAAATAATAAGTTTTCGGTTTTATTTCGTCATCAATTTTATTTATCGAATTTAAAACAGAAACTTTGAATTTTATGAACCCATGTGCTTAGTTCAGTAAACTGTCAAATTGATATTGTTCAAATGTCAATTCCATGCACTCATTTCGCACATGCATCCAACCCTGCCTGCTTATTGAAGATGTTTCTGACTGTAGCAACCCTACTGAGAGCGTCCAATAAAAATTAAAACAACTTTGTAATATTTCTATATCATAATTATGGAGTTTTATTATATAAATTTTGGGATCAAAGGTGATCAAAGTAAACGCATGTTGATTTATCATCGATCGATGTGAAAACAAGAACATGTTTGGATGTTATGCACAAAAGGCATTCTTATTTCGCTTTATTGTTTTGTTGTTCACGTTCGATAGCTCGTTGCTTGGCTTTTTCATAAATAGGCAATAATTGACCCTGTAACACAAAAACAAAAACAAAAACGTAAATCACAAACCATCTAGATGGTGTTATTGATTGTTCGAAAATGTTCGAATTACCTGTTCGGCCAACATTTTCAGTAGCTCCACGATAAACGGCAAATAGTTGTGCTTACGTCGAATATTTTCAATCTGGAAATATATGTTCAAGTTAGGTCGCTTGAAATGTTTATGTTCATCATTATGATTTAATTACCTTGTACTGTTTCTTTTTTGCCATGTCATCTTCGATGAGGCTTCGCAAACGTGCAACTTCAGCTTGTTTTGTGTCTGTATCCATGTCATTTTCCGATGTACCATTTAGAATTTGATCAATTTTACGTTGATAAATGAGCTGCCTATCAGATACAAGAGCCATCAAATTGAAGTGAATTTCACCTTCACTGTATTTATCGATTCGTTTTTGAATGATTGGTCGAACAACATCAACCCAATCTTGATTGGCTGAAATTGGTCCCAAATCGATTGGACCCTCTTTCAAGCCATCCAGTTCATATAAACGGCCATCGATTGGCACGTAACCAATGAAATGAAAAACATCTTCATCTTTGGCTGCTTTTTTGTTATCCAATTCGAAGAGTGTTTGACGGGCAAACGAATTGTGAACAGCACGAATTTGTGAAGCATTGCTCAAAGCCAATCCCTTGTTTTGTGCATCGAACGTAATGCAGAATTCCTTTAATTCCGTCAAAGTTGTACCAAGTTTTAAATCGTCATGACTGCAATTCATCAAAATACTGAGAATCGCTTGTGTTGCACACGCATTGTTGATTACCTATTCCATAAATTGTTGTTTAAATGTTAGTCAAAATCGAAAGAAAAAGACTTTTCCAATTTCAGTGTACTGTACATACTTGCTTTGCAAAGAAGATCTTTTCTAACCGATTATCTCGGACAACTGAGCCGGCCGGCTCATCATCCTGTACGTATTTGAATAAGAAGATAAGTCCATGAACGGGCCTGAATAAAGTAAAACATCAAATCTTAAACATTGGAAATACAAACAACATTTAACATTATCCATTCGCTACATACGACAAATCTTTGAACTGTTCCGCATCCAAACTCCATAGTTCTTCAACTTGTACGCCTTCGCAACCTAATAGGATCGGAAAACAAACAGACATAACCTCAACAAATTGAAACATTTATATATATTATTGTGAAATAAAATAAGATTACCAAATTCTTTGATTAATTCGGTGAATACGCCCGGATCGCTTTCGATTAAACACCAGTTTCCAGCACTATCACTCATATTGACGGAATCAATTTATAATTTATCATACAAAACAGTGACTTTACACTTTTCGATAGTCTTTCGTTGAGTAAAAAACACAAACCGTGTACACAATTGGATGATGCGTAAATTTTTGACAGCGGCAATGTTTTGTTGAGTATGTGGAGAGTTTTGCATATATTTATTTTCTTTATGTATATCATAAAGAGAAAGTAAGCAAAGATGAAAAATAATACTCTCCCACGAATTGATTTGCAGCAAATGTAAAACCATTCGAGAAAAAAAATTAGTATTTATATCCGATTCACACGATAAACGGATGGTTGGCTCTGATTAGAGAATTCAATAGAGATGGCATTAGTTGCTGTAAGAGAATGGCTGTAGTGACTCAGAGAAATGTCAGTGAAAAAATAATGCGTACAGAGAGATGAGGAATTTGACAGTTGTTACCGTAAAACACTAAACAATTCATCTCAGTATAGGAGGACCTAAATTGCAAGCTCACTCACACACGCAAATCTATACTATACCAATGCATGTTTATTGAATGTACGTATATACCTATATGAATGCACGAAGAATGAGGGACAGTGAAGAGTTAAGAATCACCAGCCAAGCGATACAAACAATATTGAGAGTCGTGTAAATAAGTGATAAAATTTGAATAATAACAATTTGTTCTACAATCCAAATAGTTGTGGATCGGCAAAAATATTGAAACGCAAAAAGAAATAGGAGAAAAAAAAGTGTCGAAACGGTGACGAAAAGAGAGCAACAACAAATTCAATAACAAACGCCGCGCATATATATATATACTATATATATATGCTATTTTATATCATTTGCAAACATGTAACCAGTTTTCTGTTTGTGTTTGTATTTCAATACGGTGTAGCGTTTATTCGATCCGATCCAATCCGATTATTTGCTGTATGCGCTAAAAAGTCGCAGCATAAAAGAAAATAAATAAAAATAATTCGAAAATAAAAGTAAATATTATACAGTTAGTTGTCGCATCCAACGGCACATCAAATACGTAGTAAAATGGTGATCTCAAAGGTGGGGAAGCGCAAACGGAATCCACCGCCGGTTAAAGAAACACGTCCTGTACAGGAACAGCCCAAAAGGTGAAGAGCATTCCTATTTATGTTTACAATTTTCATTTTTTTTTTCTTTCAAATCAATTGCAACACACGCAGAGAATATGTTTAAAGAGTTCGCAAGGGCTTTTAATGAATTAGCAAAAGGATTTGTTCTATCTGTGTGCATAATTCCAAATGGTGAAATGAATCACACAAAAAAATACACAATCCAAGTGATTTTTCTTGATAACTTTTACTTGTGAACCGAATCAAATGTACAGTCATTTCGGTCAAGAATTCGTATCATATGGACAATTAATGTTATTATCCCCGAAAATCTCGCTTCAACATTCACATGAACAATTCGATTTTGTAAGTTGTCAGAATGTGTTTGGGTAATCTCGTTCATATACAATTCGGTTGATTGGTGTGAATTGCGGGGCAAATTATAAATTAAGTATCCGAACAATAATAGTTCAGATTAAAATTATTGATATGATTTGAGTACAAATCCGAGATGGCAATGCATTTATGTAAGAATAAATCTTTAATCGATTTTCAAGAAGAAAGAGGTCATAGACGCTGACAGTCAGTTTCATTACATCGAAAAAAAATAATATATATGCTCGTTTTGATTTACGACCAGTTTGCAGTACGCAAATAATATTGCGGTATGTGCAATTATTTAATTGACACTGACACTGTGGATAAGCCATCATCACTCGAAAACTCAAAATAGCATTAGATATATCACTTAATCATGAGTAAACGATTTCGCCCAAAATCGGAGCTCGTTATATATTTTGTCGTGCACACATCTGGCCGAAATGTGTGTGTGTGTGTTTTTTTTCTTCATTATTATTAATTTTTACTTTGCTTATTTATTTTTCGTTGTTTGTAATGCAAAAGCCCCACACTAAATGAGTCGCATTCGCATTGGCGAAAAATGACATCATTCTATTTAAAGAAAAATCTGCACATACAAAAATTCATACCGCAAAATAAGATGGGCGAGAGAGTTTTTGATTGCACTTTCTTTGGAATGAATACAATATATGCAATTTCTCGGAGAAATCGCACCGAAGCAAGTATACTAGGCCCAATTTTTTTTATCACTACTAGTACATTCGGATTTCCATGAACGAATATTTTTTAGCGGTACACACAACGAACTTCTGTAGTTATTAAAATTTATTTATTTTTTCTCTTGAAAAACAATCGAAATGTCATTGTTGGAGCTGACGAAAATTTGTCTACTGAATTCAGTTTTGAACGCATTACTTTTTTTTTTTGATTCAGACCAAAAGTGCAGGCTCAACGTAAATTTGCCCAAGTATGCGGTGGAAGTGCATCATCAACGCTACCCTCTAGCTTGCTTGCAAGCCAATCGACGACACAGAATGGAAGTGTAAAAACAGATGGAATAAATCATGATCCGCCACAAGAACTGCTACCGAACAGACGGCCAAATACAGAGGACTTCCTAACATTTCTTTGTTTTCGCGGAACATCGGTTCTTCCATCACATTTAGATTTTTTTAATACAAATAAAAATTCGGATCCGAGACAAGCGAAGCCGAAGACAGAAGCGATGGCGCCTAGCTGTAGCTCAAAAGAAGTTAAGCAAGAGGATAAGCGGTCTGAGATCAAGAATGAAAAGAGCGATGTTGTAAAAGATGCGAAAAAAGACGACGATCCACCGAAATTTATTCCGTTTGCCGTACGGAAACGGGCTGATACTGTTGCCGCTGGATCGCGTAAACAAACCGTTCAAGCATTGAAGAAAAAGTATCAAGACCAACGAATTGCTAAAAATAAAGCACAATGTAAAACAAGGTCGTCCACGGCAAAAGAAGCTGAAATGAGTAAAATGCAGAAATCGAAACAAAATGAAGTTGATGTGACCCCAAACGATAGCCCTGGAAAAGGCCGAAATAAGAGAAAACTTCGCGGAAATGTTGGAAATATTCAACCCGAAGAAGAACCGGTTATAGTGAAAGCGCCGAAAACAGCCAGAGATTCAATTACGCGGCCACAAAAAACTCTCCCAGCTGACACGACTAAAGTATGTATTTTTCAATGAAAATACGTTAATTAGTGTTTATTTTTGAGTCTATACAAATTTGGTTCACTGGGAAATATTTTCTTTTTACAGGGACAAAAAGTAGGAACTCGTACGACAAAATCAATCGGGTCCATTCCAGCTAAAAGCGAAGAGAAAGAAAAAGAAAAAGATAAGGAGAAAGCGAAGGAGAAGGAGAAAGAAAAAGAAACAGAAGAGAGTACGAGAACAACGAGACAAAGGAGTTATTCGTTGCCTAAGCCGGAAGTGAAACCACCTAAAACTCCGGAAAAAAGTGCAAATCAAGCTGAGTCTGCAACTCCAAAAAGTGCAAAGAGCAAAAACGCCAAGAAAAATGCCAATGACACAGTTGAAGGAGATTTTTCATCCGACGACGATTTGCCATTGGTCGAGAAAAAGAAGGCTAAAGCGGCACGCCAAGAAAAGCCAAAACGGAATTTAAAGCGAATCTCCAATCGTCAGAACCAGTCCATTGAGTCGAATGAACGGGAGAGATCTGGTGACAGAAAGTCAGATGTAAGCTCATCAGAGCCGAAACGAAAAGTACTTGCCACAAATAGAAAATCGGCGCAGAACAAAAATACTTCCAATGCACAAAGCCACGCCAAGTCGACTGTTAGTGACAAATCAGAAAATGAATCGCAGCAAGAGAGCAAAAATGATGCAAAAGTTGTGAGTCGAAAGCGCCGTAATGAATTTACCGATCTTTCGCAAACCGATCAAAGTGAGAATGAAACGAAAACTGGCCGTCCGATGCGTAAAACTAAGGAAGCAGCCGCTATATACATGGAACTGATAGGTCAAAAATTAAATTTGAGCGATTTCGACGATGATTTGTCCGTTGATAGTTTTCCAGAATTGCCCAATGTCAAGAAAACTGAACAAATGGAGAACGAATTGAAGGCAAACTTGGGGAAAGAGAAGCGTGAACTCACATCAACACCCAAAAGAGGTCGACCGAAACGAGAAGATGCGAGTTTAGTGCCCGAAGAAAAACCCGAAACAACTCAAAAATCGATTGAAAATGGCCATAAGGAGGAAAAATCGAAGACAGGGGAAAAGAAGAAATTAGAAAAAAGTTTCAGCGATTCGGATGATGAGCCATTGGCCAGTAAATTAGAACGAAAATCAAAATCTCCCAAAAACCAAAGGAAGTCCATTGCGATTCCGGTGGGAAAAATCGATTTGAACCAAGAAAATAGAACGGAGAATAAGCATGAAGCATCATTTAGAAGTGCTGACAATTCAGGCGAATGCAAACCTTTAGAAACGACAGCTAACAATACAACTATCGCTCTTAATTCTACTATGACAACACCAGCAAAACATAATACATCAACAACCACTGAACCCACAACAAAAACGAAAAATACTTCATCACCACCAAAAAGCATTGATTTGAATGAAACCGAGTTTAAAATGCCGGCTGAAAGTGTGAAGCAACTTTTGAGCCCACCCATAAATGTGAGCCCGATCAAAATTCCAACCATTCGGCCAAAAACAGCTGCCTTCAACAAGGACCTTCTGCTGGCTTCATCGTCTGGAAAAAATACATCGCAAAGCATATCATCCATTTTAGCCGATTTAATGCCGAGCAAAGAGGAATCGGGAAAAATATTTGGTATCGCTAGTGTAACATTAGCACAGAGCTCTGGTCCAATTGACACCAAGTGCACACTCGGAAAATGTGGTTCAATACACAAGCCATCACTGGGGCCAGGCGTTCCAACTGAGGCTTATTTAGGTGACCAAATGTCAAATAAAGATCGACGAAAAGCCAAGGTCAACATGACTCATGAGCAAATTGAAAAATGGTTGTCGGAATGTTCAATGACTGCCGATCCATTCGTTAATGATTCGCTCGACGACGAACTTGACTTGACAAGTTCGCCGAAACCAATCAATTATTTATCCACGCCATCACCGTTGCATACGCTACGCGATGGCGACAATTTCCGAGATGAAAGTTCATCTTCAACCAAATTCAGAACTCAAACGCCCAAAGAGGGTAAATTGACTCAAGTACAACAAACAACACCGGTGAAGGGCAAAATAAACTTATTTCCAAAAGGTGAATGTACCAAAACTTCGACAGAAAAAGAAGATAAGACTTTGGCAAATCAAACCAAGCCGATTGTTGCAAAAAAAGAAGCTCAGATTGTTTTAGAAAAGGCATCGGTTTCGAAAAAGCCGACTTCAACCAATCAAATCAAGAGCGCAGATGCGGACGAATCGAAGAATGAAAGCATCAAACCAATTTCAGTGGTGAAAGTACAGTCATCGCCAAATAAACCAAATGTGAGTGGTATACCAATAACGCCCGACAAGAAACCGATTTACAATCGAAGAACACCCGTTTATAATACCAAGAAAACGGATCAAGGCACTGTGAAAAGTCCCCCAGTTGTGAACACATTTGGTGCCTTCTCGCCCGAAAACGAAGCAAGTGTCTACTCTTTTGACAAAGAAGAAGATAACATGCCGGCATCAATTCCATTTCGTAGACATAGTAGAAGAGGTTCAACGCATTCGAAAAATAATGAAAATGATACAACAATCAAGACGACAAATATTGCACAGATGGCTAAATCAAATCAACGGGATCAACCGGCGAAGAAACAACAGATATTTTTAGCCTTAGGCCCTGAAGACGGTAAAACGTCTGCCCCAATTCCAGTTCTAGCCAAGCCGAATGCCAAAGACAAAGACAAAGACAAAGACAAAGACAAAGACAAAGACAAAGGAATGAAATCGCTGGTGAATGAAAGTGAATTAGGAAAAGCAATTATGGCATCAGATAATGATGGAAAGGATTCTGATTCGGAAGGGCACACATTTTATATACCGCTACAATGTATGGCCAATACCGGTAATGCATCCGATCAGCTCATTCAAGGAGTGGCTGTTAAGCTTGGTACTGAAGGACCAGAAGGGCCGAATCAAAAGGTTATTATGCACGCCAAATTAGTGACCAAATCACAAATGAGCGCAAACACAGCTCCAATACCAGAAGGTATGGGCATGGCCAACATACACGAAATAGTTAAAAATTTGATAGCCAACAAAGAAGTGGTTGGTTCGAAATCCGTTCCAATCGGCACCATTCAGCCACAGTCCAAGTGCAATGACTCAACGAAACCAAGTACATCGGTGTTACCATCAGAGCCAGTATTATCTAACCAACCAACTACATCGAACTTAACACGGCACAATTCTAATCAATCATTATTCTCTCAAAAGACCAAAAGCACCAAACGCACTAAAAACGAGCAAACCATTCAACCGAGTAACAACACTGCATTTCCCCGATACGATGACCCGGCACAAATGGTCGAGGCGCCCGTATTTAAACCAACTGAAAGAGAATTTCAAGATCCAATCGAATTTATAAATCGTATCACTCCAATTGCCGCTCGTTTTGGTTTGTGTCGCATTATCCCACCGTCAACATTCAAACCCGAATGTAAAATAAGCGATGACATGAGATTCACGGCCTACAATCAGTACGTGCATAAAATGTTGCATCGATGGGGGCCGAGTGTCAAAGAGTTCAGCGCAATAAAAAAATACTTGGCTACTCAATGCATAACGTTGAATCAGCCACCATTGATTGGAGGCATGGAAGTGGATTTGCCACGATTATACCACACGGTTCAAGAGTTGGGCGGTCTCAGAGAAGTCATTGAGAAGAAAAAGTGGGCGCGTGTGGCTGAAGAAATGTGCATACCCAAATCAGCTCAAGATCGTGTAACGAAACTCGATGACATATATTGCAAATATTTACTACCATATGATACACTTTCACCCAGTGAACGGCAGAAATTGTTTGAAAGTGTTGAGGCCGATTGGGCAAAGAGCGAAGCGAAAGCTCGACGCAATGCGGACCGAAGTGCACTGAGTGAAAGTAACTCAAACGAAAATTCCGACGAAGAGCAATCTGATGAAGATGATGATGAATCGGGGGATAGTGGTTCGATGGAGTGTATTGTTAAGGGGAAAAGCATGGCCCTCAGTGCATTTTTCCGTGTTGCAAGGAACACTATGGCGCTTTGGTTCCGGAACACTGAACCAATCACAAGTGAAGTCGAAGCGGAGTTTTGGCGACACGTTGCAGGTATATTGAATTTTGATGTACTTTCAAAAATAAATTATTGAATTTTGATCTAATATTCATTGCAGTTCGCGATAGTCACGTATGCGTTCACTCAGGCTCCATTGATTCAAGCGGATGGGGATATGGTTTCCCTTCACCGGGCCCAAAGACTAAAAACTCTACGTGCAGCAAACATCCATGGAATTTGAAAGTTCTCACAAACAATCACAATTCGATTTTGAGATCGATTGGTCCAATTACAGGAGTTACCGTGCCCACGCTGCATGTTGGAATGCTTTTCAGTGCTTGTTGCTGGTATCGTGATCCCCACGGTTTGCCTTGGATCGAATACTTGCATACAGGTGGCAGTAAAATTTGGTACAGTGTACCAAATGAGCAAAGCACCAATTTCCGTACAGCATTTACATCGCTTGTACCAACCCATTGTCAGAATAAAACGGTTTGGCTACCATGCGACACAGCAATGGTACCGCCACACATGTTGACTGATCGCGGGGTTTCACTGTGTCGAACCGAACAAGAACCAGGACAGTTTGTTGTAGTTTTCCCACGTGCCTACACCTCCAACATATGCACCGGCTACTCCATTTCGGAGAGCGTCTACTTTGCCCCGATGTCGTGGTTGGAAACAGCCAAAGAAGATTTCAAGGTAATTACAGTTACTTTTAAGAATGCACCTAGAATATTCATGTAATTTGAACTGTCAATTTGGCTGTAATTTTCACAGGATATTCACGAAAGTTGTGAACCAGCCATGTTCTCTTTGGAACAGCTTCTCTTTTCTGTTGCATCAGATGTTCGAACCAATGTTGATATATTGGAAACTGTACTTCCAATGCTAAAGGAGGTGTACGATCGTGAGATTAAAGAAAGAGCTGAAATTCAGGTCAGTACCAAAATAATAAATGAATTATGTTTTCTTTTTGTCTTGTTTTTTGTGCCTGGAACTAATTAATACTGCTTGTTTTCCCTAAATTCAGGCATGCGGTGTTAATCGTACGGAAAAAATCGTGCTCAAACCAAAAAAGCCACAAACAGAAGAAAATGAATGTGATATCTGTCGTGCAAATGTGTATATTTCATGGATTAAATGCGATGATGACAGTATTTACTGTTTACAGCATGCCGTTAAATATTTGAAAAATTGTCGAATACAAGCTAAGCAGTGCAAGTTACTATTTATGTATAGAAAAGAGGAAATTGACGAATTGATTAGTAAAGTGAATGAAAAGATAACGCAACAGAAGAAAAAGAATGAAAGCAAAAAATGAAGCTTCAATATTGCATACGCATAGTACGGTAATTTGTAAAGAAAAATTCCCCACAATTGTATATATTAAAATCTCGGGTGAGGAAATTTAAATGTGTCTTTTTTGCAATTTTGTTTGTAATCATTTGGATTTAAATATTTGATGAGGCAACCAGTCGCGGTCAAGTAACCCGGATGCACGACTAAAAATGAAAATATTTTAATTTAAATGGAAATCAGCTAGTTAACCTGTTACCAGATGCACATAATTATTATTATACATGCAAATTCAACGAAATTTGTCTTTTAAATAATTACTCGCTTAGTTTGGTGATCTCTTAATAGATCACAAGAATAAAGTGATTTTCTTTAGGTGACATCAGTTCTTCTTGAAGACACATCTCATGAGAAACAAACTTCTCTATCACTGATTAAGTTGCCATTCGAGTTAGACGAAGCCATCTAATTTTATATGTTTTTATTTTATTTACAATGTAAAAGTCAGAAGCAAAACTTTGTAAAACAATAAATATTGTACGTTTAAACGAAAAGGGCCTATTTTTGATGAAGGTAACAATTTTGGTCAATTGCCGATTCACATCCTGACTACCCGCAGCTAATTTAATAAATTAATGCGGAAATTGGATTTAATTTCCACTTTGGTAATATTAGATTAGGTTGTGCTTCCATCAATTATTTGAATTCAGATCATCAAACATGTTAATTTTATTCTAATATACGAAAACATATGAAATGATGATTTCGCCAGACACTTTCTGACTAAAATAAACAAATATTCATCACATCAATAATTTTATTAGTAATTTGCTTTTATGCCATTATTCATTTATCCGATCCAGCAGAACTCATTTGTATGTGCAATTTTTTAGAATGAACAATGAACAGACACTCGCATGCAATCGTGCTATTTGCATTGATCAAGATGAAACTCTGAAAGGTAGGCCATGGCAAAATGTAGGCAATCAATTCTCCCTGGGCGAATTCATACATGCTAAACCTACGGTAATAGCATGGTAGCAGCAGAAAAAGAAGATTAGACAAAACTTCAAATGAAATCGAACTAGCTATTGCTAGCTTACTGGCTATTTATTAATTGGGCACATTGTTATGAATGAAACGTACATCCTTGATCCGCTAACCGTCCGTCATTCGAATTGGAATGTTTATTGGTAAATCATTACATATAAGATTCTGTACAAATAAGAAGTCTTGTAATAAAATAACAATCTTCTAATGTTCATGGATAGGCATTCCATGAACAAATTCAATTTTGAATTTTATTTATCGTTTGGTTCGACGACGTGGATAAGAAGTTCCATTAATTGTTTTAATCATAGATGAATTTTATTCTAGCGAAAACCAAAAGAATGTGCAAATGTATCGAACGAGCTAGCTATCACCCATACCGGCTCCTTCCGCTGACAGACTGTCCGACAGACTAGAACTGGATTCACCAAAATATTGGCTTGCTTTAAAGAATTCGATTGGTTTATACGTGAGTTCAGGGTCATCAACATTTTCGGGGAGACGGCTTCGATCACTCTTTACAATTTTTCCCAACAATGGTTTGAAAAATCCTTTGATGCCAGTATTATTGTAGCCCAGTTCCTCTTCAGCTTTGTTCATATTTTGTTCAAGAGATGTTATATCGATGTTAACACGGTCGAGCATCAGTTGAAGCTTATCGATTCGATCTGAATATTGTTGAATGCCCGTTTTACATTCAATTATATTGGGGAGTGATGTTGATGCTGAAATATTTTTCATCTATTGAACAGAATACAATTTGATTACTGATCAAACAGATCATAGAGGCTTGACATTAGATCTCACTCACAATCGATATGGATGATTCCAATTCATCCATTCGCGTTAATATCTCATCAATGTTGGTACAGATTGGTGCGATCTGAAATCAGAATAGTTTGCAATTTAGATTCGATTTAATAAAAGCATATCAGTTAACGTACCTCCTTAGCAAAATCAATTTGACGTAGGTAATTGGCGTAGTCTCTTGCAGTTTCTTCAACCATTTCAATGTTGTCGTTTTCTTAAATGTACTGTGTTAGGAAATTGAAGTAGAAAAAAATGTCCACCAGTATCGAAGTTAGTTCATTTGCATTGAAATATCAATAAAAATAGTTATTAAACAATAACTACGGAAATATTTGGTTTCTATTCACAAATCGTTCGAACGAAATACCAATGTTATTTATTTATCAATACCCAATGGATGCTATGCGATGACGTTGAATTGAACGCATCCATCGATATGTTGGTGTCGAAACGTGTGAGTGAAGGTGACGATGAGTATATACGATGTATATTGAATGTGTCAACATTTGGTTGTTGTCAACGTCACCTAGATTTTAATGCAAAGTTGATATAGTTATAAAGTGATCGGATTTCTATGTGCAGTTTACATAAACAACTGGAGCAGACGAAACTACTTCAGATTGTTAACAGGTTTTATTTTTCGAAAAGAAAAACAATAAAGAAGTTTGTAGAGGATGTGATACTGTTTTGATTTGAAATGAGGCTGCAAAGAATCACAGCGAATCGGATGAAAGATTATATTCGCTAAAAGCCCTATTCGTGGAATTATAAAAACGCATTAATCTAAGTAAACAAAGTGCGAAATCATATGCAACTATGATTCAATGCAATTTCTTACTTAATGTAAGGATAGACTCCAAAATAAACCAAATCATTCTAGAAAATCTGTGATCTTAAGCATTTCTAAAATATATTGGATTTTGTCGAAATAAGAAAACAAAAAAAAAATTGACTAACTTCTACATTTTGTGCAATAAACGCTGATAAACAGGTCTACCGTACCATAACAAAGAGATACACTCGAACATATGTGAGCGATATGCGTGTACCAACGAAAACGAAAAAGATAACAAATTACTCGAGCTTTGAATAAATGGTCTATGTGTATGAATTAAATAGAACCGCGAATAAAAAAATATTGGATATTTGGGCTGTATGTATATACAAAGCTATAAACACCGGAGCAAATGAAATTTATTCAGTAGGTGAATTTCGTGGAAAGAGATGCGTGTATTGTGGAGATGTTGAAATAAAATGAGAACGTGTCTATTTCAACACGAAAATGACTGAGTCAAGGTACAAAATCATACGAATTAATCAAAGTATACGTAGCGATCATGAGGATGACGACGAATATGAAGAAGATCTTACTGACAACAACTTGGACGATGACACAGTAACAATCGTTCCTGCGAACGATTCAGATGACCTTCACTTTCCCAACAAATTCAACGATAATAATAACAATATGCCAACACCCACGGGAACTTTGACATTGATTTTGATATATTTCATCTTATCAATCGGTCTGACGTTTTATCAAAGAAACTTGCTAAAGGTACCACAAGACACACACACACATACACGCTTTTCTGGTTATCGATTTGATAAATTCGAGCAGAAAAAATCGATTATTGATCTATATTGCATTAAAATCTACCCAATGTTTGCTATTTCGCAGGAATTTCATTTCCCATTTACGGTTGTCCTAACGCATTTACTCTTGAAGCTAGTCATGGCAGGATCTGTTCGTTATTTATACAGATGTTTTACTGGAAAGTCTCGCGTTCATATCGATTGGAGAAAATCATTTAGGAAATTAGCCCCAACAGGTATAGCGGCTGGAATTGATATAGGATTTTCAAACTGGGGCCTTGAACTTGTAACAATATCATTGTGCGTATAATTAGTTGCGATACTGTACAGATATCATTAATTGTTTGTATATGAAATATATTTTTATATCGGTTTTATTTCTCTCCAGGTATACAATGACCAAATCATCAACGATACTCTTCATTTTATTCTTTGCCATTTTATTTGGTTTGGAGAAGAAGGTATTTTATTCGATGCTGAAAATTGAAACTAAATGAGTTGCTAACGAATCATATTTTCCACAGAGTTGGCTGCTAATGGTGATTGTTGCGCTAATTTCATCGGGACTGTGTTTGTTTACTTACAAATCAACACAGTTCAATACACTTGGATTCATATTCCTGATTCTGGCGTCAATCACGAGTGGAATTCGTTGGACATTTGCACAGTTTATAATGCAAAAGTCAAAGCTGGGATTGCATAATCCCATTGACATGATGTATTTCATGCAACCATGGATGATTTTACCAATACTACCGTTAACACTTGGATTTGAAGGTAAATTGCGTTTAGAAAAACTGATACCGATTGTAAATTATTGTGTTGCAAAACAATTATGTTCGTATTTCGTATTTTGTATTCCAAAGGTGAAGCACTATTAAAATTGTCCGATAGTACATCCGATTCGGTATCACCAGATATCATGCTTGCGATAAAGATTACCGTCGGTGCATTCATAGCGTTTGCGATGGAAGTTAGTGAATTTCTCTTATTATCATATACGTCAAGCTTAACACTGGCAATTTCGGGCATTTTCAAGGTAACATGCAAATGAATATAACACGTTTTTTTTTGGTTTATTCTAACGTTAATTTGGTTCTCTCTAGGAAATTTTCCAATTAATTCTAGCAGTGGCATATAATGGCGATCAGATATCGAAGATAAATATGTTCGGACTTGTCATGTGTCTCAGTGGTATTACATGCCATTTAGTTCATAAATTTTCGACAAGCAAAGTAATTCAAACCATTCCAATAATTTCTGATAACGGCACAGCCGCTCCGACATCGTGTGAACAACAGCTTCAAGTGAACTATGTGAATGGCAATTTCACCAAACAGAACATGAAATTAAATTATTTTTCAAATCAAAATAAACCATTGTTGGACAGCGACGATGCTGAACATTCCGATTCAGACGATTCACAAGACACACAACAGAATGCATCTGAAGTGATATTTGACATATTGAAGCGTCGTGACATCCATAGATGAATTATAGATTAAGCGTAGCATTACTGCACTAGTTGATACTGAAAATTAAATTATGCAGCGAATGAAGTGATAACCATTTGAAATGCCATAGTTTGTGTAAGTGCATTTCCCGTGAAAAAAAAAAACAATACTTATTAAAAATGTATCAGGCTTCAGTCAAGTATTGGATTTTTCAAAGATTTAGACTCCATAAGGAGCTTTTCACTTATGTCTGAAGAAATTGCATTTCACTCGTTTGTTTTCAATAACAGTCGAATGGTCACAAATTATGATGATCTACATTTCGTTAAATGGTAAAAGTATTTTTGCAGGGCTTAAGAATCGCACATTCAGTTCGTAGTACAACTCATTTCAGTGAGAGGCACAGCGCTCGTGTGCGATGGTCTTCTCATAACAACTGAGTTGTGTGCGCTGCACACACTGCTCACTTACTTCTCCTCTGCTTTGTGCGGATCTTCGTTCGGTCGAAGAAAAAAATAAGAAGTAGTAGTAGTAGTATGTTCAACAGGCAAAAACATGTTTTTTTTTTTCACCCTGCGTGTCTGCTGTGAGTATTTGAGCGCACATTGAACGGACAGTGGTAAACTCATTTGTATTTGAGAACTTGTGAACTGTTCGTCCGTTCGTGTGCGTGTAGCGCACACGATATTGTGATGCATTGCGTTTTTCACAGGGTTCACTCTGTACGATTCTTAAGCCCTGTTTTTTTGTGACAAATTGTTGATTACTAATTATCATATGTTTTATACTAAAAAGAAGTAAATTATCAAAGAAATTATCACTTTTTAGTTTTTAATAATTCCCGCCAGCCCATTAGCATTAAACGTAACAAATGCATTTTTAAGACCAAATTTTGCATAAGGCCTTGTTTACAAAATTAAGTTTAAATTATCCCTCAAAAAATGATTTTACATTCATGGATTTGTATTTGCAAGTTTAATTCCTATGTCAAAAGATCGTTTTCCGCACAGAACTGTGAACAAGGTTTATTGTAGATTTAACGAACTGCAAATAAATTATGATATCCTACATGCTTGGTTCTTGTGCAATTTTGATAACATCATAAAAACCTCATAAGAGAATCCTCTGAAATGCATCGAAAATTTTATATGTTATCAACGTTGTACCAAAATAAAGTGATGCAAGACCATATTATGACCATCGATTAAGTGATTTTAAGAATTCTTTGTTTTTACAACAACTCATTCGCTAACTATGTTATTTTTTTTTCCTATAAACTAATAATAATTCAACACATTTTCCGATGTAAAAAAAGCCAACCAAAGTAAATGAGCCAAACTCGAAGAACTTCCTTTTTTTTCGACGAGTACATACATAAATGGTAACGTTTTGGAAATGAGACTTACTTTAGCTAACGAATTAATTTCGTTCTTAAAATGTTCAAAGTTTCTTCCGTTCAAAGCTTCGATCGGGAGTCTCCACTGTGATGAGCATAGGAGTAGGAATTGGTTTAATTTTTTTTATGTCATTGTATTTCACTGTTCCAGAAGAAAACATTTTTGTACAGCCACAGATTATGAATTTTGTAACTTTTACATTCAAGTTAAGACTTAACGGTTAAAATGGATAAAAACCATCACATACATTTCAAAAAGAGTAATTCCGCATAAGATAAATGGTTGTATTTCTCAGTATAATAGGAATTATTTATCGTATTTAATTGGTTTGTTTATTGGTGTTTTGAATTGAAGAGACGACAATAAATTTAACTTCAATCGATTTGTATCGATGATCTTATAAAGCCCTTGTTTCATATCTTTCAAGTAAGAGATGTACGATTTCCCAATGGTATCGACTGAAGTTACTTTAATTGTCCTCCTTTCTGTTGTACGCTCCAAAAGGAAAAAAAAACATTTTATTTTGCATCACATTCAGCTTATCTATTTAGTAATTAAGTAAATCTGATCATAAAACGTATTGTATTTATAAAAATTAAAATGTGCATCACTTCAAAAATTTACTACACTCAATATTACACCACAATGGAATACACTCATACAAACACTTACACCGTTATGGAGTGTATATGTTTTACTCGTATTCGGAGTAAAAACTCAAAATCTAAACGAAGAATGCTTTGAGTGTACTTTTTTTTGTTAATTTTAAAGAGGAAATTGAAAAAACAATTATGTGATTGTGTGAATTTGAAAAATGTTTGTTACAACCAAAATAAAAATGAATGATTAAATTAAAATAAAAAGCAAAACTTTGTTTACATACCTACCTTCGGAAGATCTCAAATCATTGGGTCATGAGAACAGTTTAGTGCATGATGAATTGGGTAGTTAATCGGTGATGCTATGTTTTAAAGTTAGTTTCCCCGTTTGTTATGGTTTCACCAACAGTATCATATGAGAAAAATATCACTATAGTGATATAGCCCAACATGTTTGACAACAATCGCAATTAATAATTCATATTCGCATCCAACTCTTTCCGAATTCCATCTGATTGTAATGATAATAATAAAACATGTTTTCATATTCTTTCAGATTCTCTTTTTATTTATTCACTGCATTTGTAATGATCTTTTTTTGCTGTTTGATTTGGTTTTACCATAATTCAATATCATTGTTTTAAATGTGCATAATTCACTTTATCTTTCCGATTTTTTCATTCAAAAGAGTTTGGCTTTTGCTTTTTAGTTTAATTTTAAAAAAAATTGCCTTGTATTCATCATTGTTGGTTTATTTCCCCTCAAATTTTGAACCGAATTTTGTTTTTAAGACATTTTGGTGCGTTTGAACTTTCTATTTACGAATGAAACGGTACAAAAGCAAGAAATACATTTTTGAGTTAAATGTCAAAGCCTTTAGAAGTTGCCATGCATTGGCGTTTATCCATTGAAGTGTAAGTTTTCACATGAATGCACCAAAATATATCCCAAACATATTGGTGTGTTATCGTTCAGTTTTTCTAGAATAAATTTCGCAAAATTTCATCCTACACTGACAACCATTTAAAATAATAATGGGAAAAAAAAAACTCTTGATGATAAGTAACTTAATTTGACACAGTTGTTCACACCATTTTGTTTCTATGTTTATTGTATATTCCAGTCCCGCTGGATTTCTGTAACTTTTACACATATAGATTTATTTGTTGTTTGAGTTAATTGTGTGGGAGCAAAAGCTACATAACATGGTATTCAGAAGTGATTTTGCATTATGTCAATACTGTATTTGGTTATATGTGCTTTCGAGGGGCTGTTTTTATTTTTGTTCTGCTTTTACACTGATCAGAGAAATTATGTGCCAATGATAGATATTTTGTAAGTTCACACCGACTATAAATTCAGTAAGTTAGTAATATTACCACATATATTACCATATTCTGACTGAAATGTTTTAAGTTCTATGATAAATTACATTCTTTACTGTGGTAAATAGAGTATAGAGTCGCTAACTTACTGAACCTACTATATATATTTTTGTCACTCAGAGATGAACAAAATGTGTATCAACACATAACTACATAATTTCTCCCTATCTCTCTCTCTCTCTCTCTATTTCTCTCTTCTCTCCGTGTGTGTCTTCACATGGGGGACATGAATATGAATTCTTACATTATTTCTCGCCATTTTCATTGTGCTTTCCATTTTTTATGTTTTGTTTGCAGGTTCATTAGTGTTCAATCAACACTATATTTAGGGGAATGTTAAATCTAAGTTAGAGAAAATGTGATCAAAAATAAGCTCGGAAATGAAGAGAAAATGGATTGAGTTCAGTACAACAAAAAGGTAATGGCTGTGTAACAATCAAATAGTTAGCATTCATTTTGTCATCGCTGCAATGATCATCGGTATGATTATTTCTCTCACTTTGTTGATGAATTTGTTTAAACTTATTTTCTTATACCGTTTCGATTTCAATTTATTCCTTTAAATTTTCTAGGAGCTGATTCTTAAAACTGATACATTTTTTTTGGGGTGCATTTGCTCCATCTAATTTGTAATGAAAATTTCATCGCATTCAAGCGTCAAATATCCATTATTCGATATGCTAATATGGTCACATAGAATTGTATATTTTTCCGTTTTGTTTTTAAATCTCATTATCACTATATTTTATTATATATCTATTACATAATATTACTGGTGGATTTTATCCCAAACCATATCGGGAGAAAAACTATATGATTTATTTCAAAGATGTGTGTTAATCTTTACCGTTTATCCATGAAAAGTAGAAACAGATTTGCCGAAAACTCGTTTTCGACAGGTAGGAGTTGGAATTGTTGAATTTGTTAAAATTCGTGTAGGTGTTAATTTTTTCCTTTCTAAATTTATATTTAAATCCGTCAGAGGTTTGTGATTGAAAATTTGTATCCATCACATACATATGTCCATCAGTTCTGTTCATATATAGCAAAGAAATGTTTAATGCGAACAAGAACGAAAAGGAGATAAACATATCTGATAATCTTTACTAGATTTTCGAAATATATTACTTATACATTGTAATTTTAATCGGATTTTCATTTAATCCAATAGGATTTTTATGCTAAATAATACCAAAAGATTAATAATTAATCCTTTCTATTTTACAGAGTATATAAACGTATTGCAATGGAAATGAAATTTAGTTGAGTCACCTGGTACGAGGAAATTTGTGATTATGAAAAAGTGAGTTTTATCAGTTTAAAGAGTAGAAAATTCGGCATCAATTGATGGTTACCATTATGATGATTGATGACCATTAGACAGAGCGATTATTGTTTTGTTTCGGTGAGTCTGAATATCGATCGCTACGATGTTTGGCAATCTTCAATCGACGTGGGAATGTTTTTTTTTTTTTTAAATTTGATACTACCCTCTTTTTCTTTTCCACAAAAATTAAAATACCCTAATTTAAACAAAAGGAAATAAGAACGAACGAACAAAATGTTGTGGGTTTCTTCACTTACTATAATTCATTTGCTGGAAGATACTATTTATATTGTATATTTGATTTAGATTTTGGACAAAAACTCAAAATGAATTCGCCTCTAATAAGCTCATTCTTTACCTATCAATTTTTGCCTAAATTTTATTCTCTCCTCAGATTCGGTTTTTGAGAACGTATAGGTTTATTCACTTTTTTTCACCTCAAATAACAATGATAACGAATTCAATTTTAACACAAAAACAAAAACATGCTCATTATATTCACTTGGTTGAGTTTTGTCATTTTTGTTTTCTTTGTCGAAATGGTCTGCAACCCTTACGAATACATATTTATTCAACTTTAGTAAATTGTTCCTAATATTGATTCTCTTTTTGCTAATCGAATTCTAGTATCTTGTTTTTTTTTTTTTTTTTTTTAAATATCTTCAATTATTGTTGCTTTCTTAAAATATACAAATATTCAATTTTTGAATTTTTCGCCCCATGAGTAAGAAGGAAGAAAAAAAAAAAAACAACGTAATCCAATCATGTTATCTGACTTCATCTCAACAACAAATCGACCACATTTATTATTTAAATAAAAGTTTGACATACATTTCGAAGTTTAATGTATATACCTATTTGTTAAACCGAAATACAAAAAAAAAATCGCATTGAAAACGGTATGACAATGTTCATTGCGTGTTGAGATTGCAATTTGATTATTATTGTGATAGCTCTGTGGAACTCTTCTGCACCATATACTTCAAAATCATGATTTTTGTGCGGGCAAATTATGAGGCATTTCTATGAATTTTCTATGAACAAAGCGCCGAACAACAAAGAGTTTTCGAAAACACTTTTATATTCGAATGTGATAGTTGGTTGATTGCCATTTGTATACGAAACACTCGACTCATCAACTTTTCGAATTTTTTTTACATATATGCCAGTCGAAACGTTACCGCTGTGTTCCACCATTTCGATACGGAAATGCAAACTCGTGTTGTGTGTTATTTCCTGGGAATTTGAGCCGAACCGTAAGTAAGTTTTGCTTCAAATATGTTCACCAATATACATATCGATGCCTTGCGTTTTATCACGAAGCATGAGAGAATTTGTTCAATTGAACAGTATATGGCATAAAATCATATTGGTAACAATGGTCCTAAGAGCTTGTTTTTTTCATCAACAAGTTCCAATCACCATGTACTGTACGCGTTACTCACAGCATATTGTTCAATATGCCCGGTTCTGTTTCTTTTCTCTTCTTCTAATATACGTGTCATTGTGTGTAAATTTTTGTAACTCATCGCAATATATACCCTGTTTTATGTCATAACTTGCACATTCGAAATATATGAGCATAACACATTTGACATCCAATTTATGGCTTTGTTTCTTCTCTCACGGTTCATTGGGAGATTCAAAATTCGAAAGTGGTCTGAATTGGCAATGCCAATTTGGTAAATTCACCATCGAGTTATACACACTCTATTACATCCCATAAAGTATAAATGTTTGCAATTGAATATATTTTGTTTCTGTTGTTGTTATTATCGCTGCTGCTGATGTTGTTGATGTTGATGTTGATGTTGATGTTGTTTCTGCTGCTGTTGTTGCTACTAATGTCGCTATGTGTTGTGTATATAATTCGCTCGGTCAGTTTTTGTTTTCATCATTTGGTCCATGAGTTTTTAGAATTGTGGTCAAATTTATTATTTGTGAGAAAAGATGCTTGATGTATTGTTGATGGCTCTCCTGGCGAATTTGTGCAAAAATACGCATCAAAAATGCTTTGACGGGGTAAATTCATTTGACAATCGACGATGATTCATGAATGATGTTTGATTTGGTGTGGCACAGACACCATGCAAAACATTGGTTTATCCAATTTTCAGTTGAGTTTTTGTTTTATTCGACTACAATATTGAGTTTGAATTGTATGATGCTGGAATCTTTGCATTAAGTTTAGATGGAGTGACTTTCAATGAATGACTTGCCAGGATATTCATTTTGCAGAACTGCAGCAAAATGCTAATTGGCAATCAAAAACTATTTTGGATTTTCAGGAGGTAGTTTTGAACAAATAAAATTGAAATAAAAATCGAAAAAAGTGCAATTGTAATTTGAAATAGTGTAAAATTAAATTTATTTCAACGTAAAATTGTTTTAACAAAACTTTAAGCTTTATTCAGGTGTACCTTACTTAGAAGAAAAAATCAAACCAAAACAACAACATTTACAGAAGTCACACGCAACAGAATAGTTGGGCACCCTACGTTATGCATCATGAGATACAAATAAGATAGCCCGCTTACTACGTTGCATGTGTCTGATCATAAATAAGGCTACGATCGAAACAAAAAATAATAATAATAATATAATAAAATTAATAAAATAATATAATAATGATAATAAAACGACTAAAACATTAAAACTTTTGCATTTGAATCAAACACTGCAATTCCTTCTCCTTTAAATTTGCGACTTGTATGCAAACCATCATACAAATAATTATTTTATAATCAAAAAGTTTTTGGTATATTTTTGCATCATTTTCAATTTCACTTATTTAAAATATATAATTTGTGTGCATTTTTTTTGATTCAAGTATACGGGTCCTGCCCATGAACCATCTTAACTAAAATGTGTTTTACCTCTTTGTGTGTGTGTATGCTTGTGTTTTGTTTGCAGATTAAATTTTACATTTTGAACAGGTTTAAATGCGATGTATTTCGTGTATATTCTGAAGATTCATGAACTGTTTTGAATGTATCTGCTAACTCAAATGGTAATACTCTTTGCCATTTCCGCTTAATACAACCTAGTGGCGCATCGTCCCTGTGAAAATGGAAATAAAATAGAAAAAACAAACAAACACATTTGAATCAAAGATTTTAGAAGCTGGCGAGAAAATGGACAAATTTGAAAGGTGGACGATGGTGTTCAAATCTTACCTGAGTTACATGTTGTAAGTACCTCAACAGGAAGCGAGCCTCTCCTACGCGAAAGTAGTAAGTCTAAATCAGAACGATTTTTCGTTGTTTCACTTCGTTTGAAACGATACCAGGGTGAACTGGAACTACTTGGCTCCGTTTCTGACACAATGGAACACAAGATCTCAGCCCCTCCAGATGACCGTCGTCGCAATGATTTTTTCCGATTCTTCGATTTACCATTATGGCAGCTATTCCGATTTGAAGCCACGACGAGATTGTCACCTGGAACTGAACTACGCCGTTGATTTGCCGCCAGAGAAGACGCTTGTGGAAGATTCTGTTCAACGAATGACGCTACAATGATAATGAAAGTGGTATTTAGTGCATTACTTAGATTTATGGGCAAAAAAATTAATAAATTAATAGGAATTGATGAACGAATCTCTTACTATTTTTGAGACTATCAGAGGGCATCGACCCGCGGCGCATAAATTTGTCACATGTTTTGAAAACGAGAGATGTTGCATCATCTTGTACGGTTTTCGGAGGAAGTGCAACGGCGACTGGAGCGGATCCACGACGACGATTTAAATTCTTTTTTGAAAAGCTCGGATCCAAATTCTCTTTTTGGCCGGGTACAATGGATAGTTTGGCCATTTTACATCCCTTGTCCGCTATATTTTGTTCCTTCTCACGTTTGAAACTGTCTTTTTTACTTATGCCTAAAACACCACGATTATCTTCAGTCTGTGATTCGGACGATGATGAACGGCTTTCGACTAACGTCTCTGGATATGTGCTGATATCACCAGTTGCTGACATGTAGCGAGCTCTTTGATAGCCGTACGGCTGCAGTGGCGGAAATGTTTGCTGCCGCACCAAATGCTTCGATGTATTAGCTGCTCCGGTGACAGTAGTGCTCGATACACAGCCTACACCGTGCATCACGCGATTCAGGTGATCGGCACAGGCGCTGTTGCTCATTGTCGCAATGCTCAAGTCCGGAACGAGTGTTTCAGCACTCAGCGGGCGCTCGCGATCAGGTACACTATTATCGGATGATTTATTGCGAGGTGCACTATCACTGTCCGACGACAGCAGTGAAAAAGAGTCAGCGTCCAATTTCGCTTCAAGCTCTTCACGTATGGCGTCACGGGACAATAAATCCTTGGTGGGCAAAATAATTTTGGGTGGGTTCAATGGCATTGATAGCCGTCGGTCATACTTGGATGGTGCGTTAGGTACTTGTAGAGAGCTCCTACGTGGCATTCTAACTTTGTCGGGCAGTAGAACCTCTGAGCTGTCGGATAAGTCAACCGCTATATCTTCTTCGTTTACCCCGTCAGCGTGTGCGTCATGTACAGATTCATCTTCTTCCAACACCTCGGCGTCAGACATTTCGGTTCGAGTCTCCTCGGCCAGTTCAGCCGCAACCCGTTTCTCCCACTGTACTTGATTGTATTTCAGAAAGTACATCATCTTCGTGGATAGTTTCGAACCTAGAAACCTATGCCACTCGTCAAACAGTGGTGTCACAACAAATTTAAAAAATCCCACTTGTATCTTCGGAACCGACGTTGAGTAACGATCGCACAGCGAAGTTACTGGTAAATTCAACTGACGTTCATAGTCGCCCTGACGGAAGAACTCTTCGCACACCTTTTGACTCCATTTTTTGCTTATATCCCATGGTCGACACGGGTTCGAAATGTCGGCACATTTAAGCGCGATTTGTAAAATAAAGTGCCTATCGTCCTGTTTTCGCATATCTAACGTTTCTTTGGTGAGATAGTCCCGGAATTTCGTGAGAAATTCTTGTTGTCTGGTAATATCAGTTGCTAAAATCAGAGAGCTTATTTGTTTTTCCAACTGCGGCCGAATACTGTGAATCTGCTCAGCGACACCGCTTTCCAGCAAACAGCCTACGGCCGAGCGCCAGTGATGATTCTCCAAAACCGATGTGTTCTCATACAGTGCAGCCAAATGATTTGACGTAGCGATCAAAAATGGTTGATTCACACCTGGATGATCCAAATCGTGCGTCACGGCTCCAATTAGCGACGCCATAATTTCGACTGGTTCGAGGTGCTCCATGATTTTGGTCTCTTGAAGAAAACAATGCATAGCTTGCGTAACGTCTGTTGCGTGTATTGAATTGTGATACGGATTCGTGCTGTGGTAGCCTTCTTCAATCAATGTAAATAATTTCCATAATCTAACTACGTCTAACTTGAAGTGGTCCAAAAGGCCATACCAATGAAACAAATGAACACATAAAACTGGCAGTGAACGACCTGTAATATTGAAACATTCGGATTTTTGTATATCACTCGCAATCGATGTCAGTATGTACCATATGTACATATTCAATATTCATTCATCGTCAATTGAACCCGTGAGCATAAAAACGACTTATTAAACAATCACCGAACAAAACGATACAAGAAAAAACTACCAAACAAAACACACGTTAAAAACGTAACACAGCAGGACGGTACCGTTCAAAACGAAACTCCGCTGTGCTACACATTATCGCTGTGGTACGTTTTGTTCGGTAGTTTTTTCTTGTATCGTTTTGTTCGGCGATTTTTTAATAAGTCGTTTTTATGCTCACGGGTTCAATTGTGCAATGAACGCTCAACTTACCTCCAGTAACTGTTTCCAAAGTGAAAGCATTGAATTTCCAGTTGCTCACTTGATTAAGTATACACTGTACTTGACCGTGATGTATGTCGTCCAAGATGGCTGTGTCTTGCATTAGAGAGCGCGTCGTTAGCTTCTTGCGCCGTCTCTTGTGCATTGTGAGAAAACGGCCGGTGCATGCAAAGCGACGACGGGGATGCTCCAGCTTTTCATCTGCAACTAACGCTTCAATTAATGGTCGATCTCGGTCAGAGTCTGACATTCGAAATCGTTGGACTTGCGATGATGTTGCTGGAAAAACAAAAGGTACAAGTCAGAAATGGACGCGGTAGTGTAATGTTACGAATAAATACATACGTTTTAATCGAATGTATATAGAACTGTCAGTAGTTTCCATTGTAGCTACATCTTGAGCCTAGTGATGTAGAAGAAGATTGAAAGCAAAGTTTTATCATTATATCTCATAGTTTTCATTTTCATTTTCATTTTCAGTTTCATTTTCATTTTCATTTTTATTTGTATTGGTCGATTTGCGCTTACAACTCAAAACTTTCCGTTTATTCAGAATTCACTTGACATCATCGTGTGTGTATTGTAGTGCATTTTTCAGTATTATTTCATTCTTGAACCAAATATCTATGTGATTTATTGTGATTTCGTGAAGCATTCTTCATAAATAATATAGGCATCATCAAGAAAAATACTTCTATAATCAAATTACAGTTGGTTATAGCTTAGCCTTGTTTCATACCATCATTTAATTAAACATGAAACACTTTTTCGTAATTTGCATTCAAAATTCGGAAAAAATATTTTGGGGGAACGTCTCTCTGTATTATCTAATTTATGGAAGAATGCAAACGAATTTCCAAATTTCATTGTTATAATAAGGAATGGGTTCTTCTTGCGTCATTTCTCTCTTCCCTTTTCTCTGCTTCCTCTCCCCCGCTCCCTAATAGACTATACAGATAGAAGAAACGTGCACGCAGGCAAACAAAAACATCTCCATCACTTTGCGCTCGTGAAATGATGAGCATTTACATTTATATAAAGGAAAAATGGGCACGAGAAATGCTAATCAAATGATGCAGATGTTTTTATGTGAATTTGAAGTTTTTGGTCGTTAACTAAGATACTTTCTCCGCTTGTTCAAAGCCAGATTATTTATTCTAATGGGAATTTTTCGGTGCTTCGACGAAGTCTTTGAAAGCGACTATGATTATAATTCAAGGATCGATAAATTGTTGAACAAAGCAAAATTGATGTAATTAGTAATACCAATAAATTCCTTTCAGGTTCTACATATCCATACCATTTCAGGAACTGTATGAAAAGTAAGTGAGAATATAAAAAAAATTGTTCCCGCATTCTACCACGTATCATTATTATCAATGCAAAAACAATACACTCTCTCAACAAACAGGTTCAAATTATACAAATCGCATATAACATCAATTTCCGTCGATATTTTAATTGTCGTAAAAAAATATTATATTCTAACCAGTTAGGAGAAGAATGGAACATGTGAAATGGTTATATTGCGCGTAGTAGACAATTTCTAGTGCAGCCGTCGCTAATTGGTCAGCAATAAAAAAAAATAATGGTCGGTCTTATTGTAATCAATGCATCATAATTTACTACTTTGTTTTACTTGTCTTGTAAAACTAGTATAATAATTAAGTGCAATCGATCAACTAGAATGATTTTTCAGATTTAAACTTAAATACGCCAAACAAATGGAATTAAAGAAGAAAGGATGCGAAAGGCGACACATTTAATCAATAAAATTCGATTCTTCTTTCTTCCAGAGGCAACTTATATCGATTTTTTGGGAGAATAAGTTTGTATCTCATCTTTGCATTCGTAAAAAAAAAATACATCGTTTCGCCAAACCTTAAGGTATTTAAAACCGGTATTTTGCTATCAAATACGCTCAACATTTAGCACTGCCGCACGTAACTAGTAGCAAAAAATGCTCTAGCAATATTGCTATTCATTTCTCTGAATATTTGAATATTTGAGACTATATTGCTGGAAGAAATTATCATTTTGAAAATTGAATATTCAAATCAACAAAACCAACATCATCTATTTCAATGTGCAAACCAATATGTGTTTTGACATTTTTTTTAAACTTACGATTAGTTCCGTGTTTTAGAAAAATCTATCGTAAACAACTGACAATTGCCCACAAGTCAATCTATTTCCATATATTTCATTTAATATTTCAATATTGAACAGAGCCTCAACGAGTAAGTCACAAGCGATGACACTAGGGTTATTGACACATAGAAAACCAATATTGATTTAAAAAAAAAAAATTGTCCAAATTGCACAATCAATGGAATGTCCGGCGTTTATGAAATTGAAATTTGAATGCAGGGAGGAAGTGTTCCAATTTCAAAGAAGTTCATGCAACTCAAATAGCACTGCATTGTTGAACAAATGTCATTGTTAACATGTTAGATTCGCAGATGCACGATATGTCTTCAGATATATTGAAATTATCTAGTCGAATGCATACAATATGTACAGATTCAATAGATGGTATGGCATGGTGTGGTATAAGTGCTTTAGAGGTAATTTTAAAATTATTCAAATTGAATATATGTTGATTGATTGTGTTTTGACTTTGAAGTGCATGCAAAACGCACTCTTCTCATCAATTAACATCGCTGTAAAGAGTCCGTCTATTCCCTTAAGCCAGTTGAAAGTAGAACCGTACATGTCTTGTCACATTTACATTTTGATGTGAAGTAAAACGTAAGTTGAACCAGGCAAAACTCAATTGTATAATTTATTATTCAGCTCAAGAACCGGCAACTGGCTGTGAGGACTATCAAAACTCATTTTGTATTCAATGAATGTAGCCTAAAGCGGTTATTCAGTTATCGACTACGGAATCCATAAATGTTGTGTTCAACCAAAAATTGCCCCAGCTACGAATGAAGCCACATTTGTGTGGAAGTTATTGCTATCTGTCCTTTGTTCAACACATTTTTTTTTTAAACTTAACATTACACACTACTATTGATGTTGGTTGTTATAGAACAAGCGAATAGATTTGCAGATACTTATAGAAACAACGATTCAATTTCGCACTACACATTTTACTTTCATCGTTTTAAGTAATGGCCCAAATTTAAATTAGCACCTCATTCTGTGAGTGGCCAAAAAAAGAGTAATTGTTATGTTATGTCAAAGCAGCTCAATTATTCAAGATCGTGGACATTCCTATTCATTTCATTCATTCCACATGCAGTGTATTTAATGTCGGCTCATTGATTTGAAGCAATTGCTATTTTTAAAATGACACTGTGGTTACACTAAAGTGTCAATATTTCTTTCTTGTTGATTCGAAAACAAAATGTTTTTCAGGTAATTTCCTTTCTTTCAACTGGTTTGCTAACGATGATTGATGTCCTCGGCTGCTATTCAAAGCTCAAATTCCTTTCAAACCTATTGAAATTTTCAAGCAAATATACAAATCAAGAATAAATCTCGTTTTGTTTAGAGTGGCCGAAATGGCATGGCAGTTTAAAGTGTTGACATATTTTGTTGTGGGCTTTCGCAAAATTGAGTGGAAATAGCAGTAATTCATTTCACAAAAAAAAATTCTACACAATTTTTTGAGCGTGAACAAAATAGTGGATTTCTACTTCTGGATGGGTGTTATATTAGCATTTCAAATAAATACGAAAATTTCATTAGTTCTTTTATTGAATGACCCTCGAATAGTTCACAACGGGTATTTTCTGATATAATTGTGCACATTTGTTCCGAATAGCGAAATTAAAATCATTAAGAAACTGGAAGTATTACAGAAATATGAATAAGCACGATTTGCTGTTGTGTATTGTGTTTGTTCTGTTAGAAAACGGGTGGTAGCGATTTTATTTTCTAATTCGTTATAATATAGGTGGAAAAAAACATCCATTCAGTATTAAGAAACTCGGGCTTGAGGAGACCTAAGACTAAAACATGAATAGCACAAATGTAAAATTTTCACATTTCTTCAAAAATCCAGCAAAAATGGATGGAAATAAACAGTTACTTTTAATAATCTGGTGAAGAAATATTCACTTCATGTAACAATAATAAATTCACTTACGTTCGTATCGAGGAGATCATTCATTGTTTGCAGTTTCAAATGAGATTTGAATAAATGTTTCATGGAGAGCACCTCATAAACTGTTGAATCGCAGAATTTTCCCTAATTTCCCATCAATTAATAAATCAAATAAATGATGAGCATATCAAATGTCTATGTAAGAAACTAAACGTACGTATTCTGCTCGTTTACGCATCAACAATAATTTTACAGCTATATATATGAATTTGTCCGCTTTTGCACGTCGTTAGTCTACGTTACTGAGCTTCAATTTTTCTATTTTGTTTTGTTTTTGTTTTTCATTCCGTTTGGTATAGCTAGAGCTGTTCCACTAGAGCAGCCCAAATTTAAGTCACTAAATGAGCCGAGCTAACATTTCACGTTATTATGAATTACTTTCATTTCATGAATGTCCACATTGGCTTGAAATTAATCTGCTCCATCAGATTTCATCAACAAACTTCACATATTCATATTCGCCCACTAGCAAAATATATTTTCCCGGTAATATTTTTAGAATACGTTTTTTTTTTCGCGAATTATTCTTTTTATGGATATGACAATAAAAAAAAAGCAACAACTAAAAATGCAATTGCACGTTATTTGTTTGAATTGACCACAAATTCGATGATATCTTTAATCGACTATGTTGTTGATGTTCACCAAAGAGCAAAAGAAAAAAAATGAACAACAGTGAATAAAAACGACTGACCGCACGATACAACAAGCACCTGATTGTTCTGTCAGAAAATGTGATTATGACTCGTTTAGGAGAATCGTTTGATGCAAAAGCAAGTCGACAGCGTAGTCAGTTGTTGTCGCTTTGGCAATTCAATTTTTACTGGAGAAAAAACTGCACACCAGAAGCGTGTTAAAGCCAAATCGATGATATTTGTTTATATTTATTTACTAGAATATCTCGTTCATGCGTTTGTACGAATCATGATGTGTGTAACACGCGAGTAATTGTATAACATAGAAAATTGAAAGAGCCACAGAAGCCAATGGCGATTTAAATACTGAGAATGTAAATTTTTGTTGTTGCCATTGTTATTGGGAATGATACACCTATAAGAGGCACTGTGAGTGTATAAAAACTGCAAGTTATTCAAGTGCTCTTTGGCTGTTGGACAACGACGCCATACGGAACGACCATTCATTCGTACGTTCGAATGCTTACAATCTCGGAACTTGCTATGCGCCTTTGCTTTTGTTCTTTTTTTTTATTTATCATGTTTAATAACGTTTAGCATACGCGCACACTGAGTACTAACGACTGAACTCAATATGTACGTGCCATGTCCAATGGAAAGAGAATGAGAACGAAACAGAAACAAAATCAAATAGCTCATCATTTTTGTTGAGTGGTTGAGTGTGCGTGTTTTCAACAGATAAATACAAAAGTATGAAATCAAATATTGATGTGTTCGAAGTGTTTAGTAGAAACGCTTTTCAATGGCACATTATGAATTCATTGAAAAATTTATTGCTTTTAACAAATTTAAGCAATACTCAATGAATCTGATTATAAATAAATAATGTTTATGGCAAACGTAATCCGCCCAACACATTGCTTCAATATCCATTATCGATGGCTGAAAAATTCACACCAATTCGATAATTAGAGTTGCAAACTACAATGATGATAATGTAGTATTAAGCGTTTTCAAATAATGCGAACATTCATAGATATCTGCATATTAAACAACTAAACAATATACCGTTTCTACGGTGTAAAACCACGCGTCTCATATGCAAAGTACAGACTGAAAGTGATGCACATAGCGGAAAGAACCCAGAACTGGTTTAGTGTGTTTGGGACATATAAAAAGTAAACAAAATTAATAAGCAATAAAACGTTTTTCTATTCACATGTTACTTCTACTATTTTGGTAACAATTACTGCGATCAATATTATGTCGAAACAGACATTCAACAAAAATCTCTTCGAACTCCCGAGATGGAATTCTTCCACAGTAAATTTCATTAATTTTCAACACATAGTGATCGAAGTATTATTGCACAATCAAAACTCTTTAAACGAATCATTTTTCATTTATATTTTGAAGATTATAGAATAGGAATTTCCTGTAAAAGTGAACGAAGGCAATTTGCATTGTCATCCTTGTCAAGTTTTGTTAATAGTACCGTTTTGAGAAGATTCGGCCAATATCACTTTAAAGCGTTAGCAATATCGTACAATGCTAATGCCAATAATAAACGTTTTATTTTGTAGGTGAAAATATAAAATGGCTTACTATCAGTCATCGACCACTGTGATCACTACAAACCAAGTGAGAAGAGGTTTGTTCCATGCATGTAAGACCATTTATTGATTTGTAATTCGTATGGCATCATGAATCGTTTCTTTTTATCGAATCTCCCCCAAACAAAAAATACGTCAAGTTCTATTATGGAGCGATACATGTAAAGAATCTAGTGTTGAAGTAGTTTGACTTCGGCGAATGCTTTGTGTCAAAGTTAACAATTAACTGATACGTAAGCTCAATAAAAGAAGCAAACAACAAAACGTAAAAAAAAAGAAGTATATAGCTAAATCAGGTTTCGAATACACGCTCACAACTTCTTTCAGGTATGCGTCAAATTGGCTCGCCCGAAAATCCACTTACATACAATACATACATGTACAAACCAGAAGAAGTGAAAGAAGAGAGAGGGAGAGGGAGAGGGAGAGAGAGAATGAGAGAAAATGGCATTCGATATATAGTCAAGTCAGCTGGCTATGAGCAAACGTTCAGTCTATAAATTAGGTACAAATAGCAATGCATACCAATATTCGTTCTCTGTTCTCTCTATGTGTTTTCAAGGAAGCAATTAAATGTGCAGATTAAATAAATTATTCTGAACGTATGTGCGTATTTTTCATTATGTATGAAATGAAAGGAAAAAAATAACCCAACAAATTATAAAACAATTCTCCCCTTAGCACATTTTTACATTCTCATTCACTTTTGTCGGTCTCTTTCTGTCGCGGCACTTCTTCACAATTTTCATATTCTGTACACACACACACACACACACACACACACACATATATATATATATATATATATATATTGTATCACATTGTATCGCATTTTCATTTTCTTTAATTTATTCCTCCACTTTGACGGAGTACGCGCGCAAATGTGAATACGCAAATTGACAGTATCATGCGTTAAATGCTGATAATGTATTCATATTTAAAGTGATTGTGAATATCGTTCGAGCATATGTCAACGAATACGGGAAGCAAATTGCTGGATTTATTGGCAACTGAAAGAATAAAGATGCTAAATAGCACAGCGAGTTTCCAATAATGATGGATCAAGATCGCTTAATAAACAAAGAAAAACGA